AAATCTTTTAACTTTAGTCACATCTTCATATAGTAAAAAAAAAGTGGTCACCGCTGTATTTGCTTTTATATCTTTTTCAAATTACGCAAAGGATTTAATGCTGTTTTTATTAAATAAATAGACAGATTCAAAAGGAAAGTTTATATATTTCATACATACCACCATCATCACTCAAGAATGCTTTGCAAGATGGATGTTGATTAATTTATTAATGTCAATGATATAAAAAATGTATATATAATCCGAGGAATTCATTTGAATTCAAGTATCCGATCTCTTCTGTTTTTAGTTTATGGATACCTGAGATACATTCCTTATAAGGAATACAATATTGATACCGGATTTGTTCTAAATTGAAAAGAATTAACAACATATTCTAACTGCCATTATAAATGTTAAAATGAGTTTGTTTCTTTGTTACTGTTAAATCTTTAAGTAATTAATAGTAAATATATAATATTGACCCTGAAAAATTCACACAGCGTCATCTAGTCTCAAGCCAAGCAGAGCTTGTATTATGGGTACTCAACTGATAGAATTGCTTAAATATTTTTTTGTAAATGCGTGCATAACGTACATAGAAAAAAGCAAGACTAATACAAATAATTATACTCATGAATACAAAAGTTTTCACCATACGAGAAATCGAACTAGCGACAATTGGAAGTTTAGAGACGAGGCGACGGTTACCACTTACTGGGTGGGCCGACAGCTTCTTTGTCATTGCAATTACATAAAAAAAGTAGTCATAATATACGAAAACGTAGTATAGGGGTATGTCTGAGCAATGGTGCTGCAATAAACAGATAATAAATAAAAAATACGCTGTAATATGATGAAATAACGCAAGAAACGATTTCACGAATCAAACTTAAAAACGATGAATGAAATACCAATGTAACATAAAAAAACCGTTTGCGAGAGGAAAGAGCGTGAAAAATTGACAACAATGTACAATAAAATGTACTTACAGTTGACACTGAATAAACAATACTTACCGGCTTTTTATTATATATATTTTAACTTGTAGTGACTTGCGACTTCGCATGCGTGGATATCGCAGACTGGAATTTATTGATGACAAGCGACTCTCCCCGGCTTTGCACTGATATTTAAGAAAAATATCAAAAATTTTAACATAACACACACATATGTATATGTACATATACATCCTTCGATATTCCTCTATAAAGTGTACTGTACTGTACTGTACACTGTAGTGTACGTGATATAAGTATTATATTGGCCTATTTTTCAAACGTTACACTATCGGAGTTTATTATATGAGTCCCTATAATAACGGTAAGAGATATTCATATCGGTCCAGTAATTCTTATTAAATGCAAACAAACAATTAAAACTGTCCTCTATGTAATATTAATACAGATAATCAAATGATAACAATAAATAAAGCACTTATACTACTATATTATGCTTATTATAATAAAATAATATTCATTTACGAAATATGGCGTATTAAAAATATTTATTATAGTAATTAGTATTTTGGTATTACTCGACTTTAGTACTATTTACCGAGGTATACTGGAAAAATTCAACTGTTAACTATGCACTAATTATATATTACACAGCTGCTTGGGTCCTGAAATAGGTAATATTGAGATGCTCAGTCTTACCTATTTCAGCCAAGCAGCTTGCTTTGTAAGCTGTGTTTTAGTGGTAGGCTGCAGATTAGATAGTAATTAGAGAATAAAAGACAATATCTCAGTGTCTGGAATGGCAACCCATGAGTCACATGATAACGTGATGTTTGTAATACTGTTGTCTGTATACATATGTATGTATAGGCGACGATTACCGCTTCTCAGCCATGTACATATAAAACATACTAAATATAATATAACAAGCAATTTACTCACAAATTCGTATTTCCAAGAAACACCAACGTAGACAGATGCACAAACAGACATACCAATATGTGACTAATTGGTTCCATGAATAATCAGTACCAACTATGTAGGTGAGATATGCATTACGTCGTTGTAACACGCAAGATTCATAACAAAAACGCCAGCAAAATGCCTGCAGGTGTGCACCAAGTATTATGCACTAAATCTTTGTCTTTGTCTGTTAGGTTATTATAACTTTTTTATAAAAATCACTTCTTTTAATGTACATAACTTGAATAATAAACAAGGTTTCTGCCTAATGGTAAATGGTAACTGACTTCAACGAATACATACATACACGACCAGCATTACAGACATCACGTGAAGCACTACCTTAAAATTTCACTGCCTTTACCACTTATGAATAAATGAATAAAACGCAATATTATACAAAAGAAAACATTGTTTATAATATACAACCAGAATATAAAAAATGTATCTGCGAAAGATGCTTGTGTTTTTATATTCCGAATTGCATATATTATTCATTATCTAAAACATACTTTTTCTAAAATATAGCTTTATACGTAATTTAGTATACAGGGAACAACGTTATAACGTGTAAATAATTGGACAAATAAATATTATTTTTATTATATCATATGAAACACCTCAAACCAATTAGAACTGTACTTCTGTAGGCCAGCAGTGCGAGTACTCTGCTGAGACTAAACCCCTATTGCTATTTGTAACCGGATCAAATTAAACCTTATCACAATATAATAAGGTAGTGGGTAATACAAGGAAAATAACGATAGCTCTAATAAGAAATGCCAAATTAAAGACCAACTTTATAAAAAACGCTACGAGCGGAACCCGATGGTGACCTTTCTAAGAAATGTAGTTATAATTGTAAATTGGTGCAATTCTCCGGAATAACTAGGTGGAAAACATTTTAGGGATCCGTCGATAGTGAAATAGCTGTAACATACCTCATTTAGCCTTATTTTGATACTAACAATAACGATTTCATATTCATTGTGTAGTCGAATTAAATTTACTGTCAAAGACTAAATGTATACATGCTTGCTTAGGCGTGTGTACAAAGAACATGGATATATATATATATATATATATATATATATATATATATAATAATTATTTAACTAACTTATTGTATTTTAAATTAATTATTTAAAAAAGATATTATTCTGTACTCCTTCTTGTCTTATACAAACTTTAATTGTGCCAAAATTCATACTTATTCATACACTCCACGTGATTTTCGTAAAAATCGGTAAGTTTTTATAAAGTTTTCTTTATATATTAATACAATGGTATATTATTTATTACCAAATACATCATGAATTTTGGTAAACATGTCTCGTCACTCTAATTTTTCTATAGCGAGATTATATACAAAATTCTCTGTTTGTTTTATTCCTGCTGTTGTTTCTGTCTATACAGAACTGAAGTTACAATATATTTTAAGACATCTGTGGCACTATTTACGTACACGGTTGTTATCACTTTCCATCAAGTGGGCTTGCCAGCTTCCAGTTGTATGTAAAAAACTGGGGGCAATGAACTTCTAAACTATACACTCATTGGGGACTTATACAAATGCACGAAACTAATAAATGGCTGGCCTTTGATGTAAATCTAATAATGAATGTGCAAAAAAACCAATGAAATCAAATCAAAATCCCGTCTTACAATACATTACAATTGTAATTTTAATTTGTAATTAAAAAACAACGTATTCTATTTTGAAATTATTAAAATTTCAAATAAGTACACGTCGATAATATTCGACTCTATTTTTATACGTTGTTTAATGTTTCCTTTTTGCTTGTCTAATGTAACTATTATTTTTAAAGGTTACTTTTATTTAGGAGGTAATTTTAAAATAGGCTAAATATGAAAGCTATTTTATCTGCTTCTTAAGGAAGGATCTCATTTATTTGGGTTCGGCGTAATGTTTTTCTCTTCCATTCATCCCTGTTCGCAGTCATCTCGTTATTTACTCCTTTTTTTACTATTTCTCTACACAAGCAAACCGAAAACTACTTAATACCAAAGCAGAATTTTTACATATTTGTCTGCATAGTCTAGTCATGAAGGTAGAGAAGATGTCTATAAAATCACGCTAAGACCAATAAAGGAAGAGGTACACTGAAAAATATGGCAACGGGTAAATTGTGACGTAGGCGTACGAAAGAATTAAATGTATTTTCGAATATCAAAATTTTAAACTATTTTGACACTCTGAAGAGAAATAGAAAGTAGGTATATATATATTTGAATCGCCTTCTAAATGTAACGAGATAGCTAATTAGACTACAGTACTTACTTATTCACCTTTCACGAAATATTTTCGATTATTTCGAAAGTGTCACTACGCTAGTGTAAGCAACCGTTTGAATATAGATTTTTTAATGTATATTTACTTAATCAAATTTTTTTTTTATTTATATGTAGAGATTTATATTATAATTACACTTTTGCAAAGTCAGGAAGGCTTGTATATAATATTTTACTAGTGTTTATGGTATTTTTATGATCACAAAAAATTTAAATTGTATTACGTTTATTTTTAAATTCTGTAACGGAGATGTTTGTTATATTTCCATCAAGTTAACATCCCGTTTATTAGTTCTTCGAGCCGGACGAACCAATTATCTATAATGTTAGTAAAAAAACTTTATTTTAGTAAATTATTATTTGAATCGTACAATGTCAGACTTACAATATTATTATACTTATTTAACAAATATTTAATTCATAACGATACGGTTAAATAAACCAAATTAATTTAATCTGTGCTATCGTTACAAATCTAACTTAATTGGTATTCACGATTCGCTGTTTCAAATTTACATTCCTCATAAAAGTAGGTACAAGGCCGGGGAGATTGATACGACGAAATATAACAAATAAAACATACAATTTCTTACAAAACTAAGGTCACCGTATCCCATCAAAATTCAAATTGAATTGCACAATAATGTTGACAAATGTTAACCACTGAGAATGCGATTCGCCTTGCAAAAGTCCACAAATCGCAAGTCAACCCTTTTGAAAAGAAGTTTAATGTGAAACTAGCTTATAGAAATAGAGCCCTACTCAACTCGGGCGCATAGCTCTCACCTTTACAGTATCCGTGCGCTGAACAACGCTTTTAACCGTCCATCGTCCACAAAACACAATGTTTTATCGTATAAACTTTTGTTAATAACACGTCAAAATAATTACACACAATAAATGCCACTATTTCCGAACGCACGGCGTTTATTTTGGACACTATGTTGGATGGCGGCACGTCCTTCGCGCAGACGTCTCGCGCATAACTGAGCCAGAGGAAACTTGCTTGGTAGGTCTGCGTTGCGCCCGCGCACTCAAAGGCCGGTTTACGCTTGCGTTTCGTTACCTCGCCTTTTGTCATACGAATAAATCGGTTTTGCCTCTTACAGAAATTATGTAATAAAAAAATGAATGCCTTGATGAGTGAGATACTGTGTTTTGCATTAGCCGTCACGTTTTTGTGAGAGCGTTAAATTTACTTATTGTTTAGTATAAGTGTGAAGTAATTACTCTGGGTGCAGCCAGGTGGCCACTGGTAGTGGTGGAGCAATCGTAACGGTGTTATGGTGCATTAGTTGTATGGTACACGAATTATCACTGCATTCTCCTGCATATATTTTTAAATAACAGGAATAGCAAAAATGCTAACTTATGGAAAGTAACTACCGGTCCCTGTAGACCTATATAAACCCTGATCAATTCACACAGGTCATCTTGTCTCAAGTTATACACAACTAGTGTTATGAGTAGATACTGACTACTAATAGAAATATTTATATGCATTTTAAGGAATGGAACCCGCGATCATTAGAAATAAGCGGGGTGCTACCGCTAGACTAGCGAGGCTGTCAAGCACAAATATGGACATCCAGCCTGCTGTTATTGTAGGCAAAATTGTTACGCTTACGTAATGAAATTACCTATTTCGTTAATAATACGTGTATAGAGAAAGGGTTATTTATTCGTAATGAGGATTAATCGTTACCAAAGTAAGGTACAATTCTAGCATTCATGCATCAGGTCAAATTGCACAATCTCCCCATGAGTATATAATATTGATAAAATAGTGATAAATTCCAGTTGAATTTACAGTTGATATGGCAAATAAGGTACAGCTCACCTGACAGTAAGTGATAACTTTCACCTATATGCATGACACAGCATAATAAATGCAGCTCTACGCACATCACGTTATCATGTGATGCCCATGATGTGATAGATGTCATGCTTCGCCATTTCAGAGGAGTAAAATGTTATGCAGATGATGCAGATGCAGAAGCATAACAATTTACTACAGTAATTTCACTATCGTATCTTCTTCTTCTTTAAAGATAATTTTAAATTTTCATTATGAAATCATAAATTTAAATTATGAAAGATCGTGGGAAGCGGCAAGAGCTCCACCATCCGAAATTATAAAAGAATCCTTAACTCCACCCTACTACCGAAGCTTACAATTCAAGCTGCATGAAATGAGACTGTACGCAGCTCTCTCCGATCGATCTCACGTCCAATTAAAACGGGGATCGGAATTACGTCTACCTGAGCCGAGGTTCGAACCCCTATGCTGTCAGACTAAAGTCGTATCCGTCAGGCAGGAGATGGCCTTCAGCCGCTCCATAAGTGCTTCTAAGTTTGGAGCGCCATCTGTACGCGCCCCTATCGACCGGTGAAACTGGAAAGGTCAGCTGCGGCCAGCTGCTCCAACAGCATTAGAGTAGTCCGTAAAACAAATACGCAGCCTTTTCATAAAGACTACTTCGGTATGTGCCAAATGACCATCCTTCGTTCTCATCCCATCATGCTCCTCTGTGCCAGCCTCCGCTAGTGATAAGAGTGTGATGTGATAATGAACTACCTGCCGAGGTTTTCTCTAGAGACTATAGCATGGGGTTTTTCAAGAAGGATATCTTAAGGTTTCTTAAGGGTCGGCAACGCGTATGTGACACCCCTGGTGTTTCAGGCGTCCATAGGCTACGGTAACCGTTTACCATCAGATGGGCCGTATGCATGTTTGCCACCTAAGTGGTATAAAAAAAAACAAAGAGTGGTACAGTGGAACCTTTGCTAGTGAGCGCGCCATTCTATATTCATCCTTAATTAAGGAATACGGAATTGCGTAAAATATTATTTTGTTTTATTGCTAGCAATGTGCCAATTTCCCGTCTAACTAATAATTCATAGTGTGTTTCTAATAATTCATTCTCTTCGTAGTGGTAGTTAGGTCACGTAACTCATTTACAAATTTCTACCAATAATTATATAAACAAAGTGTTACATTGTGGTATTTATTATTGTGTATATACATAAAATGTATTAACGTTAATGGCCACTGAAGGGCAGTGCGAGATATTAAGAAAATCATTAAGAATTATGCAACGTCGTTAGCCAAGTAATTAATAAATGAGTACATTCTCACTTTTATTTGTTAGAGTGTAGAGAAAACGAGAATGTGAAATATGGGTAGGGGCCAATGTACATTAGTACACACTATTGTAGTGGCAAGGGAAAAGGGTTAGTAGCGAGGACTGGTGACCATCCTAGTTATGTACCATGTTACGTCGACCTTCACATGCTCCTCCCTGGAAGCAATCGTGGTGAATTCTTAGTCAACATAGGCGAAGTAATCTGATTTCATGCTCATCCTAATCATCTTTCACTAGTACCCTCCTTACCGTTCACGCTAATGGGTCTAACTGTCCATTCCACTATCATACATTAGTATCCTGTATATTGGTAGCAGTAGACTGATTGGAGACGTAACGTTCCTACATCATGACTTGAGTTCATGTAGAATTTATTTTATATACATTAGCAATTTCAAAACAGATAATGATAATAATTAATTTTATTCTTTCATTCTTCTTGTGATGAGTCTGCTTTCCGAATAAATGGTAGAATAAAAAAATACGACTATTCAAAAGTGCTTGAATTGAGTTTATTTAAATAAAGATTACCTATTTCTATTTCATTTTTAAAAAGTTAATATGTCTTCTTAAGTTTTTACTGTACAAATAATTGTTACAAAGAAACAAACAGTAGTCTAGCACCTAATAAAATATCTATCTTTCACAACAAATCACTTGTGTACTAGGCGTCTAGTGCAAAATATCTCTATCAAGCATTTATAATTTTATGCAACTTTATTTCATTGCTCCGTTACTGAATTAAAATAATTGTATTTTAAACTTAAACACGTTTTATTACACATTCAGATTTCGCACTTTGATAAAGTAAGCCACCGATGAATATTGCAGGTGCGTAAAAACTTATATCCTTCCTGTAACTTAATCTGCAGTGAAAAGTTAAGCGTAGGACGGAGAAGAAAGCTATGTGATACCACAGGCTCGTGCGTTCAGTATATCACGGACGCAGATTTAAATCTTTACTGGAAGTATCTGCTGTTGAAATAAAAATAATTTATCATATATATAAAAGATCACGAACATCATATTTATTTATATTTAAATAATAGTTTATAATTAATTACATTAATAATGACATGGTAAATAAACAATAAAAAAAAACCTCAAAATTAATTGCTATGATTGTCCCGTATCGTAGCTGGCTTAAAGGTTCCCATAACGCTCGCAGCATTTCCACGTTGAATTGCTAGGGAAAGATCACGATCACGTCTGTTTCGTTTTTGTTGAACATTGATGCTATTTTTTTTAGAAAATCTACTAAAAGAGTTAACTACCATAAGAGTTGAAAATTTAAATATAGTAATTTTGTTTGGAAATATGAATATAAGATCTAAATTTGCAATCTCAGTTGAAAAGCACTAAATAAATATTCTTTCTTTCTTTCTCTTTCAATTTGTCAGTTCTATTGTTGTCTATTTTGTTAATAAAATTAAGAAATATCTTCATTTAATGCAAGGCCGAGTTGAGTCGCTAGGAGACATAACAATAATTAGGAAAGAAGTAACAGGCGTGTCAATTGAGTTACGGCTGAATTTCTTTTATCTATGCAACTGGACTTACACTCCAGGTAAGCAGTAACAGTCACCTATGCATTAATATTCATTCATTCATAATTTAAGACCTAAGCTGCTGTTGGAGGAGCTCTTGCCACTGTCCATAATCTTCCATTATGCTCTATAAATGTTGACACGACACGACTCCTACTTTGTCTTTATTTTGTTTGATGTAGCTATTGTTGAATTGGGAGATATTCCGAGTGAAATGACCTAGATTTTAATGGATATTTTTAATAAAATACGAACATGATGTTGAACGTAACTTTTAATCTATCAATATGTTTTTTTAACAATGACAAAATTTATTACTCAAATACAATTATGTATATGAACCTCTATGTTCATTCAACATACCCCCCTTGGTCTTCCCCTCCCCTTCTTATAACACTACGAAAATCATGTTATCATGTGACATTCGTGATAACAATCATTCTTTGCTATTTCAGAGGATTAAGATGTCATTGATATGTCCTGTAAATTCACTGCCAAAACTACACCCTACAACTGAAACGCAGTTAACTTAGCAATCTAGTTAAGGGCTGAAATAGGTGAGACAGCTATCCATATATACGTAGACTTTTTAAAGTCTACCTCTGGTAATTTCTCACTGGCCCTTGCTCACTCATCTGTGTGAAACATAATAATGCTATATAAATATTTACAACTAGCTGCACCCGCGACTTCGTCCGCGTGGAATGTAACTTTATTTTTCTAAAATAAAAGTAGCCTAAGTTACTCCCTATTACATCAGCTACCTGCCAAAAAAAGTCCCGTTAAAATCGGTCCAGCCATTTTAGAGAACAAACAGACCGACAGACAGACAGACAAAAATGTTAGAAAGTGATTTTTTGGTGTATGTACCGTATTTTACTATATTCATATGCATATAGTAAAATACGGTTATTTCAATATTACAAACAGACACTCCAATTTTATTTATATGTATAGATTATTTTGTTTAAAAAGTAAATTCTCCATAGACACAAGATCCATAAACACAACAACTTGAATCCAATGTCTTAGTACCGCATCATAGGATGTCACTATTCTATTTTCTATATGTCTTTGTGTATTTCAATAGATAGGTTTCACTTAGCCGCGTCACGTTCAAGGTGTAATATTAGATTGTAAATAAGAAAATTAACCACAGTTTGTGGTCGTTGGGACATTGCTGATAAGTGCCGTGAAAAACTCACATTATTCTATGTCGCTGCTAACTGGGTTAAATATAACTAGCTATTGTGTACTTAATTTAATTTTAAACTATTCGAAATTATTTTGTAGAAATCATTTTTACTTTTTTTTTTGTTTTATTAGTTAGCTGCTAGTTGCTAGGTATTACATGCAAGTTTGCTTTTTTTTAGTTAAAAGATAGGCTTGTATCACGAGTACGTGTATACTCGTGATACAATGTAACATTGCGTCAAAGTTCTTTAATATCCGTTCAGTTGTTTAGTCGTATAAAAGTAACAAACAGACAGTCAGTTACACTTTCACATTTATAATACATAATACAGTGCATTATGAATAAAGTGTAGGTGGGTTTTAAGTCACAGTTTTAGTTTGGTTCTTCCATTTACTTCTTTCAAACCACGTAACCGATATTAATATTTTCATTATCATTTGAAGAATTTCTTCCGGAATATCTGTAATATATATCTACATACAAAATACTTAGCTTACATGACCTCCGTCACATACGCGCACTCTAAAGCCGAGCAAAGTAAGTTAAGTCACTAGTTAAAAATAAGAATAAAATTTAATTATCCTTATACAAAATTCCTCCTAAAACCTAACAAAATGAGTATGAAACTAAATCAAAAACTCATAGAGAAGAAATCTACTCAATTTAACTTTATATTTGTTTGTTTTCATTATTTTTCGTATTTATTAATATGCTTGAAAAGGAATATGAGATAAAATATGCTTGAATTGTTTTGACCTAATTACATCTGGAATTATAAATTAATTTCTTTTCTTAATAACAAGTATAGTTTTGCCATGCTATAGTCGATTATTTTTCATAATAAAGACATTAACGACTTCGAGTGAAACAATCTATGATTTAGTGCCATCTAGGGGTGAATAGTGATTATTTTAATACCCATAATGACATCTAGCGGCATTTATATTATAATAAAATTTGATTCGTTCAAAAGTATAATAAGATCAATCTATACAAAATATATCTAATAAGTGTTGTTTATGTTGTAGTATTAATATTTTATAGGCAATGAAGAATATGCATAAAATTTCATTGTTATTCGTTAATTGTTTTGAATTCAAAACGGGCATTTGCTTAAACGCAATCGTCAAGAATAGCAGTCATTGTCATCATATCTGTCACCATGACAACGCGATCAAACAAAACAAAATATTTGTTAATTTCAGAAAATTTATGATCAATTAAATTATTTAAATAACAACAATGTCCGAAACTGCTAAAGAAACTAAGACGGAAGACAAAGCAAATAATAATGTATCTATTGAGATCAAACCATTAGATGAAGAACAAGTTAAACTCAATAGTGAACTCAAAAATCGTTTACGTAAATATATAAAAAAGTTGGACGGTAAGCCTAATAAGTATTTTATAACCTATTGAGTATTTTATACATGAAATAAAAGTATTTATTGAATTACCAACAGAACATTATACGGCACATGATTTTGCATTGTATAAAATTTATTAGTTTATATGCTACGGCATTATTTTCAACTATTTTTTTAATATCTTATTGTCGATTTAGTTCACTGCCTTTCTAAAAACTAGGTCATTTCATTAGATCGATATAGAGAATTTGTCACGATGGGCTAACTGACCTGACCTCATGTTTATCTTATCATCCTCCACTGGTGCCCCAAGGGTTAATTGTTAAATGTGGATTGATGATCTTATTGCTAGCAATGTACGCAGGCGGGAGCTCCAGTCCCCCTGGAAACCATCATGATAAATTACTGGTGAATTTGTTACAATGGGCTAACTGACCTGACCTCATGTTTTTTAATGGTTGACAATGAAATAGTTTTCATTGTCAACCATTAAAAAAAAAAGTATGTAGCTACAATCAATTGCTAAATACAGTTTGCAATACCTCTAATTTTTACTTCATGGATTTATGTTTATTTGTTTATTTCCCTGATCATAGTATAAATTCATTAAGTAATCAAATAGACTACCATAGTAACAACTAATTCTATAAAACATATACTTCTAATTTAAATTTTTAATTGTTTATTTCATTTGTTTAAATACTAAAATACTACATGTAGTATTTTAACCAAATAAAAATCTGGGTATCTATGACCTATTTCATACAGTCAGTCTTTGGGAGAGCTCCTCCAAACAAGTTCTTTTGCAAACTACACAAAACTATTTTTTCATTGCAGACACAGGAACTAGTACAACAAAACTGGAAAGTGAAAAGACAGAAATTGAAACATTTAAACAGCTTTACAAACCTAAATTGGATTCCGACGAGGATTCCTACAAAAGGATACCAAAATTCTACTTCAAATTGCCCCGGCCTGATGAAGTTCTTGCACAGAAGCTGAGAGAAGAAACACGAGCACAGTTTCTACAGAAGAAAAGCAAAGAACTGTTGGATAACAGTGAATTGAAACAACTTTGGAGTTTGATAGAGAAGTCTAATGGTAGCTACAGCATGGCTAATAGTGATGAGCTTACAATTGACTATTTTCAATTTAAGAAGATCAGGGATGAAGCTGGTGCTAAATATAGGTATGTATTACTGACATTCACATAAATGAAACTGAGGTGAAAACATCCAGTAGGAGATGTAGAGCTGAGAGTGTCAACAAAGAGCCCTAAATCCGAACTGTAGTGTTTATAATATTAATAGGTCTTAAACAAAACAAACATACCATTGCGACTGTTCTTCCAGAGGTGGTCTAAGGTATTGTTTACTGTTGATATTGAGATAAATGCAATCTCTGGAGTGTAATTCAAGGTAGTAAACCAGTCAATACTCACAATTCCAACTTCACATATGTAATACATATTTTAACACAAATGTGTTTCTTTTCAGACCATATTTCACAGCAGAAGTATTCGGCCGGTTACAAGCGGCAGAGGGTGGCATGGGTCGTGTCCGAGGTGTATCACTGTTCAATTACGTCATGCGACGAGTCTGGCTGCAGCAGACGAGGATAGGACTCTCATTGTATGACGTCACAGGTCAAGGATACCTAACAGAACACGTTAGTATGTGATATATAAGATTTAAGAATATACTGCTACGACTAATGAATCAAACCAAAATCACATAATGTTTATTTGTATAAAAACCTAATCTTTGTACATACACTTAAGATAAGTCAAATCTACCATCAGTTGGGATTCTTGGAGCTCAGAAGAGCTGTTATTTTTTTTTTTTTTATTGGGTTGTTTGGGCTATTGTCAGATGTGTAGCACCTGTAGCACTGCGACCTACATAGATCTATTGTGCTCGCCCTTTTCAGAGTTCGCTACCTAGACCCGTCAGGGACAAGAATTGAAGGATATTCTTAGGAGCGATCGTTTTTATCTCCTCGGGAAAGAGTGTAAACTTTCCAAAGGAGATATTTCGTTTATGCATGAGTGGGCTACAACCACATAGGATGTGAAGCGGCGTTTCCTCTTCAGTTTGGCAGAATCTGCAGATACTTGTCGTGCATAGGCCTAGCTTAGCCATATGCTTGTTCAATTTGCAGTGTCCTGTGAGGGCCCTAGTCATCATGCATATGTTGTTTTTACTCAATTGCAGTAATCTATTGGAGTATTTGGTCGAGAAGCCCGATATAAGGTCTTTTGAATGTATTAATCCTGGCATTTCTTGCCAGTGATTCAGTGCTTCTCGTTTGGTTATTAATTTGAGATGTCCCAGTTTTAGGCAACGAGGCACACCACAGAAGGGTTCGGGGCCCAGTTGGACGGTTTTTGCCCCTAACTTTGCCAGATGGTCGGCATTCTCATTGCCTTCAATATTTGAATGCCCGGGGACCCATCTCAGTATAATATTATTTCTGCTTCCTACTTCATTTAGTAGCAGGATACAGTTTCTAATAAGTTTAGAACGGATTTCGTACGAGTTAAGTGCTAGTAGAGCAGCTTGACTGTACGAATAAGAGCTGTTAAGACTCTTCTCTAATTCTTCAAATGAGATTTGATCTGATACTTGAACAGTACCACAGCATCGTGATATCATATGATGTAGTACCACTCGCCATTCCGGAGGATTATGATGTCATACCTCGTGTCACTACCTTTTTTTTTCAATTTATTTCGGTCTGAAGGGTGAGAACTCTACAGACCAAAACATATATGTATACAAACACAATATATATTTTCACATATTGTGTATTATCACACTTGCTTTCCATCAGTTAGGCTAGCTATTATTTGGTTTGGGTGGAATGACAAACAAAATTAATGTATTTGATAATAAAGAGACTACAGCATGGGATTATTCAAGAAGGGTATATGAAGGTTTCTTAAGGGTCAGCAACGCGCATGTGACACCCCTGGTGTTTCAGGCGTCCATAGGCTACGGTAACCGTCTACTATCGGATGGGCCGTATGCTTGTTTGCCACCTACGTGGCATAAAAAAAAAGAGTTTCTGCTGTCTTATAGGACTTGGAGAGTTACATAGCAGAGTTAGTGCCGTCTCTGGCGGCCCTCGACGGCTTAGACTCATCATTCAGCTCGTTCTACGTGTGCACGGCTGCGCGGAAGTTCCTCTTCTTCCTCGACCCACTGCGGGTTGGTCGCGTGAGAATACGAGATGTCCTGAGTTGCTCATTTCTTGATGACTTGCTTGAGGTGAGAAACTATTATGCAGTAATCGTTTTTTTTACGTAATTTGATAAATAAACAGGCTGGTGGCCCATAATGGTGGCTGGTAAATACTAACAAATGGTAACTTCGTCTGTATTTAACTAAACAGTACCACGCGTTATAACGTAGTATATACCACTCGTGCGTTGGCATGCCACTATATTTTGGATTTGCCATTAGATTTTGGATGAAGATAATTATGAAATGATTTACAGGATAAGAGTCAAAACATCTTAGTCCTCTGGACATTACACAATACACCCCGCGTCGGCAGGGAAATCCAAGTTTATAATGATGTATATGCCGCATAACATGCTGTTGAAATGTAACGATAGGATTCTTCCATCTTATGGATTCCTAGTAACGGTGTATTTAGAGTTGAAATTAAATTTTAAGTGTGCAATTGTGCGTGAACAATTTTAATGAAAGAATTGTAAGCATACGGACAGAACAATCCTTTTCTAATGAATAATAACTTCTAAGATTTCATGTTTACCTGGTATTTGTACCTGTGTATAAATAATACTCCATTTGAAATTGGCTAATTTAGATCACTTGCTGTTGAAAAATGTATATCATTTTGATTCAAATATCTTCCTTCATTTAACTAGATTCCTAGTACCTAGGAATGAAGTCACTTGTACAAACAAAAATACATATAGAGGATTGCGGTCCAGAAGGGAAGAAATGTACATACATAAACTTGTCTTAACGTCTCTGTTTTTCTAATAGCTTCGAGAAGAGGATCTTCCCATGGAATTGCAAGAGCAGAATTGGTTCAGCGCAGCATCTGCACTGCGAGTGTATGGACAATATCTGAACTTAGACAGGGATCATAATGGGATGCTTAGTATTAATGAATTGGCAGGGTGAGTTTATCTTATATATAAAATTCTCGTGTCACAGTTTTCGTTCCCATACTCCTCCGAAACGGCTTGACCGATTCTCATGAAATTTTGTGAGCGTATTGAGTAGGTCTGAGAATCGGCCAACATCTATTTTTCATCCCCTAAATGTTAGGGGTAGTCCACCCCTAAATTTTTTTTTATTTTAAGGCAAAACAACGTTTTCAGGGACAGCTAGTTATTTTATAGTTTTTTTTAGTGTAACCCTACAGTGTACTTAACTAATATTATACAGAGATATTTGTTTGACTTTCTATATTACATAGATACTAATATTACAAATGTGCAAAAGTTACTATCGGTCTATCTTTTTGTTACCTTCATGTTTCACAACTAAATGGCTGAACAGATCTTGGTTAAATAGTATGGCGAAAATTATACTGTTTTTTAGATAATACATAGACAGAAGAATAGATCTACTTTTTACCTCAACAATCGAATTATACTATAATATTATAGAGGTAAAACTTAAGGTTAATATCCGGTCCTATTCATCTGATATTGAACATTGTTTTAGTGTTGGATAGCCCAAAAGGTCAACTCAAAATTACTTGACTGATTTTATAATTCTTTCACCTAATGATAGTTACATTGTCTGCAAGTAACATAGGCTGATAATGTACCCATTTAACAGCAGGGTATTTAGCTATTATTGTAATTTAGGTATCATTTAGGTTCAGGATATTTAGCTAATTTAATATTAAATATTTCATTTTCAGCTACGGCTCGGGTACGCTAACACAGGCGTTCTTACAAAGGGTATTCCAACAGTGCCTCACGTACGACGGCGAAATGGACTACAAGACCTATTTAGATCTGGTGCTAGCCCTGGAGAACAGGAGGCAGCCTGCGGCACTAGCATACCTGTTCCGTGTCCTCGACATCAATTCCCAGGGATATTTGGACGCGTTCACGCTTAACTATTTCTTTAAGGTAGACTGCAACATCTATACATATAAATAAAATTGGAGTATCTGTTTATAATATTGAAATAACCGTTTTTTACTACATGTATATGAATATAAATACGGTACATACACCAAAATATCATTTTTTACAATTTTTGTCTGTCTGTTTGTTAATCTCTGAAATGGCTAGACCGATTTTGACGGGACTTTTTTTGGCAGGTAGCTGCTGTAATAAGGAGTAACTTAGACTACTTTTATTTTAGAAAAATTAAATTAATTTCCACGCGGTAGAAGTCGCGGGAACTGCTAGTTAGTAAAATAATAATAACCGTGGACAATTTATATAGCGTCAAATAGTCCCTAGCTAAGCATAACTTATGTTACGGGTACTAGACAAGTGATTTTTGTATAAATACATGTATAATATATCTAGATCGATACAAACAATTACACTCATGAATGCAAATATTTGTTTGTCGAGGAATTGAACCTGCGACTATGGGAAGTAAAGCAGTTTGTTAAACCGCTAGACTACCGGGGCCGTTAATTACATACGTTTGCGTGTCATTAAAACTATATAAACTCAATATATGGTATTCATTAATTCTATCACAAGATAAATCAAGTATTTTAAATTCACAGGCCATTCAAGAACAAATGGTCGCCCACGGGGCGGAGCCAGTCAACTTCGATGACGTTAAAGATGAGATCTTCGACATGATACGACCGCAGCATCCTTCACGCATCACGCTACAAGATTTACTCCACAGCGGCCACGGACATACTGCGGTTTCTATACTTCTAGAGCTGCATGGATTCTGGGCTTATGAGAATAGAGAGGCGTTAGCAGCCGCGGGCGACCATAGTGCTTGACAAATGTGTTATAAATTTGAGGACAGAAGAAATTTCTCTTAGTGGTAAATAATACCAAAGTAGACTTTAGGAAGTCGCCTGAGCGGCTATCTTTGTCTCATATACTTGTGCCGCTAAGCTTTGTATCAATTTGAAGGTTGAGAGATGGCAGTACGGAGGCATGTTATTTTAGTCACCAGGAAAGGTAACTCATACAGCATAAAATTTAGTCAAAATGACGTATGTATAGACGAGTTAGATGCCTATGTGGAATCAATAAAATGAAATATGAACGTTCTATCTACCATAATATAAATATTTTTTTCTGACTACTCTAATGCTGTTGGCCGCAGCTGGCCTTTACAGCTTCACCCAATGTTAGGGGGCGAGTGCAGAGGGCACTCATCCCTACCGTCCGGTGAAGCTATTGTTTTTATGTCAACATCATTTGATATTTATCGTATGTCGATGATACTTAAGATCAATATCAACATCGATATTTTCTAATCCCATATCTAGTGTATAGTTTATGCTACAATAAATAAAATGTTGTTATTGCTTTATATCATTTATTAATGTAACAAAATCAAAATGTTCAAAAATATAATAACAAGAACATTAAACAGCATAGCAAATTTATTATGTAACATTAGGACATTTTTGTTATATTATTATTATACTTAGACAATAAAAGTATAACTATTATAACATAAGATATTATTTGATAATAACTTTGTAATATTTGATGTTTAATTACAATTTTTACAAATATATTATTTTATATAAAGCCATATATGATGTATATTATTTTCATTAACCACGAAAATTAGAAAATTAATTATACTTAATATAACAACAGTAACAAAATTTCATAAAACAATAAAATGGCAATAAAAACAACTGGTATCAACAAATCTCTGACCACCCCAAACGGGAATAGACGTGAGTTACATAACGATAAAAATAATTAATTTTAATCTTTAATTGTTAGATCGTATATATTCTAGATTGCACTTTTAAATACATTAATCAATGCTTATAAAAATCCACTATATATGAAATACACACTAATTTATTTAATTTTCATATCTGTTTCTTTTCTTTTCACGACAGAACAGCAGAACTGTTCTTAGTGAAATTTTGTGTATAGATAGAGGGTATCCGCTAACTGACAGGCAAATTTTTATTTAAAAAATGCGGTATGTATAGTTATCTATATTGTACTTTATATTACTTTATTACTTGGCTTTATACAATGTAAAACTTGATTTCTTCAAATTTTACATTCCATTCGATGAGTTTGCAGATCAAAATGAGTTATAGCCCATTTTTGAAAATTACAAGTATTCGATTTATTTAAATTGTTCACTTTATAATTATGTTTATTTGAAACAAAGTGACACATACTACAGTTAAAAGGGATTTATCTGTTTCAGCTTTTATGGATGGAAGGTGTGAGTAATTAAACAGTGCCTTGGGAGCATTTTTATGCTAGAAAATTAATCACAATATGTTTAATTCATAAATAATCTTCTCATAACGCAGTGAAGTAAATTGTGAGAAGAAAATTTATAAAATCCTCAGTATATTAAACTTTATACCGACTCTTGTGCACTCCTGTATTCGTAGACACTGCCTCTTTCAAGGAACTCGCTATAGTGTTTGCTCCCAACGTTGTCTTGCCCGCTGGCATCTGTTGGACGTCCATAACCACCGCCAGCCGGAGAATTCATTATATATTTATCCTGTAAAACCATCATGTTGTACTAATACTTTTTGTACGTTTAATATCTTGATATTCATAAAGTCAGGCAAATATTCGACGCTGTTACGCTCGACTGTTACTCGACGGCATATATTATTTCTATCATATAGATAAATGTTTTATACCAATTAATTCTACCTTTCATCTCAAGAAAAAGCTGACAAGTCGCGTGAAACAGTTAGTATATTTAATGCTTACCCCAGGATATGCTTCTATAGATGCTTTCCCTCCGAGATTGATCAAATGTTTTATTGCAAGTTAATTCTCGCGCTTTCATCTCTGCAGAGTTACATTTGACACTTTACTGACTTATAACCCCCGTAAGTGAATATTTAATAATATAAGGTTGATATGAATTTCAGAGGTCAGGAATAATAAGTAAAAATTCAGTTCTTGAATCATAGCCTATTTTCTCCATGTTTTGAAAGAAATTTTCATGTATTATGATTACCTAATCAAACAAAACTCCTGAAATGTCTTATTCTACCTATTACTTTGTACATTCTATAAAATAATAATAATAATGTACGTGGACAATTCACACAGCGCCATCTAGTCACAAGCTAAGCAGAGCTCGTGTTATAGGTACTAGACAACCAATAGAATTACTTATTATTCATAATTTAATCATAGAGACGGCCGAAAATTATACGTAGAATGAATCTGTGACCACCGGAAATTGAGACAGTGTGTTTAAAATGTATATATAGGTTTTACAACAATCTCCCTTAGTCTGTACTCAATTTGCCAGAAAAAAAATTCAAATGTGTCATAAAATATTTTCTTTGTAAAAAAGCTTATAAAATGTTTTTGTAGAAAATATCTAACTTAAAATTCATAGCGCTGACAATGTTACCTGATTGAACGGAGATTAAGTGCGTAGTGGTTTCTATGTTGATTGTCGTCATGCCTAATTTTTGTTGTTAATTTTAATATAAGTACATCAATATTTATTTAAAAGAGCAGCACACAAGTTTCTTGCTTATTCTTCTTGTGGTGAATCTGCATTTCGAATAAGCGGTAGAATAAAAAAACTTGACTATTCAAAAGTGCTTATATTAAGTTTATTTGAATAAAGATTATTTCTATTTCTATAAATAAAAACAAGTGCTGAATACCGTTCATCCCGTAGGGCTGGAATGCGCGGCGTTCAGTGAGTACTGACAACTGTACGGTGCGCCGAAACACCAGCTCGCGGGTAACACCGTCTCCACCACGCCACTCGCCTGCAAGTAATAATAATATAAATTCTCACCACAATTCACACAGGCCATCTAGACTCACGCTATGCAGACTTTGTGTTATGGTAGTTGACAACTTATATAAATAAACAGATTTTTTCCTTGAAATTCCACTGATATCTCACCCTACAAACTTGAACATTGTCGAAATATTAAAAAAATAGTCCTCAAGTATGTAGTATATAGTCCTCACTAATTCTTGGGTTTAGTTTAGTTTAATTGTATTTCTTTATAAGGTAATTCCTGCCCTAAAAGGTATACAACGCAACTACCTAGAAGTCGTTGCCCCCAAAAGATGATGTCGGGGCGATGCCCCAGCCTTCACCCCCCTAGATGCACCCCTCTACCTGTTACCCAGTGTCAGTTAAGATGTATAAGGTAGGAATAAAGAAAGTTATAATTGTATATAGTATTAAATTAGTTAAATCTGCAAATTACGACAACCACGTTATTGTGAACAAGAAGCCTCAAGAACACAAAACACTCTAATGAAATTCTTCAAGAATTATTAGACTAACCTTTACCCCCGGAGCCTTCCCTCAAAGAGAACCTGGTGACCAGCATGGGATACCGTCGCTCCACGATCTCAAGATCAGTGATGCGCGTGTTAGTCATATGAGTGTGAACTCCACCAGCGCCGTGCCAACCTGGACCCTGGAACCATGTGCAGGAATAGGTCAAACATACTAATATTATAAACATGGAATTTGTGAGTGTGATGGATGGATGTTTTTTACTCTTTCACGCAAGAACTACTGAATGGATTTTAATGAAACTTTACAATAATCTAGCCATACATCAGAATAACACACACAGAGTGACATACTAATCACTCCACACTGCTACACTTTAGGTTTTCATTGCATTCGTGGGAAGCTAGGGTAAGTCGGTAGAAATCTATCTTAGATAGACAAAGATAGTTTATCTAAAAGAAAACAAGCGAAGTCCCTGGTATAAACAAATAAATACAACTCACAGCGCCGCTGCCACCGGCCACAGTTTCGTAGTAGCCCCAGCTCTGCTCGCCTAAGGTCAAGTTGTTCATGCAACCCTGAGATGCCGCACACACCTAAAGATACAATTTTTTTTATTATTTTACTCAATAATTTATTGTACTATTATTTATATAACTTTTTATCATTTTTAGAATCGATCAAGTGAGCATTGGATCAACAAAAAAATTAACTCAATCCAAATGCATTCCTATAAAAATTTTTCAACTATTGAAAGATACGTTACTGGTGATACATATGTTACTAGTTTTATCCTGTGGCACTCCTGGTTTGAAATACAGCGAGTAACATACTAGCTCATAATGTCAAATTATTTCGTCATGAATCATAAACATTAAGGTATATCAGCTAGTTTTATTATAATAGACACCTCTTTTTTGAAATAAAAGGAAACTAATATAATATTTCATATCCATTCTGAGATACACCTCTCACCTAGTTCAGCCGCCAAGTTTGCTTTGCAATCACTGTTATGCTTGTTGGGTCGATTAGGCAATGAAATTATAGGATAAGAGGCATGATATCTTAATACTCTGGAATGACAACGTATGAGTGGTGATGTGCCGCCACCAGAGGTGCCGCCAGCTTGTTTGTCATTCCAATTACAAAAAAATAAACTCCCCTCGATACTTCCATATTTAAACTCACCTGGAAAGCTTTGAGCAACACATCGACAATCCGTTGAGAAGTAAGCACGTTCCCGCCGACGACGGCCGCGTGCTCCGACGGGTCCAGAATAGACCCCGGGGGCACGATCACTTGTACCGGGTTCAAGCAACCCTTAATAACAATAACTATGTGTTGTAACAGTTTGTGATAAAGTTGAAGAAAATACAATAGATTAACCGAAACGTTGCGAAAATTTAATACCATATCTAACATAAAATTATTCGTGTTAAGAACCACTTTATCATCATGATACGTGATCTAGTCCTTATTTAATTGACATTAAAAAAATATCTATGAATGATTCCATTGAAATGGAATGTCAGAAAAAAATATATAATAAAGCAGTTTAAGCAACCTGTTTATACAAACAGAGCTAAAAACATTACACGTTCGTCAGCAGTTGATAAAAAATTGAGGTGGATTGTTACCTGATTGAGAGGTACGTCGTGTCCGACCATGCAGCGCAGACAGTATATGAGAGCAGAAAGTGTGATGGCGCGCGGGGCATTTAAGTTACCCCACACTTCTACTCCAGTACCACTGTAAACAATATCGGGCTCTTGTACTGACAACTACATACAAAAATATCATCATCGTTCGAGCCAGATATAGACCAGCAGAAAAATAGGTTCCTACGAGTATATTACAGGTCCCCTCCGATCGATCCCCCATCCAATTCAAACGGGAATCGAAATTACGACGGCCTGAGCCGAGTTCCGAACCCCTAGTGGTGCCCTCAGACTAGTCGTATCCGTCAGGCAGGTGCTGGCCTTTAGCCGCTCCATAAGTCCTTCCGTGGGTTTGGAGTGACATCTCCACTCGCCTCCTAATATCCGGTGAAGCTGTAAAGGCCAGCTGCGGCCAACAGCATTAGAGCAGTCCGAAAAAGAAAAAAGTATATTACAATAAATAATACATATATAGATGTCAAATTGAAATGTTTTTACTCATAAAATCTCCTACAAACCAATTTTATTACAATATTTCTTGCCTTTCCAATTAAGAAAACATCAGAGAAGAAAGGAACAAGTTAGTCATTTAATACTTTTATACACATTTTTTTTATAATATAAAGATAAATGTAAACTGCACTGTTGGCAAACCTTTCGGGCTCCATTTAATCCTTTATATTTGAAAACCTTGTAAAATACAAATACATTAAAAATATTATACTCAAAATCTTGTTCTTTTTCAATTTCAAACTATAATTACACTTACGTAAAGTCGCAAGTCGCACTACCATTATCCTTATCCAGAGTGACGCTGAGAACAATGGGTGTGCCATTGTCCATATATTCTGTCGCTTTGAGAACCGTAGATCCAGTTTTAGCTAAGGCATTTCTCGCAATTTCCTGGAACATAAGAAATTTCTTTGTAGAAAGAGTTGGTGCAACCTATAACACTGTGTCCTAAATTATAGATTGTATGAGGTTTTTTTTAATTCTACGGAATGATGCACCTACTGCGCTAACAACATACACTGGTGCGGTACTAGTATAAGATGCTAGAATGAGTGAAGTCAGGCCTACTTTTGCATTTATAAAACATACCCTGTTTAAAGTCCTTTATAAGTATAAGTCCTTTGAAATGTAAATTTGAAATAATTTCACAGCAGTGTGTCGTAATAATCGAAGACTTTTTACAGAGTTGCAGAATTGCTTGGTTTCATCAAGATTTCCATCAAGTTTTCCCCAATAAAGTGATCTCTCATAGAAGCTATCCCTGGTTATCACTTCCTATATATTTGACCCAACAGACTAAATCTAAAACATAATTCTTATTATTACATTTCAGGGGACTTATCGGCTACCCGGTTTTAGGTTAGGTTAGGTTATTTATAGTTTAGGTTATTGTAAGGTAAAGAATGAATACATTACAGGAAGTATGAAAGCAGAGCCAGTATCGCCTGTCTTGGTACTGGCACGTAATGCATAGAAATGAAGAAATATTTTAAAGTAATGTGGAATGTAATTCGGGCAGAAGAAAGCCAAAAGAGATGGATGGGCCGTGTGTGATATGACAAGAAAGGTGAGAGTGAATAATAAGATGACTGAGAACGTGAGAGATAACGTAGAAGATAGAAGAAGGTGATGATTTTTTTGTGGTTTTAGTATGAACAATATTACCTTGAGCATATCACGGACGGCAAGCTCTGCATTCTTCTGTATATGCGCCATGTATGCCTGCACCACCTCCAGTCCATACTGATCTATTAACTCGCCCACCAATTGAATACCCTGAAGAAACGAATCACTTAAACTGTAGTCGTCAATACCAATATTTTAAAGAGGAATGACGTTATTGTTCGTTTATTTGTTTGCACTGAAGAGGATCCGAAACTACTGGACCAATTAGAAAAGTTAGATCACTACATTAACCCTGATGAATATAGACGATAGTATATTCTCAAAAACGTTAAGAATCCATATTGATATTCTGATAATGTACGACACGTAACGAATAAAAAAAAATGCCTTTTATTAAAACTTCTGTGACAAAGTTATTAGAATTCAAATAGTTCTTAAGACTAGACTTTTACAAAGTGATCTACAGGCGCATCGCCTAACAATCTAATTTATAAGCTTTAATATTGCTTTCAATATAATATGACAGTGAAATAAAACGCGGTAATTGTATCATAGTTAGATTTCTGCACTTACTCTTTGGTTAGCGGCTACCTGCGCCTTCAAATCCGACAGGTTATCCGCCAGGTTCCTGGTGCCTGAGCAACCAGGCTCCTTACCGGGATTCATAAGCTCTAAAAACATTGATATTAGTATTAAACATTTATATAACAATCCGATATTATGCACACCTACATTAATGTGGATTTCCAAAAAATATTTTGTTTTAATTAATTTTGGTATCGATTTGTTTACGTGTCACGGGTAAACAGCTAACGGACACTGATGTATCTGAGCACCTGATCTAAATCGGTAGCCGCCATTCCGCCTTTAGCAAATGGCTCTGCAAGCTATTATCTCATTAGAAAATCGCAATGGTAGACTGTGTACTCAGTCTGCATAGTATAAATACCTCTATCTTACTTCTGAAATTCGAAATAAAAAGTATTTAAGAATTTATATACCATCGTCCATGGGTACTAACCCATAACGCAAGTTCTGCTTAGCTTAGACTAAATTGGCGCTGCGTGGATTATCCAGGGTAATTATTATTATTCCTATATATATATATATCTTATATATATAAAATTCTCGTGTCACAGTTTTCGTTCCCATACTCCTCCGAAACGGCTTGACCGATTCTCATGAAATTTTGTGAGCGTATTGAGTAGGTCTGAGAATCGGCCAACATCTAATTTTCATCCCCCTAAATGTTAGGGTTAGTCCACCCCTAATTTTTTTTTTATTTTAAGACAAAACAACGTTTTACGGGACAGCTAGTATATGTATATATATGTCCCTTTTTACGGGGGTAATACTTTCAAACACGTGCCTTAGCCAAACGTGGATGAATTATATGATGAAGAAGAAAGAAATTTTCTTACTATACGGCATGTGTTGAGAATGACGACTTTTGTAAAAGTTCTATTGTAGAAGAGGGGATCTATTATTATGCCAACACTTGAGGCCAAGTGGAAGCGTTTTTTTGCTTGATAATGGAATTCCTATTACCAACAAACAAAAACGGTTCCACTCCACTTGTAGGTGTATACAAAAGTAAATTACGTTCGACAAGCGACTCCTCGTTGAATCGGCCGCCGTCTACGAGCAGCATGGATTTAAAAGCAGCGCCCTCCTGCGCCAGGCTGACGGAGTGAGGCGGCATCGAGCCGGGTGTGAGGCCACCGATGTCTGCGTGGTGACCGCGAGACGCTACGAAGAAGATAGGCCGCCCGGCCGACCTGACGTAAGAGAATTATTATATTAATACGTGAAGCAAAAACTTTATACACATAGTTCTATTTATGTATATGTATTCTATTTATATGTATGTATATATATGTATGTATATATATATATGTGTATATTAATGGTATTTGTATGTATATTTAGTATTCATATAATATCTAACTTTCCCTTACCCAATGCTTCTATCTCCCTGGTTGTCTGTAAGAGATTGCTTTAAGCGATAAGGCCGCCTTTTGTTTGCATATCCTTCTTTTTTTTATTTCCTTTTTGTAATTATTTGTTTCTTTTATGCACAATAAAGAGTTTTATTATTATTATTATTACAAAACTTACGCGTATAGAGGAGTAAAGAATTAATATAAATGTAGTTTATGTAAAGAAGTGCAGAATGCACTTAACTTAACATGAATATTTTTTTAATAATGCGTAATAATTACTCTAAATTAATAAAAACACATCAACACTACCATGTATATTTGACACGCACGCTTAGGCGTATTTGACAATAGAACCTTAAAGTTAGAACTTATAATTTAAATGATATATGATCGATTTTCGTAATAATAATATGTAGATAATCTGTTGATGTAAGAGTTTACCTATAAGTGATAAGTTACTTAAGTATATTCTTACAAAGTTAAAACTTACTTTTCCTTTTTGCACTTTAAAAAGAGTTTAGAAGAGTCACAAAGATACTTTTATGCATTTTGACATAAATCTATCACGATACAATTTGATCAAGGCGTCGTCAGCGTGTGACTACCTGAGACAGAGGTCTCACATATGTCAGTAGCAGATTGTAGGGTGATATATGACAGTGGTACATGTAATAAGCATTTAATCAGAAATAAGAAGAATTTAATCTAAGTTCTCCAGAATAACAATGCTTGAGGACTACCACGGTCATCACCTAACCATGTGCTAGTGATACTGTTAATGTACACATATAGACGACAGTTGTTTCACATCAGCTGAACCGGCATCTTGTTTACTGATCCATTACGAAAAAATTAAACAGATTTCCCTAGTGTCGGATCAAGTGTATATCTTTATTATATATTTTTAATAAATATATAATAAAGGTTATATATAATAATAATTGACGAAGTCATGCTTACTTGTGGAATACAGGTGTGATAACTGTAAAATCTGGAAGATGTGAGCCGCCTGCTTTGGGGTGATTAGCTAACAAAACATCACCGGGCTTCAAGGAATCACCGCGCACTTTCATCTGTAATACAATTAGATCATTCATAAATGACACATCTGATCACAATAGAGATATACTCCATTTAATATAATAGTCACACGTTTTTATAAATGCATTATAATCTTAATAAATATTATTAAAAATATTTTACGTTAATAATTCTATATATAACTGATTATGAAAGTATACATAAAAATTTAGGATTCCTCACACTCCTTGTCATACAATATCACACTTTCTCGACTCACTACCGCAGCCACTTAATGTGTGACGTAATAGAAATAGAAATAATCTTTATTCAAATAAACTTAATATAAGCACTTTTGAATAGTCAAGTTTTTTTATTCTACCGCTTATACCGCAATGCAGATTCATCACAAGAAGAATAAGCAAGAAAGTTGTGTATTGCTCTTTTAAATAAATATTGATTTACTTATATTTAATTAACAACAAGGATTAGGCATGCGACAATCAACATAGAAACCGCTACGCACTTAATCTCTGTTCAATCAGATAACATTGACAGCGTTATGAATTTTAAGTTAGATATTTTCTACAAAAACATTATAATATATGAATATCCCCCAAGGAGGTGGACACGTAGTTTAGAAATTGCTAGGGAAGCATAAGTGATACAAAAGCTGCTTGCTCCACAACATGTAACGAAACAATTTATGCTTCACATATATACGATTTTAATAGAAATATAAACACAAACTTTAATGGAATACAATTAATTTTAAGCATTATTGAAGAATATACTTTTTCGTAAAGGAATAAATCATTATCTATATTATTGTGATATACAAAAATCCCGAGTTAGGGTTCTGACAACACCAAAAACACGGTGAAACAATTAATATTTCTGACTGACTCTGCGATGTAATAAGAAAGCCATCCCTCAATTCCAATCCGAGAGACATTGAGAGGCTGTGATTTTTTAAATCACTAATCAAAAATTAATTATGCTATTGGTATACAAGCCTTTATTACCTAAAACTAAACAGAGAAACACATTTACCTTTGGTAATGTATGATTGGTAACCATCAAATAAACGATATATCTATCTATCTATGTCTACCTGGTACTGTACTGTCTCCTGCATGGCTCCGAGGTGCACGGGGATGTGTGGAGCGTTGGAAACCAGTCCGCCATCGGGACCGAACAACGCGCACGAGAAGTCGAGCCGCTCTTTTATGTTTACTGATATTGATGTGCGTTGTAGGACCCTGCAAATAATATTTCCCTTATATATACGAGACTAGAAGATACAATAGAGTTTCCGACATAATCAAAAGAATAGCACAGCTAAAGTGGCGTTGGAGCGGTTATGTCGAAGCAGAGAAAAGAGATATAAAATGTAAGGCAATGGCATTCCAGGCAAACCAGCTGCCAGATGGTCGGACGAAATCAAAAAGATTGTTTATATATATAGGCAATGGCATCAAGAAAGACATCAAGGCCATGAGGTATTAAGTACGTTAACAAACAAACAGACAGACAAGCATAATTTATAATATTAGTATGGAAGTACGGGTATATCAGGGAATACGAACTCACCTGCCCATTTGTTCCGCTATGGACATGAAACGATGCGAGAAAATGCTGAGCTGTATAGAATCAAGATCGGTAGTGACCCGCTTTGGTTGCCCCGTGCCCACTGTGATGCGAATATCGCCGTATTTTGTTATGTCAGCGCGGCAATCTAGGAAAAATAGATTAACATCATTTTGAAAGATTATTACATACTAATTATTCACGTCAAAATTTTAACAATCTTATCAACCTACTTCCAAAAAGGAGAGGGTTCTAAATTCGAATGAATTTTATTTTATATTACCTCAGAACTGTTCTCTACGTGAAGCGATATTGATTTTTTTTTTGGACGCTATCATTTCTGGTGCGTTCCTATATACATTTAATAAAGATCTGACCAATACATTTTCAGTATCCCTAATAATGCAATTGATGTCGGTGTTTTCGTGGCTTGAACAGAGTATTACATTATTTTAGCTATCGAACTATAGGCCATAACATTCTAATACAAAAAAGGTTAAAGTTTCTATGAATAAATTTCCCCTTTATATTATACTAGCTAACAGGCGCAACTTCGTATCTGTCACATTTTCCCGTTTATTCCAACACATTTCATTCCATTTTCATTTCATCGCGTAATGTAGCTATCCAACACAAAAATAATATTCAAAATTGGATCAGTAGTACCAGAGATTACCCTAAACATACAAATTAAGAAACTTTACATACTTTACTCTTCATAAATACACTTACGTAGATGTATTACGCCGACCCCAAGTAAATGTAATAAGGAAGAAGCAGATGATGATATATAGTTACCTGGTTCAATAAGTATAGTGGACAGACTGTCCATAATGATGGCTGGTCCGTAGATCTCTTGTTCTGGCAATAACTTCTCCAACTGATATATTGCAGTATCCTGATAACCACCTTCGAAGTATACCTTCACGGACTGTTTAGGACAGAATATTATTTTAATTATTTTTTTTTATATCACAAACAGGTGGCGAATATGCATACGACCTATCTGATTGGTAACGGTTACCGTAGTGTTATGGATGCTTATATCAAGGTGCAAATGTGCTTTGCGAATGCTTAAAAATCTTAATATATTGCTCATGAAAACCCTATGCTGCAGTTTGTAAAACGTAGGCACTTTATTCCACAATCCGAGTATAAGAAGTTCCTCTGAAACTGCATATGCTGTTTTCGAGTGCATACGATCACTCGAAAACCTAAGCTTTAATATGTAATATTATAATGATGACAATCTTATTAGAAAAGAGTAAGAGCAGATTCTTGTCTGTAGTTTTGAGTCCAAAATGTAATGTACATTGTGATAATGGTTTTTAAAGGTCTGAAATAAATAATTTAATTTGATTAACCATCTTTACATCATCCCGGAGTAAGTTTACCCTCTGAGGATGGTGCAGGAAGAGCAACTCCTCTCAGAGTGAACCTTTGCCTATACCTCTTCTCCAGCAGTAACTACACCTACATCTATGGATTTTTACCATTTATTGACTGGTAATCTACCACCTACGTTTCTACCAACCTACGTGTAACCTAAGTGCCTAATTACCTTTTCTGGTACTGGCTTAGTACCCTTCCCGCTAGGTGGCGCGACCTCTTCTGGCAGCTGGTTCACGGCGACACCACGCACGCGAATATCGTCCACTATTACATCACGCTCTGACAGTGTAAAGCCGAATTCGTTCTTATATCTAAAATGCAATAAAGTTCAATCTAGAATGTAATATATTATTTTTTTATTTATTTTTAGAGATTTTTATATTAGAGACTCACATACATCATCCGCCAAGCAGCTTGCTTTTATAAGTTGTCTAGTACCTATAGCTCAAGCTCTTCTCGGAACTAGATGGCGCTATGTGAATTGTCCAGGTTTTTGTTAATACAGTTCATAAGACATCCATTTTTATATTACCTGTTAACAAAAGCAGTGTAGAAATCGCCGTGGCGACAGGCCGTCGGTGAATTGCCAGGTATCGGGGAGACCATGAGAGCGCAGTCAGTACCCGCGTAGCGCAGATGTAGGTACGGTTCCGTTACTATTTGCGAGTCTACGAAACCCTGGAAAATAAATATAGTAGATTCATGAAATCCAGGAACACCAAGTGTACGAGAATATTTGTACAAGTATGAGATTTTGTACCTTTGGTACAAAGACATTTTAATTCTCGTATAAGTCTGCACAAGAGTTTGATCTACGAAAATCGGTGAAATGCAATCGGTAAGCGGAAACGTCTCCTATATACCTTACGAACATTACATTTTTCTTAAGAGAGTTGCGATACCACTCATGTGTTGCCATACCATAAGACTAACATATTACCACTCTTATTTTGTAATGCTACTGTTTAATATGTACGCTACAACAGAAACACAGCTTACAAAACAAATGTTTTATGGCTGAAATTTGTGAGACTGAGGTACCCACGAGGACATTTAGTCTCTACTCTCCTGTTTTATGTTTTACTTCCTTCTTTTGTTTTTTCCGCTCGCTTTCTCTCTCTCTCTCGCACACACCTATGCTCTTAAACAACGTTCCTCTTCAAACATCAACGTATCCACTCGCACATATATACCTGCGCACGCAGTTTATCTCGCGCGACGGCTGCGAGCACGTCTAATTGCATATCGAGACGGTGGAACTCGTCGGGGCAGTACCGCGCCGCGCTGGCCTGCTGCTCCTCCTGCACCACCTGCGCCAACGCCATGCCGTACGCCGACAGGATACCTACCCACAGATTACTATTTCCTTTTTTATGCAACTAGAATGGCAAACAATTTGACAGCCCACCTGATTGCCCTAATAGTCTTTAATGGCACCACAGACTTCACAACAACGGTTGGTACTATGTGGTTGGACGACATTCCGGAGACATTAGATGTCATCTTTCTGTACCTAGTAATTTCACCACCATATCTCGATCTTTATTAAAAATAAATATTATATTACTTACTTTTTTTTGTTTCTTACTAACTGAATAGATAAATAAATGAGTCACAGGTACTATACTAAATCTACTTAGGTAAAATGATAAACTCACGAAAGCTGTTCTGGTTTCCTGAGGCCTATACACTATGGTTTTTTTCGTCACTATTACAATCTTAGATGATGATGTCATGATTATGGTGGTGATGTCATAATTATGATGATGATGATGATATTGTCATGATAATGATGACAATGTTAGAGAGACGTGTCAGCTGACCTGCGTACTTGTGTACGAGCACAATCGAAGCCCCGAGTCGTCGTGCGACCGCGCACGCGTGTTGTCCGCCCGCGCCGCCGAAGCATGCCAGCGCATGCTGCGAAGCGTCGTGGCCTCGGGCCGTAGTCAGGGCCCTAGTATATACAGTAAATTTAATGTGATGCCCTTTATACGACTTCTGTGTTGCCATTCCACATTTCCACTCATACGCCACCTATTCTTTATTTTGGAAAATACACTATTTCCAAAGGTTGTCTTCTGGAAGAAATTGCGTTAGCGATGAGACTTTGTACTTAGTTTTATTTTTAATGTTTTAATTTTGTTCATGTCCTTCTATGTTAATAATAAAGCAATAAATAAATAAATTCCTGAGGACTAATGTGACGCCTGCATACCCTATAACGTTACTGATATACTCGTAAATCCCTTAAAACCGAAACATAACTTACTAGCGACCCTACTTAATTCGTAAAGGCTCAATTATTGTAGTAAGTAGTAATAGCTGTTTTAAGATAAAATATAACCAATGTTATTTGCTGATAATGTAGCTTAAAATATTTAAGAAGTAAAACATTTTCGATTTATGTTATTATATATTTCTTACCTGATCGGTCTGCACATTGCCTCATTAGCTACATTGATAAAGCCCATAGCCACTTCTTCCATAGACATCTAGAAGACAAATATAATATGATTTAATTATTTTTAAGAGTAGTCTTCGGAAATGACGCGTATACATAAAAACATTTTTCATATCACAGCGTGAGTGACTCAAGTCAAAAATATTATTTATTTTTTCTAGACTATTCTAATACTGTTGCCTGTAAATGGCCTTAACAATTTCACTGCGCACTAAGGTGAATGTTTACTGTACTACCAATCCTAGATTTGCGTTTTCCAACCTCATTGCAAGGTATTATTGATATAAGGATACTCAAGTCCTACCAGAAGGATACTCTACCAACACAAACACTAAAAGTTCCAACCATGGCTTAGGTCAGTGATTCCCAAAGTGGTCTATATCGACCCCTAGAGGTCTATGACAAACTGCAAGGGGTCTACGACAGTCGTCATCTTGTCGTTTTTACTTTATATTTTTAACACTAAACTTTACTATAGTTAAAAATTTACAAAAAAAATCAATACCAGGTAAGAATGGGGGGTCTACCCAAATACGAAAAATATGGCAAGGGGTCTGCGACACAAAACAGTTTGGGAACCTCTGGCTTAGGTTATACTGTCTCTATTATGTTAAAAATGTGACATACTCATCTTCACAGTGGAATCTCAAATGGGGTAACTAGAGGTATACCCAAACTTCGTATTTTTTACACTTCGATAATCAATACTTAAGAAAAAGGTTGAAGGTTAGGTTACATTACAATTATTCTTGTAAAACATATTTGTTACACTTCATGTTCTTGTAAATCATAGAGACAGCTACGTACCTCTTTGCCACCATCTTGTCTCAAAAAACTGTTGATATGGTCTGTCATCTTCTTGAAAGCGCTCACAGTGGAATCTCTATCGAGTGGCTCATTTTCGGTTGGTCCGAATATTTTAGGGAAGTATTCTGGTAGAAGACGACCTGGTGGAATAAAATTAATTTATTGGAATTAACTAAATTAAAAGTATGAAATTTTCTTTTCTGATATTGCAGTGAAGGCAACAGTGATAACAAATCAAATATTATCAGAGAGATGGTGGTGGGCTCGATGGATTAAAATTTGGCCACGAAAAGTGAGCACATTAATTCTTGCGTTGATCATTGAGTACTGCCACATTTCTGACCGTTCGTTTCAATAGTCAAGAAGATATAACACAAGCTTTGGGTAGCTTAACTTGGGACTAGATGGCGCTATGTGAATTGTCCTGAGATTATTATTATTATATAAAGCCGAGTGGTTGAAATGAGCATGAATTCTACAGTTTTGGAAAATACTAATGTACCTATCTACAGTACAGGTGAAATAATTTAAAAATTAATTTCGTATATCTAGAGATACGTAGTAGTGATGAACATGTGTTATATTGTGTTGCTAATTCTGCTGACGGCAATGATGAATAGATCGTGGTTAAAAGTAACGGTAAAGATATTCGTGATGTTGGCGAAGGCTGTAGTGGTGACAGCGTTGGTGATGATAAAAAGGTCTTCATCAAGAGTATCACGTTCAGAAACGGTGGTGGTGCGTACCGAGCAGCAGGTTGGCATCGGTGAGTGCGAGCGGGCCTCCCTTGCGGTAACACGCGGGCCCGGGCTCCGCCCCCGCGGACTCCGGCCCGGCCACCAGCAGCCCCGACCGGAAGAACAGCATCGAACCGCCACCAGCCGCCACAGTGTTTATATCTGAACATAGACATTTCTTTTATTGGAATTATAACAACGTGACGGATCACATGATTGCAACTCGTAAGTTTATACGTAAACGGCTGTATGTATCTAACATGCGGCACTAAGTACTGTATTAACGGGTTAGGGCTATCTCGGTGCTTAAGATACCTGTAGCATTGCAACCTGCATGGATTTCTTTTGCTCACCCTTTTTATAGAGATCAATGCCTAAAATTTTTTAAATTTGAAAATTGTTTTTTTTTTTATTTTTGTTTTTATAATTTAGTTATTTGATGTAATTGTATATTCTAATTTCATATTGTACGTCCGAAATGGATAAACTGGTCGTGTCCATATATGATGTAACACAGTTATAGACAATAAATGCTTATCTTATCTAATTTAAAGTTTGGCTTAAAGTTTAGTCTTGCGATAGACACACACTATAATTTATTGTCTGTCCTGACCACAAACAAACAGACTTCAATCTCAATATTAAGTTAGGCCTCATTAACCCATTTATATATGGTCCCATTAAAGTTAGCACCAACTATCAAATATAAAAAATCATTTCAAGAAGTTAATTTAGCTAAAAAGTCTAATTTTTACAATTCTTCACCTCTATTTTTAAAGTTAGAAGTATATATCTTCGATTTTTTATTATATAATATAACTAGATATGTCACAATATTATTCATTGACGTTTGTTGACAGTACTGACCAAGCTGCGGCGCCTGTATGGTGACTCCAGCTGTCGTTGCCTCGTGTACGTGCTCCAACGTGCCTGCGTACCGGGAGACATCTGTTGATGTACCGCCCATGTCGAAACCTAGGATTTAAACAACACAAGTGTACAATGTTTCTTTTTAGAAATCCTGGTTTAAAACTTACCATACGATTTGGCATATCGAACTGCATTATATGCGGCAAATCGTCAGGCCTATAGGCCATGAACGCTATATTATATATACATATACTATTTATCCACAAAAAGAGAGGATTGATAGTAATTACTCTAATTGCTAGATATATGTCAGTGATTCGTAATTATTATTAAAAACTAGCTTTTACACTCTACTTTGTTCGCTTATGTTCATTTTGTAAAATTAAAGGCCAATATCTTCACATTTAACATACTTCTGGAGGTTAAAAATAACAAATATGCTTTACTTGTAAACAATAATTCCGCAAAGTTAGAAGAAAATCGGATTAAATAAAGTTTTATCAAATATAATATTCTTTCCCAACCGCAACTTTATAAGTTTAAGAAAAACAAGCCCATACATGTCTCTTCGATTCTATTTATAATTTTATATTCATAACCATAGTTCATCATTGAACCAGAGGTTTACGTGTGAAAGCTTAACAAACAAATTCACTTTATCATTTACAATAATATACTTTACGGAAATAGTTTAAAGGACAAAATAGGTGTATATAAAAGAAAACAAATATAATAATAATACCTATCACAGGTAGACCAGTCTCCTTCTGATATGACGTCATAGCATATCCAACTACTCCACCGGCCGGCCCAGACAGAATAGCACGGGACCCATTGAAGCTAAAACATAACATTCACTTTCAAGATTATACTAGCTGCCCGCCCCGGCTTCGCTTTAAAACATTTGAACGTACAGACAGGAGCAACTTTGTTTTATACTAAAGACTTTGCTTTAAAGAAGATATAATTTATTTGTACAATATAAATACAATATAATTAATATGTGAATATTATTACATTCACATATAATTATAATAATCTCTAGATAATTCACACTGCGCCATCTAGTCCCAAGTTAAGCTAAGCATCTAAAGCTTGTGTTATGGGTACTAGAAAACTGATACAAATATATAGATATATATTTTTTTCGTAAATACATACATATTATACATAGAAAATACTCAGACCGATACAATCATACTCATGAATACAAATGTTAGTGCCGTGCGAGGAATCGAACCCGCGACCATCTGTAGGAAGGTGATGTAAATTATTTACTTACATATTATTTTCTTTTATTCCATTCATGCGCTATCTATTAACTATTCTACAAACAAGCATACAGAGGGCTGTATGCTTGTTTGTAGATACATATATAGGTAAACATACAAGATAAATATATTACTCACCTTTACATCACATAGTTGAGTAAATCCTATTATTAGGGGGAAAGGGATTGTTAGTAATGTGAACTCATGACCCCATTACTAACAATGTACTATGTCAGGTTGACCTCCACGCGGTTCCCCTGGAAACCATCGTGATAACCATGGCGAATTTACCACGATGGGCTAACTGACCTGACCTCATGCTCATCTTGTCATCCTTCACTGGTGCCCCGCCAGCGTAAACCGTTAGCACAGGCGGGTGCACCATTCCACTATCATTCACAAAAATAAAAATCGTATTATTAATATTATAAACCCGAATGTTTGTGAGTATGGATGTTTTTTTACTCTTTCACACAAAAACTAATTAACCAATTTTGATAAAACTTTACAGTAATAAAGCTTATGCATCAGAATAACATATAGGCTATATTTTTTATTGAAATTTAGCGCCGATGAATCCGCGAGCACAGCTAGGAAAATATTGTACACTTACAAATTCATAGGAGTAAGTCCACCATCAGATTGCATAAATAAGACATTGGTATTAGCGAGGTCGTTGGTGAAACCCCCAGCGAAGCCTCGGACGTAGTCGCGGATGTGCGGGGTGAGGTACGCATCCGCACTCGCTGTAAACCCACGTGGTACCATGCGCACCATCGACGTGACAGAGTGAGACAGCGATACTTGATTGAAGCCTGTATATTAAATAAATATAATTAGAACATACCATAGAATGTTATTTGAAAAAACTATGCATTACTTATAATTTATCTATGACTAGCTGCACCCGCGACTTCGTCCGCGTGGAATTTAACTTTATTTTTCTAAAATAAAAGTTGCCTAAATTACTCCTTATTTTTACAGCTACCAGCCAATAAAAGTCCCGTCAAAATTGGTCCAGCCATTTCTGAGATTAGCCGAAACAAACAGACAGACAGACAAAAATTTTAAAAAATGTTATTTTGGTGTATGTACCGCATTTATATTCATATGCATGTAGTAAAAAACGTTTATTTCAATATTACAAACAGACGCTCCAATTTTATTTATATGTATTCATGCTGAAATATGTATATTTGTGTAATATATTTGATTGTTAAAATGTATCAAACATAGACAATCTTTGTCATTAGTAATCTTCCCAAACGCCATGAAATTCAGTCACATTGGTAGATTATTAAATATGTATAAAATATATTATGGAATAAATAAACATAACTATTCTTTATTCCTCCATGAAGCTAGAGTATGAGAAGCCAGCTCCTTTTCATCTTCAGGGCCTCATAAAATAAGAATAGAGGAACAAAACATCACACCAGGTAAGAAAAAATTGGTGCCCCGCCAGCGCCCAACAGTTAGCGCAAGCGGGTACACCATTCCACTATCATCCTTAAAAAAAAATATATATTCCATAAGTCAAAGTAACATACCTAAATCAGTTGCGATCTTCCCTATTCTTATTTCATGATCATGATATGTGTAGCTGTGTGCAAGTACAACAGCAATACTATCTATCCCTCTCTGCTTCAATGCTCTTAAATCATTCCGTACTGCTTCCTCATCAATGTCCTTGACGATAAGCATCTTCTCTCCAGTGGTACCAGTAACTGATGGCCATGATTTCTTCATTTGACATCTATCTTCTAAGGCTGGTATCACACGACAGTCGATTTCTACTACCTCCGTATATAAAACACTGGGGCGTTTTATGTCCTGAAAATGTATTCAGCAGGTTCTGTAAAATAACTCTGATATTTCTTATAAAAAATGCATTTGGATATCTAAGGTTGGTATAAAGTCATTTGTATAGTATTATAAGGGGAATACGAACATTATAAATGCATTCAAACTGAATATGCATCTCTCTAAAAGCGTGGATAGAGACTATTAATTTCATTGCTAGTAAGATACACTGTTAGCTCAGAATTTACGGATAGAAGCTGGTATAAGAATGAAGCGAGGAAGAACAATACATAGGTGAGATCTCACTCGTACGTACACCTCTACTTGAGTAAACAAACAGCTTCCTATAAAGTTGGAAGTGTGTTTCAGTATAGTTTGAAAATATGTATGCAAGTATAGTGAACTATAATAACTGAGGTAGACTTCGGTGCCAAGAAGTTTGCTTTCTAAAATGTATTTCTCACTACATTACATGTTCATTACAACTCACTACCTTATTAGTCCTTTAATCTAAATAGATTAAAGGACTAATGACGTAGTGAGTTCAGAGGACATATGACATCTTCAAAATAGCAAACATGAACTGTGGTATAAATTTTACATATTAATGTAATAGTTGTGGTGCTGTTCACATGAACACAAGGGATATTTACCACTTACCATCATGTGGACGGACAGTTTATATCCAACTTGTTAATTATTCACCAATTTCCAGCAACTCACTACAAATTAAGTACTCACCAACTGAAATATATGGGGTCTTGCTTGATTACCAATGTACAGTAGATCCTTGAACCCTTTGTTGATTACTAGTGCCATTTTGGCCCCTTTTCTCTCTAGAAGTGCATTAGTGGCGACTGTGGTGCCCATTCTTATTGATTCAATGAGAGATGTATTTACTTTACCATCTTTGTCTAGAGCATTACCAGTTTCCTGTGAATCAAGTGGAAATAAAAAAAATAACAATTATTTGTAGTTTATGATACAAATTATATTTAAAATGTGGAGTTATAAATCAGTACTTTAACATTGGGAGGGTCTGGAGTCTGAACTAGGTCGAACCCCGTGTTACAGATCTCTAGGCTCTCCCTGGGCTGTGGACAGTGAAGGAAAATAAATTGCACTGGCTTCAAATGATATGATAAAACCTGTACTAGTGGTGTACACAAGAGTATAAACAGAGGTGAAGTTAACAACTAAATTGCCCATCTTATGACCAGGTGAACTAATAATTGTCATTTTTCACCAGGAATTATCCAGTTTTTATTGTATTGGTCATAATTGGTTTTAAATTTTAGTAATAGTAGTTTTATACTTTACAAATAGATACAATCTCTCTAAAACTAGACATTTAATTCCATATATGTATTTAGGTATTTGAGTTGAATACAGTTTATTTATGATCCTAAAGTAGGTAAATTTCACATCTACATATACAATGATCATTGTACAAATAAGTTATATCAAATACAAAATGGCCTTGGAGATTTCTACCAGACAATTTATAGATAAATTTATTCTTTTATATGATTGTAAATAATTTTTGTTTAGCTAGAATTTATCAAAAGAGAGGTCTTCAATTACATTATGTCTAATATTATACACAATTAATAATTGAGCATAGTTCATTGATTCATAATAACTGAATGCCACCAGGAACAGTTTAGTCACTGTAGTCAGTTTGATGCTTAAGTTTCTATAAGATCAACCAATATTTGAGCGTTTTTTATACCAGTGCTGTACATGAAATATGAATTTAATATGACATGTTGTCTGAAATAGCTAGGCAGGAGGGGTATCATGGACATCATGTTATCATGATACAATAACGTCCACAATGTTGTTCATGTATGTAGGTGACGCAGGTCAGCTTGTTTACCATTCCTATTACAAAAAAATAACAGAGTTAAATACAATAAATAAATAAGTACACAGATATTACACTGTCACACCATTTGCCATTACGCAATTTGATTTGACATATTCTGGTTTTTAGAGTGTGATATATCCTGCTTGTGTAGCTGATGGAGGTGCGAATGATAACAGAATGATGACGTCCAGGTAGCCTATTGTAGCAAATTCGGCAGAAATTAGCCACAAGTCATTCCAGACCAAAGAGAGTACATTGCTAGCACTGGAAAAGAACATAATTACTATTATAATATAAAATAGTAACTTTTACGCTCTCCCACCTTCTTTCCCTTTATCCAGCAGATCATATATGCCTTATACATTTTATTTATAGGAAATTTTTGAGTTCTCCAGCTCTTCATTATACAATGTCAAACTTTCTTGTGGTGTAATTTATGGTGAATTGGGCCCCTAAGGGGATATAAGGGGGTTCACTCTCACCTCTTGTAAAATCCTCCTAATAGCCTCTCTAGGCGCATCATCATAGTTCTGTGGGTCGACTGACAGCAACTTCATGACACGCACTTTGCCATTGGGGCAGCGAGCAAACACATCAGTAAAGGTGCCTCCACGATCAATGGCAAATTGGAAGCCTTTTGGTGGACTCATTGTGTGATATAATCTGTGGAGGAATAATTTTACATACATGACTTTTTTTTTAAACCAATAAAGTATTTATTGTCATATACCTATTTTTTTAAGAATATCATTACTATAATCCATTATATTTTTGTTGATAAATTATATTTGTAAAAAATTTTGAATGTAGTAGTTATATGCTTGTGCATGTACAATTTAATCTAATCTACAATAATAAAATATAATAAATATACTTAAGCAATTTTTAAAATTATGTCATTTTAAATACTATTATATTGCATTCTCAATAAACTGATTACTAAGAAAACTGCACCCACAGATGCAACTGTCTGTTCCAACCTTAACATTGGTAAAATCATTGAAACTCAGATGTAGCCATACTATAAACAAAATAAATATTATATTACTAATATATTATACTTTAAAAATTAGATATCCATACAATATTTGTACTATTTGTTTTACAAAAATAAGCATATAAAGTTGAACAAAAACTCTTTAAAAATGCATCAGGCAAGTTTCTCGCTGATTATTATTGGGTAAATCTGCATTCTGAATGTGATTGTAGAGTAAAAAAAATAATGCTATTCAATAGTATTAATTCTATTTGAATAAAGAAGTTATGAATAGACTCTAAAACTAGATAAACCTAAATAATAAAAAATAATCTTTCACCATTAGAATACTACATTATCTCTAAGCATCGTAGGCTATATTAGATATAAAAATTTGCTATAAAATGTGAAACAGGGACAATATGCTAATATGTTATTAAATCTCAGTATGTTTATGTGTATATTACTCATTTAAGTATAAATGGACTATAAATGGACATTAAACAATGTGCATTATAATGATAAAAGTTACCAAAAAATTCTTAAACAGTTCACCAAAATTATATCATGGTATGATTTTAAGCAGTACTGTTTAAGGCCCATTTTTAAATTTCCCTGTGTTATGATTTTTTCGTATTCATATTCATCGCTCATGGTAAGCCTCCTGGACCACTTTCCACATAAGACGTGGCATGATCAAGCTCAGAATATAGATTTGGAGCTATAAGAACCCGTAAGCCTTTGCCCAACAGTACAACACAAATTAGGGATTTAAAAAAAGTATATATGATTTAGTGCAGTGATTCCCAAAGGGTCTATATCGAGCCCCAGGCAAGGGGGTCTACGACATATAAAAGTTTAGGAACCTCTGATTTAGTACAATAATTAATAATAATCTTAGGTATTTTAAGATAATGCAACTTACAGTTCAACTATACAGATATGCCTGCTACAAATGACAGTGTGAACTGTGTAGATGAAAACAACACTACTGTTTAGTGAAACAAGTTTTTCATTCTTATCTTTTACAACTCAGACTCCAGAGATAACCATTACCTAATAACAATAGGTTTATATTGATATACTTAGATGATAAGAGTCATTGCAAAATGTTATTAGCCAAATTGCTTCTTATTACAAATGACTGGAGTTCATAATTCACAAATTAGCTATTTTAGTTAAATAAAAAAATAGGCAAGTTTGTTAAAATGATTTATTGTAGAGGATTTAATGTTAGTTAATATATGTATATGGAATTTTGTTTTATGGTTTAATGTTATTGAGGCGGAGCGATCTTGATTTGCACTCTTTGTAACGGTACTCCTTCGAAACGGCATCACCGATCGAGACCAAAATTTCATCGAAGGTCGATCCTCGGGCCATCGTTTACCACTCAAAAAAGTTCCGATCGGTCAAGGTAGTTTTTAAGAATAAACGCGCTCCGCTCAACATTTGACACGTTGTGTGTAAACAACATGCCGCATGCCGATAACAAACCTAATATTGCTTATTAAGTCTATATTTGTTTATCTTGGAATAGCAATACAAAAATATTTAATGACATATTTGTAGGATAATTTGACCAAGGCAATCTGCGCAAGTCGTTATGTACCACGATAGATAGTGCGTGAAATAAATAAGACAAATAGGAATATTATAGGTAGGTACAAAAAATATAAAATGGAAATAAAGGGCAAGCGTTATTTGGCTACTACTTACTATATATAATGTAATATTCTATTTATATTACAACAGCAACTAATCACATATTAGATATGGGGAATGACTATGCAATATTATTGCTTTATGGCTTCTTTATTTAACAATTTATAATTATAGAAATGTTTCAAACTAAATAAACATTCAAAACTCCCCTAACTTTTTACAAATAGTATTGCCAGAAAAGAGAGGTGATGAACTGAACTGTTATTAAAACATAAAAAACCGAAATTCATTAAAAAAAATCGATTTGTGCCCAAGTTACAAAAAGGGTAATTCCTTTATTATTCATTTTATGTAAATTATAACATTATTAATGGAGAAAAATTGTTATTAAACAACATACGTTTATTGGAATGTAAATGTTGGATTTAAATTGTATTATTAAATGAAACCGGTTTTCACCATTTTAAAATTTTAGTACAGAGCATCTTCAATTACTAGTTCTACCGACTGACTTCTGCATGACTGCCTGACTGTTCAAACGTCGAAAAGTGGTATATATTTACCCAGGTTAATTTCAGGGAAATACTCTTCTGATCTGTGTTTTACCCTACTGAATGTTTATGTTTATTTCAACAAATTTTTCACAAATAAGATTACATTCTCTCGGATTTTACTTAAGAAGAATGGGTAGAAGAAATCGTAACGTCAATAAGTTTGCTCAACGTAAGAGAGAGCGAAGGGAACAGGTAAATTAAGAATAAATTCTTTCAAAATTTGTTTCTTTAATTCGTGTGCTAATTTTTAAATGTTTTTAGGAGAAAAATCCTCAAGAGAAACCTGCTGGTGATACACGTAAACATTATGAAGATATTGTCAGAGAAAATGCTGCGTTTGAAGAATATTACAAGGTATTTTAACAGGTTATAATTTTATAACCTACCATTCGCGTAGACGGTAAAATTACACTGAAATTTTTTAATATTATCACAAACATTTATTCTATATATTCCATGTTATTGTTTTTCAACAACTGAACCCATTTCTATTAGTAACCCACGTCAGTTCGACCTCCACGAGGTTCCCCGTCTGCAACTATTGTGGTTAATTTCTGATTAATTCGTCACAATGACTAACTGACGTGGCTTGACACTAATCTTGTCTTTCTGCAATAATTCCTCAGCAGCTTTTACTAATGTTATACACCGGCCAGCATGTACCTTTGGCGAGCATAGGTGGGTGTATAACTTTTATATTTATTGTTTAAAAATACAAGATGATTTATTTTGCCAATGCTTCGCTGTCCCGGTGGTTGAGTGTCGGTTTTTATCTTAATATTTCTATTTACACTGATATAAGTTTGCATTTATTATTATCCATTACAACTGAAACAGAGTGTGTCCGAGATACCCACACAGACAGTGTGGTCTGTGAAAAAAAGTGTATAAAGTTTTTACAATTTGTCTCTGGTAAAAGATCCAAGTCTTATTTATGCCATAAAACTTTGAAACTGTTTTCTAATACATGGTACAAATAAATATGATTGTCAATTGTTTTGTTTACAATTAGGTACAAAAAGTCTGCCCTGATGAAGAGTGGGCAATATTCATGAAGACAATCAAGGAGAACCTTCCAACAGCATTCCGCATCACAGGCTCCAAGTGTGAGGCTGATGCATTGCTGAAGATTGTCAAAAGTGAATACTTCTCAGAGCTGCTAAATGTGAAGCTCAAAGTTGAAGGGACTGATGAAGAGGAAGAGATTAAACCCATAAATTTACCATGGTAATTAACTTATTGAATGCTCATAGAACTTGCCCAACAAAAATATGTGTTTCGATAGATTATAAAGGAAATAACAACACAAATGTTGAAAATCAAAATAGTGCCAAAGTCGTTGATAAAAATACTAGAGAAATACTAAAACTATTTTATATATTATACATATTGTACTGCTTTGTTTTTTTCTATCAAGCTATTTTCTTTGTATCTGAAAGAAAATGATGTAGAAGAATGATTATACAAAACTAACTTTATTGTTTGAATTTGTTTTGTACACTGTGTTAGTTTTTATGAACAAAGGTATGAATATTTAAATGTACTTCATATGTTTTATCTATACATTCTCACTCCTCCCTATTCTATCTGCTCTTATGATATTTGTACTATATCATTATAATTATATTTATGATTAGCTGTTCCCGCGACTTCGTCGGCGTGGAATTTAACTATAATAAAAGGCCCGTCAAAATCAGTACAGCCACTTCTGAGATTAGCCAGAACAAACAGACAGACAGACAAACATTATTAAAAATGTTATTTTGGTGTATGTACCATACTTATATTCATATGCATGTACCATACTTATATTCATATGCATACAAAAACGGTTCTTTTAATATTACACACAGGTAGTCCAATGTTATTTATATGTTTGTATAGATTGAAATAGATCATTATTGAAAAAAATAAAAACATTTGTATCTTGGTGCAAATTAGTATCATTTTTATATTTACTTCTTATGAGATAAGGTTGTAGGGTCTGATTGGCCAGTGAATATACAGGATTAGTGGAGTGACATCCCAGTCCTCTGGAATGGGAGCAATGCATGGTATTGTGGAAATATGTTAATGTGAGTGATACATAATTGATGGTTACCACTTACAATCAGGTCTGTCTTTATCTGGTATAATAATAATACTAATAATAATAATTAAAAATGATAAAATATAAAACTACAACCAGTACTAGGCTTGTAGAAGAAGTTTGGAGTAAATTTTTTCAGCATATATTGGCAGATGTCAATAAGGTAATGAAAATATTGTACAGGTATCCCGGTGGTCTCGCCTGGCAGCTACGCCTCTCGCGAACAGATATCCGCCGTAGTGAACCGCTGTATCGCCTTCACAATTTTCTGGTCGCGGAGACCGCGGCTGGTGGCGTGTCTCGCCAGGAGACCGTCTCCATGATTCCACCTGTTGTACTTGACGTTCAACCACATCATAAGGTAACAGTGTATAATAAAACAGTCACATACTTATTTCCTTGTAAATGTTTAATATGTATTAATGACTATTGTGTACTTTTACAAGTTTGAAATACATATAATAACGAATCATTTCAGATTTTTCAAGAGCTCCATGAGAAAAAACTGTGTACTTGATGTGTATTTGATGATAGAAATAACAAGAGAATAAACCATATACATAAATTGTGAAATGAAGTTAAATACTATTATATTACAATCCATTAAAAATATTGAATTTAGGCAAAATGTAAGATGTTGCGGCCTTTTTGACAGGACTGCTTGCTGGCCGGTTATAAGACGTGATTAGGACAGACGAGACAATGGACAAGACAGATACGACAAGAAAAAAGACGGACAATTAGTTAGAAATTATACTAATTATATTTTACTTTTAAAACAAGCTCTCTTCTTTTATTAACGACATTTCTTAACGGTCGTCCAACCAGCTGACCGTTCAGTAAGATAAAAAAAAAAACGACAACAAATGGATCTCCCTATCCGTCTCTTCTCAGTGCCCCTGTCCTACCCTGTGTCATATCTTAGTTAAGATCTTAGTACTATTTTTTTAATAAAATTATTTGTGTCTATATAGTTTTATCTATGTTGCCCTCAGGTATTAGACATGTGCGCGGCTCCTGGTTCCAAAACGGCACAACTAATCGAGTTTCTACACGCAGATGAAGAAAAAATGCCCACTGGTGAGTCTGTACTTCTAAAACAAGACATCTTCAGCACTTTCAAAATCCAATTATTATTTTTTTGCCGTCATAGGCCCAGAGCTCGAGGGCCTAAGTTTAAATACACCCTTACCCCAGGATTTGTGATGGCGAACGACGTCGACAACAGCCGCTGCTACATGCTGGTACACCAGGCCAAGAGACTCAACTCACCCTGTATACTCATCACCAATCACGACTCTGCTGTAATGCCATCACTACTCGTCGGTGATGAACAGGTTAGATTTTTTTTATGTGACCGGAAAGGCAAACAAGCTCGCAGGTTAGTTTGATGGAAAGTGGTAAGTGGTGGTGACATCCATATCCATAGCGTGTTTGTAATCATATCTACACAAACGACTTGTACATAATCTCACTCCTGTGAATTGAAAAATATATTGTTTTGAAGTTAAATGCTCTTGTTTTCGCAGTCATGTAAGTTATGTTTTAAACTTTTTTCACAGTTATTTCCAATTATCATATAATTACCATGTCATTTTTCTTTATACGTCATATAACATAATATTTCATATTATTTTAAAAATAAATTGTTTTTAATATATTTTATACTAGTCATAAACCAATCATGCGTAAATTAGTAGTCGAATTATTTAATCTATACATATAAATAAAATTGGAGTGTCTGTTTGTAATGTTGAAATAACCGTTTTTTACCACATGCATATTAATATAAATACGGTACATACACCAAAATAACATTTTCTACAATTTTTGTTTGTCTGTCTGTCTGTTTGTTCCGGCTAATCTCTGAAATGGCTAGACCGATTTTGACAGGACTTTTATTGGAAGGTAGCTGATATAATAAAGAGTAACCTAGGCTACTTTTATATTAGAAAAACAAAGATAAATTCCACGCGGACGAAGTCGCGGGAACAGCTAGTCATTGTATAAATTTACAATAAGCTATGCTGAATAATAATAAGTTACCAAAATCAAATGATAAGATTTTTTTAAATCTATCATCTGTTGTTATTCCCTATCTACTACTATACACCTATCATTTATTTCCCAATACAGAATCCTTCAGCAACCAAACAGTTGAAGTTCGACCGCATACTAGCAGACGTGCCATGCTCAGGTGACGCCACACTGCGCAAGAATCCAGACATCTGGCTCAAATGGTCCACAGGAAATGGGAATAACTTACACGGGTTTGTACAACACTATACTCTATAGAAATATGAATATGAAATATGAACATAGAAATATGAAAGCGTAGCGGTTTTTGTATTGATTACCGCATGCATTCTTATGTAAAATGTGAATACTATAACTATCAGATGGCAATTGTAAGTAGCTTTGACGTGGTCTAGTGTTTTGAGTAGTCATGCTCACTAAAATGTCCAGACTTGTGGCGGCGTGGTGGGCCGGGTCATTGGGCTCCCTAAAATATGGTCGAGCGCAGTGATGGCTGGCTCATCCGTCATACTCGTGAACGGGTGCTGCTTGTCAGGGACTGGTCTGCTCTAATCACTATGACTGATTTCCTCTTATTAATTGTTTAACCAGTTGGTTATATATTCAATATTTTTCTATTTGAGTATTTAATTGAATTAGTGCTAACTGGTGGTTTGTATTCACACACTTAAACTTAAAAATGTAAAGTAATAATAAAATTATTTAAAAGAGCAACACGCAAGTTTCTTGCTCGTTCTCCTTGTGATGAGACAGCTTTCCGAACGAGCGATAGATTAAAAAAAAAATGTAATGACTATTCAAAAGTGCTTCAATGTAAGTTTATTTGAATAAATGATTTTCTATTCTATTCTACTATACTCTATAGGTACAGATGATTTCACTAGCTATTTTGCACGCGACTTTGCTTCCGATGTTCACGAGTTTGATTTCTCATAAAACTCAAATATAGCATTTTGTATTCATGAGTATGATTGTTTGTATCGTTCTGGGTGTTTGCTTTGTATTTATGTACGTATTTACATGTAAAATTTATTTTACCATTTCTATAAGTTGTCTTGCACCTACACAGGTTCAGCATAGTTTGGGACTAGATGGCGTTGTGTGAATTGACCAGGATTATCAATTGCCGTTGGTTAGTCCTGTAAAAACTCGCTGGAACCTAAGTGGTCTCGGAAAGTGAGTTTTCAGGGGAGCTTCCTTCCCCGCATACGCTTTGTTTGTGGAATGAACTACCTACCGAAGTTTTCTCAAGATATTAAGGTTTTTAGGGTCGTCAAAGTGCACGTGACGCCCCTGGTGTTTCAGAGGTCAATAGGCTACCATTAGATGGGCCGAAAACTTGTTTGCCAACGTAATAATAAAACAAAACTTAAAAGTTACCTTGAAGGTAACAAAATGTAATAAAATATTCCTTCCTATCAGGGTTCAATACCGCGTGGCTCGACGAGGCTGCGAGATGCTGGCCGTGGGCGGGCGGTTGGTATATTCCACTTGCTCCTTCAACCCGGTAGAGAACGAAGCTGTGGTACATCGGATACTGCAGGAGGCTGGCGACACACTGCGGCTGGTCGACGTCGCTGATATGCTGCCCGGCCTCAAGTACAAGAAAGGTATTATTTTTACCACCTGTGCAACCACCTTTATTATTTATACGACTTTGTATAAAGTCTACCTTGACTTTGTACTAATTCGCATAGATAATTGCTGTTGGAAGAGTAAGATGTGTTAGTGAAATTACAACTTAGTCCTCATGAATGACAACTCCCAACTACCTCGAGCCAAGGTAAAGGAGATTGTTAGTAATAGTACCGTATCAGGTTGACCTCCACGCCGTTCCCTTTAGAAACCATCATGATAGATTCCTGGTGAACTTGTAACGATGGGCTAACTGATTGCATCTTATCATCCTCCACTAGAGTACTGCCAGCGTAAGGCGTTGGTGCAGACGAGTGCACCATTCTATTATTATCTTAAAAAACTACCTCGAGCTAGTATTGTTTATATCAATTGATAAATTTATTTCGTTCGATATTTGTTTTATACATATTTTATTTTAATAAACACCCACCTGGATCTGTGGTACCCTCTTCGCTGCACTCACGGGTGTCACATGATAACGTGCTGTTCATGTCTATATGAGACGGTTGCTGCTTACCATCCAGTGCACCTTCAGCTTGTTTCCAATCTAATTACACACCAAATAGTAGATATCATCCATTCTTTAAGTTGTTGAGTAAGAAATAACAGTAAACAACATTTCACTAAAGGAATGACCCACTGGCGTCCTGCATCGAAAGACATGGTGTTTTACGACAAATATGAAGATGTACCAGAGAAGTGGCAGACGGTAGTGAGACCACAGATGTTCCCGCCCAAACCCGAGGATGTACACAAATATAACTTGGAGAGATGGTGAGTAACATTATCCGGTCTGTCATGAGATCTATTATTATACTCGTGGACGGGTGCTGCTTGTAGGGATTCGTCTAATAACTCTAATAACTATGACTCATTTATTTTGTTACACAAATATTATACTTCTTTACTTTTGTCAATCTTGCTATTATGCAGTTTATAAATATGTCATGCTGAACAATACATTTTTTAAGAGAGTAACACGCAAAGCTCGTTAGTTGTCGAACTAAGACTCATCACAAATGACTCTGCATTCCTAATGAAGGATTGAATCAAAAAAATGTTATATAACTATTCAAAAGTTTATTTGAATAAAATTTATTTCTATTCTATTCTAATGGACTAGAGTAGTTCGCAACCAATAGATTGCCTGTCATATGTCATAATCAGTCAGCTCCCGTGGCTTATCTAAAGCGGCGGTGAGCGATAGCACTGCCAAATTGTTTTTTTTAGTACAAAATCAAACTAACAAAAATATATAAATATGGCTCTGATTTAGGATATCACTCGTAAAAATATAGTAGATTGTAAGATGATATAAAATGAGCTGATGCTACTTGTTTAACTCATACTAGGTTCACTCAATAATCCTAACTCGTATCAATTGTGAACAAATAAATTTCTTTATATACAAAAAGAATACCTTAGTATTGTTTATTTTTCAGCATAAGAATCCTACCCCACCAGCAAGACACTGGCGGATTCTTTGTAGCAGTATTCGAAAAGACTGCTCCATTACCTTGGGAAAAAGAACAAAAGACAGAAAACAGCACAGAAGTCACAGAAGAGAAGAAAGAGCCGCCGAAAAAGAAACGAAGGATGGGTGGCTACAGAGAAGATCCATTCGTATTCTTCTCCGGGGACAGTGAGGATGTGTTCCCGTCGATAAAGGAGTATTATGATTTGCAGCCGGACTTCGATTCCACCTGCCTCTTGACCAGGTGTCATGTAGGGAAGAAGAAGAATATATATTTAGTGTCGCCAATAGTGAAAGATGTAGTGCAAAGAAATGAGACGAATATAAAAATTATTAATACCGGTGTGAAAACGTTTGTGAGGTGTGACAATAAGAATATGGTGTGCCCATTTAGGTAAGTTATATTATATTTTTTATTAAATTGAAAGGCAAACAAGCTGATCTTCCATCTGATGGTAGGTGGTAACCATCAACCACCATCCTGTGGACCTCTTAGATAAATAACGTCTTTAGAAAATTCTATACAGGTGATAAAAACTGATCGCCGCCTGTAAATGAAAAATTATGCAGGAATAACTATTATTCGAGGGATATACCATAGACACATGTGCGTTTGGGTATAGTAATCTCCGAAATGATTCAACTGACATCGATGCGGGTTTCAATAATGTACTGTGTTAAGGTTCCCTTAAAATTTAATGTTTTTTTTTTACTTTATTTTAATCGGTTTATAAACATATATACTAGTACAATTTAGTATTAATTTTGGACTCAACTTATGGTATAATACACTCTCGAGCAAATGTATAGAATACGCATTAAAATTAATTCCGCGCGATCTTGAGTACTTAATAACTAGTTAAGAATAATAAAAATTGTACCATCTAAAAGGTAAATTGTTAAATTTAAATTGATACCAAATTCATTCAAATCACAGCATTATTTAAGAAGTATGATTCCACACTTTTGCTCGCGAATGTAGTATGTAGATGAAGGTATTCAGTTGTAAAATTCTTTCAATGCTAAGGAACAGTAGAACAGTACTAATTTGAAATATTATGTATTAATTTTTTTTTTCAACCAAACGTAATAGTTATAAATATATATGCAGGTTATCTCAGGAAGGTCTGCAGAGTATATCGCCGTCGATAGGCCCTAAACGGCGGCTTAGGATATTGAAGGAAGATCTGATTCTGGTACTACAGAATGACAATCCCAGTAATCCACCCGACATCAAGCTGTTCAGTGAACACACGCAGGAGCTGGTCAAAGACTTCGGTGAGTACGATAATCGTACAATTAGCTAATGTTAAATATTAATAATAAAATCCTTGGACAACTCACACAACGCCATCTAGTACCAAACTAAGCAGAACTTTTGTTATGGATGCCCAAGCCCAACAAAAGTTCTGCTTAGTTTGGTACTTTCAATTGGGTAAAATAATACAGTATCTTACACCATTATCAGTCCACTGCGGTCCATTCATCATTAAAAAAAATATTTATAATTTACTAGCTACGCCCTCGGTTTCACCCGCGTCATATTTTAATATAAAATATAGCCTATGTGTTATGCTGATGCATAAACTTTATTACTGTAAAGTTTCATCAAAATCCGTTCAGTAGTTTTTGCGTGAAAGAGTAACAAACACCCATACTCACAAACTTTCGTATTTCTAACATTATTAAGAATAAGATTGTTCTTTCCGCAGCAACTGGTAGCTGTGTTCTCGAATACCGAGATAGCGAGTCCAGCCTGGAGTTGACACTAGTCGGATGGCGAGGGGTGCATTCTCTCCGCGCCTACACCGCCACGCCGGACACCGTCCACTATTTGAGATTGTTAGGAGCTGATTACAGCAAATACGGTGAGTACAGCGTTATCATAAAAGGCCATACATACAAATGAATCACAAGAAGTGTTTTTTAACTCACCTCCACCCCTTGGCACAGTTGGTCACATTTATGAGATTGTGATGTTACATATTTTACAATTTTATGACCAGAAATGATTAAATTAACACACATCAAAAAGTATTTTGTACTAGCTGCGCTAAGCGTATGTTATTCTGATGTATAAACTATGTTACTGTAAAGTTTCAACAAAATCCGTTCAGTAGTTTTTGCGTGAAAGAGTAACAAACATCCATCCATACTCACAAACTTTCGCGTTTATAACATTATTAAGATGAAAATAAAACTAAACTACTTTTATTGACAACTATTTTAAATCATAAATTATTATATCATTAACACAGATACACAGACACAGAGTCAGACTTCATTGGCATATACATACGTGGTGGGAAGGGAGGGAGGGATCCCTTCCCTCTGCGTGTGACTAATGTTTGCATTGTGCGGGAATCGAATCCCCGACCCATCGGACCCTTTCCGGCAATATGTTATACCGCTAAATTATAAGTGACAGAGGACGCTGTATGACCACGCGTATCCACACACATCGGTGCAGCACGAATGTATGCGTGTGTTTCTGTGTGTGTATGTATACTGTTTAATGAATATATTAATGAAATAATAAATTGTAATATTAATCCACAGACATAAACAAATTTAAAAAGGCATCAGATGTACCAGCGACGGATGCGGTCTCTGTAGAAGTATCTGAAGTATTACAGTCTACAAGTTTGGAAGAAAATGGCGCGAAAAACGGTGAAAACATAGACGAATGAAGCACAGACTATATCTAGTTAGTGGAAATTTAATATTTATTAACTTTGTGCATTTGTAATAATGTGATTTTTTATGTATTTCAATGATAATATTTACCAATAAGTAATACAGTTGTGTATTTATTTTTTTGTACTGTATATATAAATTATATATATTATTATGAACTGGTATCTTTTCTTTTTAATCTCTGATTTTGCACAACGTCTAAAAACCTGTGGACCTGTGGAAAGTCGTCTACATGGATAGGTACTTCAATCTCGCCTATTGCAACCGACAAGCAGCTTGCTTTGTGTCGGTGGAGAATTAGATTAGGCAGTGAAGTTACAGGATTTTAGTTCTATGGAATGGCAACCCCTGAAGATATTATTGAGGGAAAGAGAGAAGGAAAGAGGGGGAGAGGAAAACCAAGGCATAGCTATATCAAGAAATTAGACATAATTGGAGTCGTAATATGATGGAAGATCGTGGAAAGTGGCAAAAGCTCCACCGACAAGAGCGTCGCTCTTAAATTATGAATGAATGAATGGAATGGCAACACACAAAAGTGTAACAGAAAAAGTGTAATTTTTTAAGTAGATACCTATATATTAAAACATCTCACTGTAGAGGCAAAAGGAGATCATGAATGAATAAAATACCAAAGTGTATTCAGAATTCCTTTATTTACCATAAAATCATTACTTCCCAGTCATCCGCATTGCTCCAACGATAACAATCATCATTACGTTTATCATTAGCCAAAATACTAACAAAACAGTTGAGTTGTGTTATTTAAACAGATATTTTATTAAAATAATTATTATTGGACCATTAACAAAATTAATTTATAAGTAAAATTAAACATTATATCTTATCGCATTCGCAACAATCGATATTGTTTTAATAATTAAATTTATACATATTCTGTTATATTTATGACATTACAGACAGTATAAATAATTGAAAGAAATCAGGCAAAGTAAAATTTTCTTTGATCTTTTCATACTACAGTAGTCGCGAAGTTTATGTTTGTAATTTTCAAAAATTATAATCACTTTATTATTTATATTGTTTCATGAGTTTTTTATTGTTTAATAATAAAAAAATATAATAATAATATCTGAAAACGTCCTGTAAATTCAAAGATGCGATAAATGCACAACACTTTATATTTTTAAATTAAATATCGAATCATTCTCATTGTTTTGTAAATGAGCGATTCTGAGCTTTATGCTTAAAGTAATTATGTTCATATTTAATAATTTTACAATCTCTTTAACTTCCTTTACATATGACAGTATTACCACGTCATTTTCCATTACTATCCTAATACCAGTCTTCGTACACACCCATCCTCTCTATATTAAGCTGATGCACACTTAAAAGACGCCACAATAAATAAAATTGATTTCGTTAAGATTACATGGAAACAGATATATAATATGAACCACCACAACTAATATGAGTTGCACTAAATCAAATATAAGTTATATAAAATATGCGTATAATATATAATAGTATAATATAATACTTAATTTTTATTGTGAATATATTGTACATATTTCCCCTATTTCTGTTTAACTGAACAACTTTTTAAATTAGTCCCGAAAGATTCGTCAAAAAGTATAAGGTCAAATGTTTAAATCACAATATATTAATTTTGTGATTTAAACAATTGACCGTAGCGTCCTGACAGTGTACAACAGCCTTAAGTTACATTATTGCACAAAGATACTACTAAAAATTATATACTAACTACTAATTAATACATAAGTAGAAGTTAGATCATAATGACAGATTAACAAATTACGTATTATATATTAATAAATGCTTCGTAACTGTGAGATACAGTGGCATGCGCCGTTGAAGAATGGCGAAAAAAAAGTAGTTAAACATGTTATTTTTTATTAAAGATTTCGCTGTCTTTATTTAATTATTCAATTTCCGTCAGAAACTATAGATATTCAATAAAAATATAAAAAACATGGGTACAGTAAATTTCAAAACATCTTTTTATATAGCCTTTGCTTCTGTTAAGTAGTATCTAATTAAATTATTTTTGCATAAATCAATAAATTTGTTCTTGCAAAAAGTGTTTTCCAATATAAATGTATTTTATTATTTTCATTGATTATAATAAACAAGACTTCTCTCAGAAGCGTAGTCTATGCAAAAATTTACGTTACAAAATAAAATTAATATTTTTTTAAATATTTTCAGTCCAATTATAATAATACTTTATTTTCTTCAATTGGCATATTAGATTACTTAAATTTAAATGTTGGAATCTTTACAATACGAAAAAATGGAGCAAAAGTAATATCAAAAGCTACGCTCTAGTTATGATAAACAATTGGAAATGTAATTGCATGAAATAAATTAAAATATCAAAAGATTTATTTGTAATGCATATTTGATAATGAAATATATAAAATGAAACTTTGGATGTTTCACGTGAAAATAATTGAAGAAGCATTTGTCAAATGGATTTGTTAGAAAAATATGTTTGTAAATTACCTACATTGTACCTACATTGAATCGTTTAATTCTAAAGTTCTAGTTATAAATATAAATTCATGAGATTAGGTCATACTCACATACTCCTGAGAATGAATGGCACATTTTAGTTAATTAATTCTACTTCATCTCATTTCAATTTTGCAAAAGTGTAAGCCATAATCATTATAATCCGTCTAGGGGTTTATGCTAACACACAAACAGACAAAGTTTTTAGACATATCCAATGAACGGTTGTGGTATTGTTACTATTTTATTGTATGTAAGTAAAATAAACTTTATCTACGAGTATTATCTCTTGTTACTAATGTATATGAAAAGTTCCTATATTATGAAGATTTATTTATGTGTAGTACCTATATTACATATTATGCATATTTGTAGTTTAATATCTATGTGAGTTGTAGAATTATATATGTATTTTGCATATAAATAGTGTAGATATCTATTATTTACAGTGAATAATAGAAAAAAAAAGTTTAACGACCTCCTTATTCATAACAATTAAAGTCTAAACACCTAATTAACAATATTTCTTGAGTTTTTTATAGCGCAAGAGGCAGATAAAAGAAAATATTTTCTAAATCGATTTATACTTAAATTACGGGGTTCTGAGTTAAAAAATGTAAAAATATTCTGCCGAATTGAGAAATTTCTTCTTTTTTTGAAGTTGGCTAAAAATCTTGTTTAAATTAGTTTCGTGAAGTCTTAGCTTTTATGAATGAGGTTGTCTGATGAGAAGAATAAGAAAGGGACAGCAAAGAAGTATCTACTAGAAACCTTAAAATTAGTATTACGTAACGTTTGGCCACATCCACTTTTTTATAACGTAATAAATTCACGAGAAATATTAAACTGTATTAAGTTCAATAATACTTTTGAAAAAGCGACTTTAAAAGTACAAGCTTAAAGCTCCTTTTCCAAAATCTCTTACATTGAATTAACACAGTTTATTATTAACCGTATAAGTACAGTATGGCAGATGTTTACCTATATACGTGTGCAGTATAATATGGAGGATGAAAAAGATTTTCGTCCACCACTGGACAAGGTCAGATTATTGAGAGGTCAGGTCAGTCAATGAGAAGAGTTAGGTCACTTGGCCATCGTGGCAAATTCAGCAGGACTAACTATGATCGTTGCACTGGGTCGAGATCAAAGTGACACATCTGTTACATTATTAGTTCCTGTTACAAATAATCCCCTCCCGTGGGACGGGGGGAGGAAATTGTTGCGGTTCCCCAGAAAACCATCGTGGTTAATTCGTTACGATGTGTTGTGTACTGTGGGTTTCTCAGAGTAAGGGCCCTCTAGGACCCGCGTATACCATGTTTATTCTAAAAAAAGTTACAATAAGTTATACCTACAATATATGAAGTATATAGGCAATTGACGATATCGGGTTTGATCTCCGCATTATACAATCATATCTATGTATTTATATCTGTTTGTATTGAATATTGAATCCGTGACTATCAGCAGATGAGGCAACTTTCTAAACCACTATACCACTGAGTTTGTCAAATACCCACTTCCTTCACATATTATTTAAATAAAAAATTGTTGAAAAACAATAAACTAAATTCAATATTGATAAAATTGTTCATCAAAATTATAGTTTGTAAAAAAAGATTTTTAGTATATTTAAAATGTTTGTAACGAATGAACTCATGTGTTGTTATGTATGAGTATATACAATTAGTGTATGATAGTTGTATGAATGGATGAGACCAAACGACGTATCTTAATATATCCTTATACCTACTATATTACTCGCTAAACCAACAACGTAATTTCCACGCATTTATATATCCAGATTCAACATAATATCTCAACCCAATATCACAGTGGGTGATGTGGCTTTAAATCGAAGCTAAGCTACATTATAAGCTAATTAATCTAAGCTATAATTAACTTTAATTATCAATATAGATGGACATTTATGACTTGTGTACTAATATTACAAAAAATGAGCCGATTTTGTTACGAGAACATAAACTTTAGAATTACTGCACCGATTTGAAACATTATATTACTGTTTGAAAGATATACTATACCAGAGTTAGATATATCATATAATATGTTAGTATATAAAATATAATAATGAGACGTATATTTGGAGGAAGGTACTTAATCCTAAGTCACTTTTATGAAGTCTAAATTAATCTCAACTAACATTATCAAGAGGTAATATTGTTGTTAAAATTGTTCGTTTTTATTTCAATTGTTAAAATTAATTCACCTATAGTAAGCTATATTTTCTGAATGTAACATGGGTTGTGTTTTATTGAAAACTATCGATTCCCTCAATAATTGCACTCGTCAATATCTACCACTCTAGCACTTCTCTTTTATCCTGTTTTCAAATTATTCGTAGTGTACTACCACAGATAAGATCATATTACATAGTACCAAGGGAATCATGTTTAATATTGTGATAACATGTTATATAAGTGCATATAAGTATGTAATACGCAAAAAAGTGAGTTTCCTGGTTTGTTTGTGTGTTACGCTTTCAGTCCTCAACGGCTTATCTTGAAATTTGTTATACATATACATTGTCCATGGACTGTAGATACTATTTTGATTTTGGTTAAATACACGCGGCCAAAAGCTAGAGTTGATGTCGTTCCTTGATACTATATATGTTGTTGTGCCTACAAAGTACAGGTACTTATAACTAATCCATTTGACAAGTTTATTTAAATAATATAATATTTTAGACACTATTACTTTCATATCACAATAAAATAAGTCCAGAAACTTATTAAACTGACATATTTTTAAAATGATATAATATAAATTTAAAAAGTTTTAAGGCTATTTTTTTCAATTTGGCTGATTTTGAAATTAGTATAATTAATAGTTTAGTATTGAATCCATCGAGGAGAATGGTAGGGCGCGGATTTCAACCATATTCCGTCGCAAAGGGCGGTTGGTTGCGATTCGAAACGGCATAATAATATATGTTTAATGCAATCCAAATATCGTATACAGTCTCGACATCTAATTTATAATTATATCTTTGATTTACTGTGGGGTAAACATGATAAACAAATAAAAATATTTTAATAGTAAAATTAATAGTAAATAATATAATAATACCTTAATAGTTTAGAATCCACGGGCTTAATTTATATGTTTTTATAAATTAGATCAGTGGTTCCAAAATTCTTTAATAATATAGTCGTTTATCCGAATTAAAAAAATATGTTTTAAATTCAATTTACTGCAAAATAATGAACATAGAATTAAGACGGATTCATTTGTTTGGACGGTAGTATGGACAAAAAGCTGTGCTTTAGTTCTTCTATAGAATAGATTAAACGAATTGACCGAAGTAGTTACAATCATCATTGTTTAGTCATCGCCTAATACAGTAGAAGAAAGGTAAATTCTGTTAAAAGTGATAAATTTGATGACCAAAATATTCATAACCCTTTTCCTTCGTAGCCGGGCAAAATAGATTTATTAGATATTTATATAAACCGATAACATCAAATAATTTACATAATGAATTAGTAATTTAACTAAAACTTGAAGATTTTTTTAGAAAGGAGGACCCGATCAGATTATAATCTGGCACGGGCCTCAGATAGTAGAGTTGAGCTACTAAGTCACTTCCTAATCCTAGTTACATAGGCGATAACTAAAAACTATGTGACTATGTAGTTATCTAATAAAATTCAAGATAGAGACTAGATATTGAACTCCTAAACATTGAAAAGTATTTAAGAACTTCATGCTGCAAAGCACTCATAAATTTATTTTCAGTCTAACGTAATTACTTTTTAATATATTGATGCATAATTAAATTAACTAAATTATTTTTTATTGCAACGTCATAAGGTAATTTTTTCACACCTATGTCAGTATGATTAGAAAATTCATTCCACTCTTCCAATTCCACACTCAAACGATCCATTTTCTCATGCAGGATCTCGTCATACTTACTTCTTTCCGCATGCCTATGCTGCCTTTCCTATTTTTACATGGACACATACAAATTTGATTAAGAAGAATCCAATTTAATTGTCCATAATAATATACGTCGCAATTTCTTTAGTCTTGCATAAGAAGTATAGACATTAAATTCAATTATAAGTTTCGTAATTTTTCGTACAATTGTAATTCATAGTATGTATGTTTAAATTGCCACTTTGCACTAATTATAAATCCATTCATTTCTTACAACCATTGTTAGTTATTTTGTGTAGTTATTTTTCTATTCTGTCAAATTAATACTACATATTTTATATTCCATAAAATTTTTAGGCATTAATTACGAATATCATTTTCTTTTGTCACTTTACACTAATAATTATTCTGTTTTATTTTAAATTGTAAAACATAATGTCATTAAAACACGGTTCGCGACCGCATTCTGCCACGGAGGGTGGTTGGGCGCGGATTCCAACCATATTCTGCCGTGGAGGGCGGTTATACACTGTTCGTTATAGTATTCCGCTGCAAGAGATGTTCAGCGCAATAGCATGTATGTAACATGATTACAATAACTAAATATAATACAATATTACTCTTTAGGCTATTCAAAACACGTAAATAATAATATCTTTAATTACCTATTAATCTGCACCACAGTTCACAGAGTTTTTACATGAATCCGTTGGCAACTGCATTCCACCTCAGTGGATGTATACCTGTGAATGGGTCACAACCCAATTGCACCGTGGAGGACTATTGGGTTTGGTTACATCTGCATTCCGTTGCGGAATGCGGTAGGGCACGGTACTTGAAAATATTCCTCTGCGGAGAGTGATTGGAAGCGGTAATACCACATACCAGCGCGAGAGAGAGAGGTTGGCGGTTATTTACCGCATCCTGTCGCGGATGGCGGTTGAGAAGGATTTATAATGACATTTGGCCATTGAATGAGAGTTACATTCCACCGCGGAAAGCGATCGGTCGGGGCATCCGACCGCATTCTGCTGCGGAGGGTGTTATGACGCATTTTTGCAACTGCATTCCGTTGCAAAGACACGCAGAGCTCAGTTCCCAAATATAGTCCAGGTTACGGACGGCAGTTGAGCGCGGTTTTGCTACAGCAATCCGCAACGGACGGCAGTTTGCTTCACAATTACCTTCATCCAAATAACGCGTAAACTTGCTTACTTTATAATCTATACTTTACTTCATAATTGGACGTTCTGGTCGAATTAGGAGCACTTTAGGCAGGCTTAGAATCGGGGCACATTAGGCAATCAAATTACGGCATTACTTTAGTATTATTATAACTAATAATCAGTAACTAATAATCATGTGACACCCCTGATATCCCTTATGCCTTGCCCTTCTAGAGAACTCTCTAGAAGGGCAAGGCATAAGGGATATCAGGGGTGTCACATGAAAACTTGATTTTCGTACTGCTGTTAATGTAAATAAGAGCGACGGTTAACATTGTATCAGGTGGGTTGTTATTCCAATTACATAAAATACTGCAAAATTGTACTATTCCACTATGGCGGTATTACATTATCAAATTATTATAGTATATGATTGACTGTAGATATATATCTATATAAATAAGTGGCGAACTAACGTGAGAGGGGACGGGGCGAACGGGGCAATCCGCCCCGAGCCTCTAATGTGCTTAGTCCGTTACTTATTTAGATTTTGTATACAACAGTATATAGATTTCTTTGTATTTCATTCCATCATTAAAGAAGATAATGTTATTAATATTATATACGCGAAAGGTTGTGAGTATGGATGGATGTTTGTTACTCTTTCACGCAAAAAGTACTGAATGGATTTTGATGAAACTTGAGAATATCTTATAGGCTATAAATTTCACGCGGTTGAAACCGAGGGCACAGCTAGTATCTTATAATTCGTGTAAAGTGGCATTTACAGAAAGTTTAAAATTTATTATTATTCACATAATGCGAATAGAGAGACAATGTTAGTACAATACAACATTACACTATCATATTTATAGTATCATATATTGCAGGTATGTATAAACAAAAATAAGACAAGAAATATAATTTCTAATTGTTTGTAGCTTATATAAATGAAATAAATTTTGAGATTGAATTTAAACTTTATACGTATGTAATCAGGATGGAAACTGTACAAAATATTGAAAACTCTTGTGATACACGAAAGATTCTTTCAAACTGATATATGAAAGTGTGACACTAGTTTAGTGAGGATAAATCCAGAACCGTTCTATATATATAATAGTGTAACGTAAGGACAAAAGGACTATCTACGATTATACTATGACTATACACACAAATTTAACAAAAAATACACTACGATGGTGATAACCAAAGTCGCTGGTCATAATTTTTAAAATGCGACATGTATCTGAATTTAAATTTAAAATGAGACACCTATGACGAAAAATAATTTCAAATAAGTCAATAATAAGAAAGTACATATGGATTGTGTTTCAAGGTATGAAACACAATCCATATATACTTTCTTATAACTCAAGGTCTCGTATAAATCATAATATGTATAATTTCTTATATCTTGCTACCACCGCTCATATGAAGTTTGGGCACAGCGCAACTGAATTTTGACATGAGAATCGGTTAAGATCGATTCCTAACCAGATTCTGTTGCAGTAGTTATAGGCTATTCCAATCACATATCGCCGAAAAGGGCGATTGGGTTCAGTTCGCAGACGAATTCCACTATAGAGAGCGATTCGCAACCACACTTCTGCGCAGATCGGGGTTGGGCGCGGTTCCAACCGCCATCCGTCGCGGAGCGGAGTTGAGAAGGAATCAGAATGATTTACAAAAACATTTAGTCATTGTGCGGTCGTGTTCCGTCGCGGAAGGCGATCGGTCGGGGCGTCCGATTGCATTCTGCTGCGGAAGGCGTTTGGGTGCGGTTTACAACTACATTTTTACGAATAGAGCGTAAACTAGCTGATCCTATAATAATTAATTAATGAAAACGTCGGTCCAGAAAACCTTACTAATGAATCAGCGACTTGCAAGGTTACACCATCACATATTTAAAAACAAATGCCTACCTATATGATTACAATAACTAATTACAAATATAACAACGTAATATTACACGTGCCCACTTTAGGCTATTCAAAACGTAAATCATATTGAATAAATAATAAATAATAATACCTAATACAATATCATCTTTTAGATAACTTAGTTTACTCCATTTAACTTATGAATTCAAAATATAATTGAAACAATTTTAAATAACATTTCTAAATAGCACACAGTTGAAGAATATTTCTATTGTAACAAACCGATAACGATAAAATAAGTCTTATAATTTCCAGTGTCGCTGTAATTCTTTAGTACACTATTGACTGTCCGAATTAGATTTTATAATTAATCGTACGATATTATCGTTGCCGACGAAGATTACCATGCCAAAAGGTGCGACGTTTACAGTCTATAATATATATCGTTTGCATACTTTATGTTCTTATCCTATTGCAACGATAAAATCGTACGATATCGTGCTGTTTTACATAAAATTATAAAAGCGACCGATATTTGCAACCAAATTGAAGATACTGGATAAAAAACAGTAATAGTCAGAATTCACAAACAACAAAATAGGTCAGCCAATAGTGTTTGTCTAGCAGTTACTTAGGTGGGTTGTGATGGTGATAGTCGGGGATTCCGTGGACACTGCATGAGGTGTCGTTGCCAGGGTAGATCGCGCGCCAACACGTTGGTGAAGCAGTATGGGCACTTCCACTCGTCCATCCCGAGAGCTGCCCCATATTTTTATCATGAATAGACAATACAGTTTTACTTTTAGGTAGAGTTACTAAAATACTTCTGCGTGGGGAGTACCTCAGGCTCGCCTATTTCAGTCGCCAAGCTGGTTACTTTGTAAGAAGTTTTTCGATAGATAAGGCAGTGAGTTTACGGGAGATATATATATTTATAGATGATAATGGAATGGTGCACCTGCCTGCACTAACGGATTACGCTGGCGGGGCACCAGTGGGGGATGATAAGATGAGCATGAGGTCAGGTCAGTTAGCCCATCGTGACAAATCTGTCAATCCACCAAGAATTTATGACGATGGTTTCCAGGGGGAATCGCGTGGAGGTCGACCTGACATGGTACATTGGTAGCAATAAGGTCATCAGTCCACATTACTAACAATCCCCTTCCCCCCAACGGGATATATTGTATATAGAGGCTTCTCAGTCCTCCTGAATGTCAACGTATGAGCTGACACATATGTCACGTGATAACATGATTTCTATGGGACTGTTCATGTCTATAGGCGATTGATTACAATACATACAATCCTCTATCTCTCCTTTTCCTTCTGTTAAGATGATTTATAATTACCATCCCTACCATGTCATAACTGGTACAATACGCAAGATCCCTATTAGGAGTACGAGAGGGGTCCTACATTTCATGTTTTTAACAGGAACTACGGGACAGCTCAACCCTTTAACATATGACGAAATTTGTAGATGACATCTAGGTACGGAATCTGAAATGTAGTAGTAGTAGTAGTAAAACTGTATGTCTACTCACGTATGCAGTTGGCATGATAGTCGCTTTCCTCGATTCGCAGCGCAGCACCACATTTCTGACAAGACTTCCAAGAGCCTTCGCTCATTGAGCATTCTTCTGAAAGTGATCAAGAAAAAAAAAATATTATTTTTTTATACATACAAATTTATAAAAAACATTTTTTACGTAATTGTAATGTCAAAGAAGCTGACGATAAATGGTAACCGTAGCCTATATACATGAACAGCACAGTATAGTAGAGCTCAACCCCAGAATGGCATTAGCTAATTACTACTGGGGGTAAGAGGGAAGATTGCATGGGAGAGGAAATTGGATAGGAAGAAAGGATTGGGTAGGGGTCACTGTCTTATTCTGAGATAAGCTGCTATCTAGCTGGCTCTCGCAACTTCGTATGCATCACACTTGATATTTGTCAATATATTCCGTGTAATTTACATGATATCTTTTACATACTCGTAAACTTCGACGTTGATAATATTAGTAACAAGTAAGATTTGAACAGAAACAGGTAACAACGCAGTGAGTAGCATGCATCGAGGAGGTGCGCGTGCAGCAGGCGCGCCTCGAGCGCGAGCCGGCAGTAGTGGCTCTCCAGAGACGACGAGCGCACCACGTGCACCTAGTGCTACAACAACACCACGTACCGAGGAGGTGCGCGTGCAGCAGGCGCGCCTCGAGCGCGAGCCGGCAGTAGTGGCTCTCCAGAGACGACGAGCGCACCACGTGCACCTAGTGCTACAACAACACCACGTACCGAGGAGGTGCGCGTGCAGCAGGCGCGCCTCGAGCGCGAGCCGGCAGTGCGGGCAGCGCGCCAGCACCACGCAGCGCCGCCAGTAGTGGCTCTCCAGAGACGACGCTCGCACTCGCCGCCCGCACCACGTGCACGACGTGCTACAAACACACCCACGTGTTAAACCACTAAATCACCGAGGCAGTAATTGGAATGATTAAGAATTCAACCAAGTTAGATAAGTAGTAATACTATAGATAGTAGTATAAAGTACAGCAAATGTATGACATACTGGCATATCGGTTCCGGCGTGGTATCACTACCCTCCATAGCAGTGCCTTCGTAGTTTTCGTATTGGTTCTCAGTGTTCGTCGGCATATGTCTTCTACCTGAAAATTAAGCAAACATAATGAGCTAAATGCACACTCCCACATGAAATTGGTAAACTTGCTTAGTTTAGTCAAGTTGAACATTACTAATATTCCCATACCCAATCTACTACTGCAGTTTTACATGGCCTGATAAAGAACTTGATTATAAAATGTTTTGATGGTGGTAGAAACATATACGTATACTATACGTCACTGCAAGAGATACTTAAAAAGTGTTCAAAATGTGTTTATTGTTATAATATTAGTTCACCTGGACTGTAATATCCACTTTCATCCATTTGACTGCTCTCATCCAGATGCAAGTTTCTCAACCCAGCAACCAATTTCGGAGACTCCAGTACATTGTCTCTAAAATAATCCGCTCTGACTTTAGGTGAATCCAAACTTCTACAATCTGAGTCACTCCTCAAATCATTCCTTGGCGAGTCCATTGGTAAAGAGTCCATACTCCTTACGTCATTCCTGGATGTTTTCGGCGATCCTAAACTTGGAGAGTCTCTGTAGTCTAGATGCAAAGGTTCATATACAGTCACTGGGCGTTCTTTCAATTCTGGTTTTGATGGGTCGTGGTCATAGTGAATCATGGAGTGGCGATTTTCCGAATGACGGTTTGTGCGTCGGTAAATAACTTCTTCTCTTTGATTCTCTTGGAAATGTACCTGAATACAATACACAAAAATGAATTCGCTATTGAATAGTTTAAACTAAATTTGGGTTTCTTATTAACCGTTTATGGAAAGATTATATTTAGAACTTCCATGTGACGAAATATAATGTTAGAAACGTATTAGTTCGTATGACCATGATTGATTGGCATAAAAAATAGTCAACGACATTTTCATCCACAATATTTGCAAAAATTTTGATAGAACATAAGCATGAACGTGTAAGAAAAAAATGAATCATTAAACAAATTCAATAAGGCACTTGTAATATAAATTTAAAGATTACCTTTTCAGAAGAAGAAGCAGTAGGTCTAGGCGAATGCTTTGGGCTAACTGCACTGTCTAATCTCAGTTTGTTATAACCTGGATAATTAGAGAAGTCTTTCGCTATTCTACTGGGAGTATATCTCTTTGTTGGGGTCTTTTTCAGGCTGCTTTTTGTTTTGGAGGTAGTGTAACTGCCGCTTAAGCTGGAAGGTGCTAGAGTGCCGCTACTAATGTTTGAAGCCATCGATTTTAAACTGTATGAGGAAGTGGCTCCGATAGATGAAGACATGCCGAACGAGGTGGTCATTCCACTGGTGGTTCCACTTCGATTTGATGGCGTGACGCTGGCAGTTTCATGGATAGAGTCCGCTGACGATTGATCAGCTCCATTTAGGAATTGTTCCTCAGTTGGTGCCTGGTTTAGCATTTTCTGTGAATTGTCACATTGAAATTCACTTTATTCTGTTTTGGTTTGAAACACAGTCAGGAAATACTTTCTTCGAAACAGGAATGACATGTTATTTATATTGTGTAATAATACACGTAGATACTAAGTACAGACTCTATACATAGACAAAAGACAAAAATTATAATTATCAAATGAGACATATATATGATATTATTTAACACGTCTGCTCCTGATATATCTGCTCTACCTTTGATAGATTATTATATATCCAAACGTGACTCAGTTTTCAGTTTTCAGAGTTCGGAACTAAGTAACATTGAATCGTCTATTAGGGGTTTAATACACTTTAAATTAAATTAAATTAATTAAATAATCTCAGACAATTCACACAGCGCCATCTAGACCCAAGTTAAGCTAGCTAAAGCTTGTGTTATGGGTATTAGATAACTGATACATATACATAGATATTTTTTTTTGTAAATACATACATATTATACATAGAAAACACCCAGACCGATACAAACAATCATACTTGTGAATACAAATGTTTGTGCCGTGCGAGGAATCGAACCCGCGACCATCGGTCGTAAAGCGGTGTACTAGACCGCTAGACCACCGAGGTTGTCAGTTGGTTGAACTAAGTCAATATTTCGACATTCTAAAGAAGTATGGTAAATAATAATTATTAATTAGTAAAAAAAAAATCACGTGAAAGTGAGATGTGAGATGAGGTGACGAGGCAATCGTTGAATATCGAATTAAAGTTTCTAATTTACTATTCGACGATTGCGTCATCGTTTAATTTGTGTCAGGTTACGTTCGAGTACAAATCAAAGTCGGCGACCTGCATGTCGATCCTATCGAACTGTTGGAACAGGTGTCGGTATATGAGGTTCCGCCTGGTGACGGCGTCGTCGGGCGGGAGCTGGGCGCGCACGACGCGCGGCGAGCGCGCGTACGCGGCCAGCAGCAGCCGCTCGGCCGCCGCCCGCACCGACCCCGCCGCGTGCTGCGCGCCCGCCGCGCCGCACTCCGCCACCCGCCGCACAGTCAGCCCGCTGCACGACACCCACACCATCTCACTTCACCGCATTGGCACCGAGCCAAACGAAAAGGGAGTTCAAAAGGAGTCAGCTACCGAGCCGACTCCTTTTGAATGAACGCTTCACGTTGCGGTTCCTTAAATTGATGAACCGATTGCTTTTATTAAATTGTGTACAAAACGTTTCTGTGGAGCTCTCAAACCAGGTGCCTCGGTATATTTCCAGGCTCATGCGCGTCCTATTGTTATTCCATTATATCAGCCATAAAATATTCGGGAATATTTTATAAGGAAACATAATAAGTTATGAGTAAGTTATTATCATTATACAGTTCAAAAAGTCATGTGTGTGGATACATCAATCTGACCTATTTCAACGCTGGAGCAGCTTGCAGCTGAAAGATTAGGTAAATAAGGCAGTAAAATTACACGTTTTGGAGACATAAGACATTAGTTCTTCAAAATAATATAGCGTGGTAACCACATGATAACTTCATATACAGTAGTATTATACAAATATATACATAAAAAATACACACAGAGCCTTCTTTAGCTTTAATTAAACAATTATCGTATTATAGGTACTACGATCCTAATGTCGTCGTGCGTGTCTTAGTAGCTGGTCAAGTCAAATTCAACTCTCACCTATTTTTGTCAGTAGAAATTCCGTGGCTGAGTATCAATTGCTCCAGCATTTGCAGCCGAGAAAGCGCAAGCCTCGGATGCATGGATGCTGTGACTGGACGAACTAGTTGCTGAGGAATTATATGAAGACTCCTGGAAACAATATTTTATTTTGTATAAGAAAATAATTTTTCCGCCTTGATTTCATTTATGTGCTCTTAATTTCCCGGGCCAAAAAGCATGCCATATAGAACAAAAACTTTAGGAGTTGAAATTGTGATAAGTCTGATTTGACGCTTGGCTATCTATAAACTATTTTTTCCTAGCAAGACTAGATATGACAAGTGAGCAAAACTGTGCAAACTTCAATCAAGTAATCCTACCTGACCATTGGACAATCTGCGATGGTGAGCACGGTGTGCTGGGCTGTGGAATGAACCCGGGGCGCAGGGTCGCCGCAAGCTCTTAACAGCTCAGGAACCAACTTCTCTAAGCATCGACCTACTTCTGCAGCGCACACCCTGTTGATTAAATATTTCATCACGTACCAATAGATTACAGATATAGACGTACAATACGTAAAGCGCAATCGAAAATTAGACAGACTTAATTTGAAAAATGCTGAAAAATGTTAACTATCATTTTAGAACGCTTCAGCATTTTTGAACCGTTAGTTTATTTACCATTCTAAATTTAGTGGTACAACAAGAGTTTATCGGGTATAGTCTCGTCGGCTATTGTAGTGACATGGAACAGTGACCTGTCCGGCACGAAGTCCTGGAAGAGCGCGCGCACGAGCTCGTTGGCCTGGCTGTAGACGGAGAACACCTTGTCGCGGAGCGCGCGCTGCAGCAGCGCGGCGGCGGCGCGCGCGGTCTTGTTGGGCGACGAGCGCGCGCCCGCCGCCGGCGCCGCCAGCGCCGCCCGCAGCCGCGCCAGGCCCTCCTCCTTGTCCAGGAAGTTCTTCGAGTACAGCTTCTCCACCTGCCCCCGGGAAGATTCACTCGCATTACCGTGCTCTTTGATTGGGACAAGAAAACTTTTACTTCTATCACCGACGAGTTTTGAAAATGTAACATTAGCAGCGACGTAAAATTAATTCTAATGCGTAAAAGGAATGCGTCACCGACGAGGTGGAGTGAAGCCTGATTTGAAAAAGAAACCACTGTCAGTACCGACAGAGTAAAATGGACCCTAATCCTACAATAAAATTGTATTTCAATGAAATAAGGTGAACTTTGTTTCGAGAAAGAATCATTACATGCAAGTCGAGGTGCAAACGAATCGAGGATGAATTTACTCCAAATAAAATTTAAGATCACCAAATTCCAAATTATCAAACCAATTAACCAGATGGATAAGTCCTTCCAAGTTAGGATTTCCTTGCTATCGTCCCATTAATTAAAATTTGCATTAGCAAGAATGTAAATAAGAATTCACCAATGGATATCCAAATATGAGTATCGGCAGTGCAGCTTGCTTCCTCTCTCGTTCGTTGAGTTTGTGCGGCTGCAGCGGCCGAGAAGTGCAGTGAGAGGCGCTCCCTCCGCTGCATTCCTCCTCGCGGGCCTCCCGGAGGTACTCGTTGGTGTGCGAACTGCAACACAACATGATTCATGATCAGTAGAAGCTTCCATTGATATGATTCGATACTAGATCAGAACGACCCTACAATTTGCCATGTCAATAATCAATCACATAACGTGAGTTATGTGAAAACCGTTTTTACCAAAAACAGCCTTCACATGACCAAGAAGCAATATAAGAGCAGTGGTGATGAGAGTACAATTGGCTCAGTTGGCACAAATCAGCCAATTTCATTACAGACGGGGCAGTATATGAAGTAATCTAGGGCGCTGCTCCCCACATTGGTTCAAAATTTTCCCAAAGTTTTAGTACATACTTTTACATTTAGACACTCATAGCCATCTTTAGGAACAAAAATATGTATGGCTGATTGCATAATACTACTTACTGCCTTAAAGCTGGTAGCAATCGCTCCTCGTAAGCTTCGAAAGTGGACCTTGGACCTGCACTTTTATTTCTACGTCTTACCAGCGTACCTGCGAATATAAATTTATAAATTAAATCTACCAGATCTTTCACAGAATTATCTGCAATTAACTCTATGAATTCTATATTTTCTATCTACAAGTTGTTTATGACTATAAAAAATATTATATCATTATTATGAAAAATTACGTCGTCGAATCTTTATACCATGTAATATTCATATCTCTTCTATACCATATGTAGTCACCAGAGACTGTACAGAATCATCTTTTTGGTAAATCTATCTTTTCTTTTTTGCTGCCAAGCAGCTTACTTTGTATCCAATTTGAAAACCTCAAATATGGCAAAAAGTGGATACCTCAGGCACAATAACGACGTGACGCCCATAGTGTTGCTCATGTATTTAGACGACAGTCACCACCATGAGTAGCAGCGTCAACTTATTTACTACGCCATAAAATGAATATACATAAAAAAAACGTATTTCTAAAACTGACCGTTAGCAGCATTAGGCGTAATACTTCTACGAGGACTATCGGTTTCTTTTCTAAGTTCTTCTTCTTCTATATTCCTTTGAGCTTCTATTTTATCTTCTTGAGTAGGAGGCTCGGAGTGTAACGGTTGAATATCTTCTTGAACTGTTTGGATCGGTGACTGAAAATGTGTCAAAAATAGAAATAAGTAAATGTGTTTAATTTTATAAATAGTAAAAAACAAGCATATACATATATTAGTTTTAACATCAATGGAACCGACATAAAAATATATGTATTTTGTAATATTAGAATTTAGAAATGTGAGGTTTCCACTGTGTTCTTTCAGAATTTATATATTTGCACTATATTGTATACATTTATAAAGTTTATATTATGCGATAGACGACCAGGTGTACGCATAAATCTAATTCTAAATCCTTTACAACAATAATTTTTGAACTGATGTTCCTAAATGATACTTCCTACGCTATTAGTTACTGTTCCTTCTTTATCAGGTATGTATAACTTACTGTAGCTAAATCATTGGTCTCTTCTTCATCGCCACCACCACCATTGGCATACACTATCTCTTGTTGTTCTGGTTCGTCGATGTGGTCCATCGGTGGAACAGGACTTGGCATGTCAATGCTAAGAGAGCCGGCAGCCACAGACGGCGATAGGTGGTGCGAGAAGTCATACTCTTGGTGCATTGAAGAGTCATTGCGGGAATCCGGCTAGAAATTACATTTCAAAAACTAACACTTACCACTTACTAACCAAAGTAGGTCCAATCGAATATCGATATTTGCTTAAAATGTTATTTTGGTTAGTATTTTTGTTACTACAATATCATAATTATTTAAAGTTTCTGTTATTGTTTTAAAATAGTTACTGTATAAATAATTATATAAATCAGAATTTTTAATTATTAAAAAATAATTGAATATAAAAACGTAGTCTCTTAAAACTAATTTAAAAGTAAATTTCCAATTAATGGTGCATCTTGACAGAATTTAATTTAGATCTTTCAATTAATTTGTATTTGTTTCGGTTTGAAAATTTACGTGAATATTCTGAATTATGAACTCACCCCATCCTCTTCAAATAACCGACATAGCTGCGGATCTTCTTTCACTCCAATCAATGCATCCGTTATCCTATCTCTCATCCGCCGAGCGAGTTCGAAGTCGTCCCTCGCAGCCGCAGTTCTCTTCCGGAGTCGCCAGCGACCGATGCGGATGCCGGCGGCTGCGAGTGCAGATCCCGCAGATTTTAAACGACGGGCGTATTCAAAACGTTCCTCTGTAAAATTTTGATTCTTATTATCGATGTATTATGCACTAAAATCGGTTGGTCTCTTCCTTTTTGTTATACCATTGATGTAATTAATTTATCACTTCAGCCAGGATGGTTATGAATCATCAGTCTTAACAAATTCCTTAGAATCGATTGCATTAGCTTGAAATATTTGAAATGCCGACTAAATTATACCTTAAATGATAATTACTGACCGGTGACAGCCGTCTTCTTTTTCTCGTCCAAATTCCTAACTAGATCAGCTATCTCGTTGTCCACATACATTACGAACGCGAGGTCATCGTATGGTGAGTATAATGCCTCAGTTTTGGAAACTGGTGGAGATTTCTCAGGGTCTTCAACTTCTTCACCAAGCACGTTCACGGCCATTAGGGCAACCTTGAAGGGAATAAATATTTACGTAACTGGAATGAGCTAACTAGTTGACGATCTACTTGATATAAAGTAGGAACAGGCGCTTATATACATGAACAGTACCAGAAAAGTCTAGTTCGTGGTACACTGATAGATCTTAACGTGCAACTGAGAAACAAGTTACGAAGCAAGCTGCTTGACGACTTTAATAGGTGAGACAAAGGTATCCATGTAAATATATACATGAGTCTTACGTAAGTCAACTAAATGTACATTATATTACTTGATAATTTTTCAGTCACTATCGTTTTATGATCGTAGATAACATTGATACAGAATTTCTACTTAAGAATGGTCTAGTCTATAAAATATCGGAACTTTTGATTTACCTGCTCATCTTCTTTAGCCGGTGTATGTGGTCCAGATAGTCTCAGTTTTACAAAACGAGCTATAGTTGGTTCTGGCAGTGCAGCGGACCTATAAGGGCAATGTAACTTTAGAAGTATATACGTATATCTTAATGTTGAACAGTTAAATGGCAGTACAGAACCAGCATAGATTGCCATTTCTTATGTTAATTCTTACGGAAATGACAATCAAGGATACTCTCCTCCTGATGGTAAGTGGCAACCTGACCTAAGGTGTTATGATTCCGTACCCTCTAATTTCATTCACAAAGCAAGTGCTGGCTTTGGCTGAAATATGTGACATTTGGTACAATTTTTTTTCTATTTACTTCGAATGGCAAAATATTATAGCGGCTGAACTACCTAATGGCAAGCTGCTTGGCGGCTGAAATAGCCGAGACTTAAGTATTCAGAGGACATTTTACCAAACAATGACTTCCTCTGACCTGAGTTCCCTGGACCTGGCTTGTGGTGCTGGTTTGGCGAGAGTGACTCTTCCAACGCTGGTGTACGTGGCGCCACATGGTGTTGCTGCACCCTCGGAAACCAGACCTCCTGATACCAGTACCTCCACGCAGGCCGCTAAAATAGAAATAATATTTACTTATAATAAATACATAAACTGAATATAAACACTTTTAAATAGTGATGTTTTTCTTATTCTACCACTCATTCGGAACGCAGACTCATCATAAGAATCAAGAAACTTTCGTGTTACTCTTTTAAATAAATGTTGTAAAGTAAGTACACATTAATAAGAATTAGGCATGCGAATCTACATACACGCCGCTATGAATTCAATCCTTGTGCAATCAAATCAAATTATTCGTTCATGTAGATCTTTTACTTATGATAATTCAAATCTACTGTCAGATCTGAAAGGAGTTCGAATTACATAGTATTGGCTCCGTAATTAGGCAGTGTAAGTATATTGCTGACTGACCCAACATTTCACGCAATCTTCCATGAAACCCATCGTGATATGCCTCCACCTCCTACAGAGTTTTATATCAGGCTTCATATTCAACCAAATAACATTTATGTATAATAGTGCATCCAATTTTTTAGCATTTTAGATTCATTGAGAAGGTTGTGTTGCATGTGCAAATACACGTCTTTTAGAAGAAAATAAAAGTATGATAACCTACTTCTAAAACTAGTACAGATTATTGCATGAATTCTATTTTGGTTTCTATATCTTAAAGATTGTAAAACTTATTATTCATTGCTGTGTGCTCGATAGTATTCTCGTACTTGGTTTTAATGATAACTTAATATTTCGTCTTCTTGATGGAATACAGTGTTAACTTACGTATAAGCTGATGATGAGCCAATAGCTGCAGTTTGTGGACGTTGGTGACACAAGTTAGTCGTAGCAGCAGTTCGTGAGGTGGACTTCCGGAGCTCCGCCAGCCGCGAGCGGCCGGGCCCTGGGCGTTTAACTCGCATGCTGGATACGAGCTGTCTTCACCTATTACGTCCAAATAGCACATTGTTATATATAAGATTAACTAGATATGTTTTATATACAAAAAATACCTAGCATAAAATTTAATTAGATAACTCTATCACACAATATATAATTACTTTGTAATGTTCACAACATGGGCGTACTCCTACCCCGTATTGTGCTTACGCCAGTCGTTCTTAATATACCCGTCTAGATAATAATTAATTTAGGTCGATCGATACGAGTTCTCGAAAGCAGATGGGTCCTAAAATATTAAACGTTGTAATTTGTATAGCTACTTTATCGAATTGCTTTAATTGTTCGCAGAACTATTACTCTAACTCTACTTAATTAAAATGACATTTTATTGTTACAATTAAATATCTAATTATAAAGCTGACCTACGTAACTTCGTCGTCAAAACAAAACGGGGAACATGGGTCCCCGTTTTACTACATTTTTCATTGAAGTCCCCTTCCATTGGGGTAGAGTAGCTGTAGCCTTGCTCTATAATGGGCTATCCAACACTAAACGAAATATTCAATTACTTGTTCCTGATCTATCAAACAAACAGAACAGCTTTAAATTTTAATGTGGATAGATTTATGTTTTAATTATTTACGTTTTTAATTCTGTTTTTTTTTATTAATATGCTCTATTAATAAAAAAAAAACAGAATTAAAAACGTCATTTTACATTTCATTATTTTGGGCCTAAGTTTACTAGCTTGGAGAGCTATTTTTACTAATGCCCTATATAACATCACGCTACAACCATTAGGAGCAATGCATCAATGAAAGACGATGAAAATTTGTTCGCTTTGAGAGCGCCCCACTCTCAATCAATGTGACGCAGACGAATTTGCGCGGGTCAGTTACTAATCAATATGTTTTCATAAACATTAACATTATTTTCAACAGTGTTCTTGTCCATACTCTAAACATATCAAAGCACATTCCTATACTATAAAATCTATTAAATATGGAAATTATTTCCTTTTTTAATGGAAATGAGACCCACACGCTATTTTACAGTCATAATATTAATAAAAATTGCACACATTCAATTCACGTCCAATTGTCACACGTTTCTTCCGCAGTGCGCAGTTACATAACAAATAAATGTAAATTGTATCTACCTACCGCCTGTTTATAATCAGAATTTAATGTGTACCTAATACGAATTAAGTATGTTAAAATCGGTAGCAGATATAAGTACATATACATTTATATTTGACTAAAATATTAAAATTTTACAAAAAGTAAATATAAAATAGTTTAATTTTCACTTTTCTTGGTCATGTTGTACGATTGAAGGAAGTGTCTCACACTTCCTTCAATCGTACAATTTTGTCAGTAATATTCAAAAATGATTAATCTATAGGAACCAGAGTTGACTTTGTAAAAAGTCGTCTACATGGGGTCCTCCGACTCACCAATTTCAGCCTCCAAGCGGCTTGCTTTGTATACTATGTTTCGGTTGAAAGAATGAAAAAGCAATGAAATTTCACCAAGTGAAAGACACCATCGGAATGAGTGGTATCACGGTCGACACATGATTATTGGTCGTGGTGAACACAACCACGACCAATAATCATGTGTCGACCAATAATCGTGTGTATGTATGTATGCGACGGTTACCCACCACCATCAAGTGGGCCATAAGCTTCTTTTTCATTCCAATTACATAAAATAAGTACTAAATGTTGCGAGGCATATAGTGTTAATTTATTTTGAATAATTTTGTGATAATGAGTGCTGAAATTCTTTCTAATTTAGGTCACGCTATTTTTAGACCAAAGATTCTGAGTAGGTTTAACATCCCAATAATGATTGAGATCAATCTCTGAAACTATATGAGTTTGTCTCGGCTCTTAATAGTAATATTTTTTTTAACTATTTCGTAACCATTAAAAAAATAAATGGTTACAAACTTGTTAGAAAAATATCTCAAAATGCCCTGTTCTTTAATTTAAGTACTTATTACTATTAAAAGCCGAGACAAGCTGATGGCTAAATAATAATATTTAGGCATTATTTTATTTCTTACTTTATACCTTATATTTTATATCTTATATTTTAGCAAAGATAAATTGCTACTTTCTTCTATTTTACATAACTTTTTGTAAGAATTTTCAGAGACTATATAAGTGATAATTGCTTAAGTTTTTTTGTGTTACACATACGAATTTTTTACTTGATACAGAGTTATATTTATATTTTTATTAATATTATTATATATAGTATATTTTTATTGAGTTTTTTAAACTAAGTACGATAAACTCAATAAATAGTGTTCCGATTTAAAAAAAACCTTCACTCAGTTCTTCTTGACTCTTCACTTCAGTTACATCACTTTATTTAATTTTCGAAATAATTAATGATCCTTACAATTAATCGATTTGCGCAGAAACGGGGCGGAACGTTAATTACTTATAAAAAAAATAAAAATAGGAATAAACTATTAAGTAAATATTAACATGCAGGTACTTACTTGTGGCGTAGACAACGTGGAATGGTATACGTTTGGGCATATTACTATTTTCATCACTACCTCTTTATTAACGTTTCTAAATTCACTTCCATTGTTATCAATTTTATTTAACAAACTAAATAAAATTAATAAATTCACTGCTGTGTAAGGTTAAAAACATATTTTAATATATGAAATATAAATTAAAGAACCCAAAACTATTGTAACTACATTGCATTTAAATGAATGTGGAATAAAAAGCGATACGAAGACGAACGATAAATGATTTCTAATAATGAAAAATTGAAGTGGGAAAAGGCGAAGTTAGCGGTAAATGGTTGCAGACAAAATCAATAGTTTCGCGCCTAAATTCGCGGCCATGTTTAATATACGCCCATACAAAGTGGCGCCATCTAGTAGGTGGTGCTAGTAAAGAACATTCATAGAATTTTCTGTAATATGAACATAGCTACGTATTTACCCTCATCATTGCAGTTTTTGTTTCTAATTTTTTTCGGTATTTTATTTTATAACTTATTTTAATTTTAATTGAGTGTTACACTCGACACGTTCTGTACGTACCTACACTACAGTACAGACTCTACTTCTCTATAGAAATAGAGCGTCTCTATAGTAAATACAAAGCATTGATATTGTTTTGACGTCCGCAATATGAATGCGAAAGTTTATCTCTCTGTTATCATTTACTACCAAACGACAGAACGAATATGAAAAAAAATAATATAAAGATAGATGTATCTTGAAGACGGACATAATCAATCATTTATCTCTAGAAAGCACAGCGTACGGGTAACATGAAGTATTTGAATATAGTTTTATGGGAATTAAGTTTGAAGACGGTTATATAATAAAGCAGTAATACATATATTTGGTCTCTGATAATGTAAAAAATGCAATTTACAGTGTCATACAGGTGCGGGTTCATTTGTAATTATTTCTGTAATGATATGAACGTACCTTGAACTGTCTACCCGCATACACGATACAAATTTGGTGAAATATTATGCGAACATTTGTGACATTATCCTTACCACAGATAACATAATATTACATACAGATACCCCATCCCATACAAGAAAATGGTTCCTTCCTAACTCGGGCTATTCTTCGGGCTATTTTATTTCGCCACCGTAGCCGCTAGATGTCGCTAGATCTGAAGCAGTTCGGATTACTAGTGGGTGCTTAGTAACAAAGCACGAAAATAGATGGCAGTCAATTCAGTCTACATGACATCTGTTTTGCAAAGATAGGTATATACAAGATATGTAGGTAACTGTATCGTGTACCTCATTAGGGACGATTCAAGATTCAATGTAAATGTGTAGGTATAATATCGGTAGCCGATACCCTGCAGATATGGCTTATGTGCCAATGTATATATTATGTTATAGTTTATTCTACATTCCATGCCTATTTTTTTCTCTCGACGAAGATATGTTGTAACGCGTCTGCGCTATACGTATAGCCCGATTTTGATACGTTTATACTCGTACGTATCAACATCGGGCTATATGATTTTTTATTTCAATTGTTATGTGTAAGAGACTGGTTTTAGCTACAATGAATTTACTGGTATATACCTCATGTATTCTACGATGTACCCCTCTTTTCCCTAATGAGAATTCCGCTATATCTTATATATAAACTTCGTATCACAGTGTTAGTTGCCATATTTCTCCCACATTTTGATGAAATTTGATATGTATACTTGCTAGGTCTGAGGTAGGGTTGTTATCTATTTTTTATACCCCTAAGTCATAGGGGTGGCCTACCCTGAATTTTTTTTTTTTGTATTATGGACAATTTTTTATTTATTTATAATGTTACATACACGCCTAAATTTTAGCCCGTCTTTCACCAACCCCTATTTTTAATAGCGATATTCTTACAAATATTATAAATGCTAAAGTAACTCTGTCTGTTTGTCTCGCTTTCACGCCCGTTACACGTTAGAAATGTGTAACGGGGGAACACGTTACTTAGTACGAAATTATGTATATTACAATAAAACTTAACGAGAAAATATTATAATGATGTCACTGGAACACTCATTGCTTTACTACTATATCGTCCATTAGTCGCGAACTTTCTGGATGCGCGAGAGGCGCGCTCCTATTGGTCCGTCGGTGCGGTTACCGCACGACGCGCATGCGCTGTACGCTTAGATGAGTCTCACGGCACGGGCGTAAGTACTTACTATGTAATATGTATACATATGGGTGTCACAAATGTTTTTATTACAAGTAATATTACTCTATTATCTAAGCCGGTAATGTGTGCTTATTTTGAACTTGATAATATTCAGAATTACTTGTATACATAACTTTCGATATCTACAATAATAATATCTTTGATGTATGAAAGAAATGTATGTACCTACATTAAAAGATAATTTTTGACATGTATGAAATGTATGTACCTACATTAAAATATAATTTTTGAAATGTATGAGATGTATGAAAGAAATGTATGTACCTACATAAAAAGTTCATTTTTTAAGTGTATGAAATGTATGAAAGAAATGTATGTACCTACATTAAAAGATAATTTTTGACATGTATGAAATGTATGAAAGAAATGTATGTACCTACATTAAAAGATAATTTTTGACATGTATGAAATGTATGAAAGAAATGTATGTACCTACATAAAAATATAATTTTTGAAATGTATGCACCGTACAATAACAATACACGTTAAACATCATACCACAGAGTCATACGCAAGTTAAAAACAAACTGCTATGATATTAATGAGAAAGGAAAATCAACTTTAAGTTATTCGAGTTAGGGTCGATTTCTCTCTTATTTTTAAATACTATTTTAATCTTGCCAGTATTCAAAGACAACTACGATTCGTACTCGATATTTTAAATTATTATGTAATCGATTTTTAGTACAAATGTAAATAACCAACGACACTAATAATGTACTACTATATTCCGTTCTTTGAAACGGAACACTGCTATAATATAAAATAATGAAAATTTACTGTTCACAACGACTCATTAAAAGCATCATCGAATAATGCGCTGTAATAAAATCCTGTTATCGATTATTCAAAAAAATCGATAATACATGTATTTATTTTTAATATGACAACACTTCATACATAAGTATTATTGGAAATAGTATTACTTGCTTGTTCGGCTATTTTTAATTTACTTAAAATTTTTTTATATGTTTAATTTACAATAATGATATATTAAGTGCTTATTATTGGAAAATATAAAAAAGACATTTAATTAGGCCGATACAAATGACAACAATGCCATCTATGAAAGCATTTTGAAAACATTGAGCCCCGTATTAGCACTGATTAAATTAATTAAGTACTGGAAAATAACAAAATGAGTAAATATATGAAAATTACTTTTCTAAACGCATTATTTCATTTTAACATGTATATATAACTTTTTAAAAATTGATTAAACATTTTTGTAAACACAGTTTTGTTTTTTAAAACGTTTGCAAAACTATGAAGAATTCCATCGATACCAATCACGCCATCTATATGCAACTTTTAGCAATAATAATGGCTACTTCCTCACGGATTGCCACTGTCCTTACTAAGTATTAATAGTTATTTTTTACCCGCAGCTTCGTCCATATAAAACTGTACCTATAGGGATCAAAATAGTCTATGCTCTTGACCAACATATTGTCTATGATTCAACTATTAACGAAATCTCACAGCATCTGCTTTTGGGATTGTAGTATTGGACAATATTATTATATATTGCTATTGCTGGCAATGTACTATGTCAAGTCACACTACACACTTGATCTCCTAAAAACAACGTAATAAATTCCTCACGATTTCATTACTGTACGCTTCATACTCATCGTATCGTCCTTCACTGCCGCCTCTTCAAGGTAAAACCCCATCACAGGCGCATGCATGGAATTAAACTACTTACTTCATTGTCATATTATAATTTTCCAACGCTATCTCGTCAACGTACTTGTATTTGCAGGTTTCAAATTGGTTATGTAAAGTTACAATGATTATATCAAAGACATACGCAAGTTTCTTGCTCGTTCTTCTTGTGATTATGAGCTTTCCGAATGAGCGGTAGATTAAAAGAATGATAACTATGACTATTCAAAAGTGCTTAAATTAAATTTATTTGAATAATGGATTTTCTATTCTACTAGCTTTTGCCCGCGGCTTCGCCCACGTTAATTTATTCTCTTAGATGTGGAATTTATCAAAATTCTTTCTTAGAGAATACCTACGTCATAGCTGCTATATGCATGCAAAGTCTCAGCCCGATCGGATTAAAATTGACAAAGTTTCATACAAACTTTCATCCCCTATTTTATCCCCCTCGGGGTAGAATTAATCAAGATCCTTTCTTAGCTGATGCCTACGTCATAACATCTACCTGCATGCAAAAATTTTACCCCGATCCGTCCAGTGGTTTGGGCTGTGCGTTGATAGATCACTATGTCAGTCAGTCACCTTTGAGTTATATATATTTAGTTTCTATAACTACCGTTAGTCGTAAATTGCGGATATCCATCATCATCAATTAATAGAGTTATTTATATACTTACAGTGGACCCGCGGTAATCCGGCCCCTGTCTAATCCGGCCCTCCTTATAATCCGACATTGTCTATTATTTGTTATTGAATATTACTTTGACAATATACTTCAGAGTGCATATACATACATACATATATAACATAGAATCTTATCACTGGATCTGTAATTTGTCGGATTACAAGATACTCTTTTGTAAAAAATTCCGGACTATAAGCAGGGGACCCTTAAGCAGCACTCTATAATCCGACAAATACGATGGTCCGACACTGCCCTGCAAAACGTTTGTCGGATAACCGGGGGGCCACTGTATGTATATAATATAAAGAATCATCATTGGATCTATAATTTGTCGGATTACAAGGTACTCTTTTGTAAAAAAATTCGGACTATAAGGGATCTTAGACAGTACTCTATAATCCGACAAATTCGATAGTCCGACACTGCCCTGCATAATGATTGTCGGACTACCGGGAGTCCACTGTATTTAAAAAACAAGTACTTTAAAAAATAAAAGGCAAATTACATAATTATCGAATTTATTTTTGACAATATTGTGCTCCCGGTGTAGTACTCAATATCCAGGATAAGTACGCTGACACCCGGGTATTAATACCCGGCTCTCCTTTGGACGCGCAGAACCGTCCGTAACTTACCACGCCTATGTTGAAAAGGAGCCCCGTGGCTGGGTCTGTGTACAGAAGAGGGCCCCCAGAGTCATCCTGTAATTAATACATTCATGTTAACATTTATTTGAAAGAATACGAGCTGAGTTTCTTGTCAGTTTTTCTCATCTCGAAATATTCCGAACTGACGGTAGATTTGACATATCATTAGAGTCTGTAATAGACCTACATGAATAAAGATATTTTGAATTTTGAATTTCATGTTAGGTGTATACGTAAAAGAATGTACCTACGAGTGGAGCTTGGTTAGGCGCTATATCTCACCCTTCAACTTAAACACAGCTTCTACTTGGGAACACATTGAAATGAAATTGGTGACATAATACGCGTACATAATTTGAGATTACCAACGCGTATACATGTATAGATTAATCTATTAATGATAAACAAAATACAATCTATACATATAAATAAAATTGGAGTGTCTGTTTGTAATACCACAGATAACATAGTAATACTGAAATAATCGTTTTTTGCTACATGCCTATGTATATAACTACGGTACATACATCAAAATAACATTTTTTGCAATTTTTGTCTGTCTGTCTGTTTGTTGCGGCTAATCTCTGAAATGGCTGTACCGATTTTGACGGGACATTTTTTGGCAGGTAGCTGATGTAATAAGTAGTAAGTAAGTACTAAGTAACTTTTCTAAGATTTCTCAACACATTTGTTGATTCAAATTTAGTAACATCTGTAAAATTTATCCTAATTTCCCCAGAATTTTTACGCGATACATTAACAAACAATCAGACAGTTTTCGCCTCGTTACGATTCTCTTATAGTTAGAGATACAGCTTAGTGACATATTCGTTGCATTCAAAAGTATAAATAGAGGTTACATGTCTCAATTTCGATATTGATCGACTGCAAATGGTTGCAAGAGTAGAGCGGCAAGTCTGTAATTACACCTGTCTCTAGTTCTATGCTCTTCACTCTTTGAATGTAACCAAAATGAAACCTTTAGACTAAATCATTAAAATACATTTTCCTACACCATGACCTGGGCCTGTATCTGTAACGCTATGTACACCTCCAATATTGCATAAATAATAAAATAACCAACCGTTCAATACATTCTGACGATACCTACGTTTGATGAGTCTTCCATCAATAATGTTATGTTATAAATGCGATTGTTTTCTGTTTGCTTGTTACTTTTTTACAACTAAACAGTAAAATATTGTAATAAATTATTATAAATATATAGAGGCATGCCGCCTTAGGAGAGTCTATGTCCAGCAGTGGACTGCAGTGGGCTGTCGATGATGATAATACAAAAGTCTGTTTTATCGCTAAGCAAGTTCTTCCAGACTACCTTTGGTAGAGAAAGTAATAAGAAAAGGGTAGCTGGCGCTCGTAATGCACATATAATATATTAATATGTACAGATATAATATTAAAATAACTATATTATATTTGTACTTGTTTATTTTTACATTACTATTATGTTTTAAATTATTCAACGGATTTCAATGCAGCTTTCAGCAATAGATAGGGTGATTCGAGAGGAATATTTACATGTATAACACATGCGGGCTATGGTATAGAACAGGCCGAGAAATTAAAAGATTTATAATACATCCAGACGTCCCGTCTTCGCACATATATACTTTATAGTGTACATAGTACAGACAAAATAACAGATACCTGACATGCATCCTTCCCTGGTGTGTAAGTGCAGATCTGTTGTGGAGTTAGCAAAGGCACCTTAGCTTGGCACTCACTCTGTGTCATCACGTCTAAATCCACCTTTCGCAGGACATTAGATACTGGACCACCGGGGAACAGTGTTCCCCAACCTGTAATTATCCTTAATCGTTACATACGAGTATATCCAATGAACTAAGGGACAGCTAATTTTACCCACTATGAACGCCAAGCAGCTTGCAGCGTTTCCATAAAGGGGTAAGGTGGCAGTAAAAATATAGGGTTCTAGCTGTGCTCGCGGTTTCACGCACGTTAAATTTCCATAATATCTTTTTATATTATAACCTGTGTTATTTTGATGTATAAGCTATATCGCTGTAAAGTTTCATCAAATTCCATTCAGTAATTTTTGTATAAGAATAAAAAACAACAGTCCATCCATCCATAGTCACAATATTTCGCGTTTATAATTTTACTAGCTTTTGCCCGCGGCTTCGATCGCGTTAATTTATCCCAAACTTTCATCCCCTATTTTGGGGATAGAATTAATCAAAATCCTTTCTTAGCGGATGCCTACGTCATAACATTTACCTGCATGCCAAATTTTAGCCCGATCCGTCTAGTGATTTGGGCTAGGCTTGATAGTTCACTACGTCAGTCACCTTTGAGTTTATATATATTTAGATATAGTAATAGTAAGAACTGATATAGATAGCTGTCACTTACAATAGAGTGGGTCGTCAGCTTGTTTATTATTTAAGTTACATTTAAGTAGATTTGACGTACGATATTCTGTTACGTACCTAGAACAGTGAGCCTAGTCCCAGTCATATCGTTATTGACGAATTTAAACGGTAAGCATGCTGGCCCTACCAGTGGACCGAACTGGATGTCCTCTTGTGTTGTTAGGATCGCGATATCATTGGTATATCTAGCACTGAAATATGTTAATTAAATGTATTAGGAGGTGAAACAGATTATTTGCAATGGGATTTAGTGGGTATGCGATAAATTCTATTCTATTCTAGTGGGCCATTTGCTAGGAATGTTAGGTCGACCTCGCGATCCCCTCTGGAAACTAATGTAGCTAATTAATGGTGAATTTACCATGGTGAGCTATGTTTCTTGGCATTATGGTCTTCTCACTATTCTCTATTGGTAAATTATTCTATGATTCTCGAAGCACTGGTTGCGTAGAGTCATCCTACAAGAATGTTACTTCCTGATATCGTAGAACCATAAAATCAAAGAATTCATAAAAATAGATAAGTAGATTTGGGTCATTAGTAATGAATAATGATGGATATTATGACCAATAAGGTGGAAACGGAAAACGGTTGCTGTTTCATTAACATTTGATTGGTCATAATTTGTGACTTATGTACCTATTAGCAGTATATATAGTGTATACTGTCACCAATTATGGTATATATATATTAATATATAATATGTCTTTCTGGGATTATATACGATTCTAACAGAGAAGAAAGAGTTTCTCAAAACAGCCCATAGTTTCGGAGTTTACTTTATTCGTAACAAAAATCCATTCTATATTTATATTATAAGCATATAAACTAAAACTATACGGTCTTTATAATAATACTGTAAATTTAATTAAAGTTCTTCGTTAGTGATGCTAAACATGTTGCTTTTTAGATAGTCGCATATTCGATTCGTGTACAATGCAATGCAAAAATATCTACTTCTACTTGATACGATGCGTACATTAAGTACGTTAATTACTAAAAGTAGAGTTGGGCGTTTGGACGTAAAGTTGCATGAAAAGAATGCCAGATCTTAATTTCAGTTTTAATCAGTTAGCCCTATAGATCTCGCAAAATGTTTCAAAATATTAAAAGTTTTGTGTCATCGGAAAAACACAAATAGATATGGCTTCATTGTTATGACGGTTCGAATATATAAAATTAGATGAGTAATTAATACAGTGATAATAATCTACACAGATAGCGACAAAATTGATATATACATTGATATAAAGAGGAAGCAAGGTAAACAACAAAAGACGTAGATAGCAAATAGAATAGTACCACGTTGGAAAAACTAAAGGGAGTTGCAGAAAATGAAAAAAATAACTATTAAAATTGTTTCTACTAAACTCCACATACTTACGAACTGTAACCAGGATGTATGTTGATACGGCTAACTCTGTACGCTTTCGTAGCTGGCGACACGTCTGTAAGTCAATCAGACAATAAATTTAATGAAAATAACAAAAATTATGTCACAAATTCAAATAAAAAAATAAATTTGTAGCATGTTTAAAAATGTGAATGAAATCATTCACATTTTTAAACATGCTACAAATTCAAATATCATTTATTCATACAGGACACTTTCGGCCGTTTATAGCAATTTTTTTTGGCACTATCCCTACCGTCCAGATCGTCTATTTACTTATGTTGAGAAGAACAGGCCAAAAATTGAACTAGTACATTATGTATAGTACAAAAATGACATAATTTTGTGTATGTATATCTAACAGAATCAAAATATTGAAAATCCCTGGTCTAAACCACTAATGCCAGACATAACAAATAGGCTTTATTCGATAGATATATCTTGATGTTAATAAACACTATGAGGTATGTATAATTAGATTAAAATAAATATAGTATACTATATTATTAATTGAAAATACGACTGTTAACTGTACCATTTGCAAAGTACCTAAATATTATCTATTTTTGTCCCGCATACATTTGAACAAACTTCACAAAGAGTTATCAATTTGTTTTTTCATGATAACATCGCTGGATTCTAAATATGTTTTGATTGAATTTCATTGATTGAGTTTACCCGATTACTTTATTTTAACCTGATGGTTGTCAAGTTGTTCTATTGAGAAATTATGATGTAACGAAGGCAAATAATATTTTCTCAAATCTGAAATTCAGTAATTCAGTAAATTAATATTTTGTACAACTAAGAAGTGGTAGATAGGCATCAATTCAACTCAAATGTCATTATAGGTAATGATATTAGTGTACAAATTAATTCTTTTCATAATATCCCATTTAAAATATAATTCTTTTTCAACTTTTAAAGACAAATTTAGAGTTTTTTAAGTATCTCTAAATTTCAAACAGCGTCACAACAGCGTCAGTAATTTCTAATGTATAACACAGTCGGACAAAATCGTACCATAAGAGTTCCGTTTTGCTTATTTAATTTGAGATAACATATAGGTACATAGCAAATGAATGAACTCACTATTATCGACATCATGTAGTCCAACTACGACTGCCAAATCTGACACATTCTGATTCTCCATACAATGCGCTGCAGTCAATACATATCGTTTCTCTATAATGACGGCGCCGCAGTGGATCTGCCCAACATTTCTGTCCACCAGGCCCACCATCATTGGAAACTCGTTGACATCAGTCTCTACGCCGCCGACTATCCTCATCTGAAATGTAACCAATACTTATGTCTGGTACTAGCTGTAGGTGCGACTTCAGCTGAGCAACTATATTTTCTGTTATGGATGGACATGGAGAGTCGCTTCCACCTGCGATAATAGTATATAGATAGGTTAACAATGAAGTTACGTCAGTAAGCTAATTTATAAGGAATTCACCAAGGTGACTTTTAGCGAAATTGTCTACTTACATGATAGGTACATTGCTACTAATAAGGCCTCTAGTTCCCATTACATATAATCCCCTCCCCTTTCCCATTAAAACCGTATACGGCACAAAATGACACACACATTTCAAATATAAATGTAAGTGTGTAGTGTTTTTTACATATTTCGACGACCTCGGTGGTCTAGCGGTCAAGCACACCGCTTTACGTCCGATGGTCGCGGGTTCGATTCCTCGCACGGCACAAACATTTGTATTCATGAGTATGATTGTTTGTATCGGTCTGAGTATTTTCTATGTATAATATGTATGTATTTACGAAAAAAAACATATCTATGTATTGTATGTATCAGTTGTCAAGTACCCATAACACAAGCTTTAGGTAGCTTAATTTGGATCTAGATGGCGCTGTGTGAATTGTACAGAGATTATTTATTTATTTATTATTTATATGTGTGTGATTGTGTGCGTGTGTATATATTACAACCTTCTTTTTATAACCACAGCTGCAATCTGGTGTGGGTGATCCTGGTTCAGCGGTCAACTGACACATAAATCTCCCGCCGGGACTTGTATACGACGTTATTAGACCTGGAACAACATAGATCTTTGGACATACTGCTCACCTACAACCTATCTCATAAGCTTACATATTCACGCTACACAATTTTTATCATTTTTTTAGTAAGTGGAATGACAAACAATCTGACGGCCCACCTGATGGTTAGAGGTAATAGTGTACATGAATATCACTACGGATATCATGTTGTCATGTACAGATTGAATGAAACACACCGAATGTCAGGCAAGATCTGTGTAATAAAAGTAATCCGAACTAGATGGTTAGGTTCGGGTGATGATTCAAGTACCGTACATTACACGTGTGACTCTATGTGACTAGACATAGGAGTATTTCATGAAATATTGGCAGAACCAGCCTCCGATGCAGCCAAGTTATTGTTCTGGATGGTATCATATTAGGTTAAGTTTTTTAGATTATTTTTGTTATTTGGTATAGGTACGATGGGAATGTCATCGCCACATTTTGTGCACAATATATCCAAAAAAAATAAAGAGAAAAAAAGACTATGTGACAAGTATGGCCGTGACATCCCCATGATTTATGACGTAATTTACGAATGGTTCTACCTATTGACGATGGTGTAAAATAAAAGAATGATTAACATAATACATTTTAGACATCAGTTGTGAATGTTTTTAATTAACGTACCTACACTGATCCTTTGGCCTGTCGATACAGCAGTCACTGTTCCTTGGCCACAGTAGTAATCAGCTTCAGTAAGTTGAGGGTCCCCACTCTTGGAAATCAGTAGACGATCCATAGTACACGATGGGGTCTAAAGTATCAAAAATAAATTGACATAATATATATACTCCGAGCTGCCTTAGATTTGATTTATAATAAGTTTTTTTTTCAGACTACTCTAATGCTGTTAAGTCCGAAAACTGGCCTTTACAGCTTCAGCGGACGTTAGGGGGCGAGTGCAGAAGGCACTCCAAACCCGCGGAAGGACTTATGGAGCGGCTGAAGGCCAACTCCTGCCTGACGGATACGACTTTAAACTGAGGGCACCACTAGGGGTTCGAACCTCGGCTTAGGCCATCGTAATATCGATCCCCGTTTGAATTGGATGGGGGATCAATCGGAGGAGCGCAGCAGGCGCCCGGGCGCGATATGGTGTGTTGGGGGTCGTCGTCTTCGCCGGCGAGGACGGTGTCGTGTGTGTGTGTAAAAGTGTGGTCGGAGTGGATATAATAAGTGTGTGTCCTTACATTATAGATTGAGGTAGATTTTGTACAAATTCATCTGTGTAAATACCTCAGCCTCACCTATTTCAGTCGGTGGCTTACTAAATAAGACGTGATTTAGTTGAAGGGTGCGATAAAGCAGTAAAATTACTCTCCTCTTTACGTCCCCTGGAATAGCAACGAAGGATCACGGAAATCATGGTCAAATAACATCCGTGGTGCATTATATGTATATCTTATGGTTGCTAATAACCATCAGGTTGGACCCTTAGCTTGTTTGCTATTCCAGTTACCTAAATATAAACATATAAAGTTTTGTATTTAGTTTGATTTGATACTACCACATAGATATACATTATATATATTATTTTACACTTTACATTATATACACTTTTCATCCAATGACGTGAGTTCATTTCACGTTACTTGAAAATAATAAGCACTTTGATTATTGACTTACCTGAGGTATCGATACTTCGGGACAGTACAGTCTGCATCTGTACCCAGTTGGGCATACGCCTATCCATCTGCATTGAACACCTGGTGGATAATTGGAAGGGTATCTTGGACTGTATACATAATAAGTTTGCCCTGGCTGGACCTGAAAATTAATAAATCAATTTCTAGAAGTTTATCGAGGTAGACTTTTCACAAAATTCTTCACTGTCATCTCTGTATGACCTATTTGTAGTTGTATGTTGCAGATTAGGCAGTAAAATTATAGAATATGTCTACCTATTTCAACCGTAAAACTTACTTTGTGATTTAGTCGAAGGATGAGATATGGAAGTGAAATTACAGGATAAGAGGCATGATGTTCTTGTCCTACAGAATGGCAATCTATAAGTGATATCACGATAACTTGATGTTCTGTTTAGTTATTAAAGGATGGTTTTTAGTTTATTTTGCCTTTCCAGTTGCATGAAAAAGAATGACAGTGGTTCATTCTGAATGGAATTAAAATGGAGAAAGTTTATGATAGAACAGAGAATTAAATTAAATTAATAATAATAATTAAATTAATAATAATTTAATTAAAACTGAGAAGTTATCCGGAGTAAATTTATAAATATGTATATTATAATCAATTTGTTATAATACAAAGTTATTAGAAGAAAATGATAGCGTCAATAGAAAATCACATTTTGTAGGTACTCTACAATACCAACTCGTTCGCCAAATAAATCGTCCCAAAAACGTAAGAAATTTTCAATACCAATATATATGCAATAGCTATGCATTGATAGTGACATATTAAATAGAAACAATTTGTTTACTTACATTTTGCGTAAAATCACAGTTTGGGTCTTGAGCTGCAGTTTCGAGTAAAAAAATGAAAAACATCGACAGACTTTTTTTATTGAACATTTTTGTAAAAGTTAATAAGTACTTTAGAAGTAATAAATTTATCTAATAATCAAGCACTAATGAAGTTATATTTATATTATATCTATTAAAAAGATATTTATGTCTATAGAAAGTTAAAATTAAAATATAATGAATTTCACTAGCACTATTTCGTGTAACGACTTTCAACAATAATACTGAAACAAGACAACTCCATATTTATCAGTAGCAATATTATCAATTAGTTAATTAATAATAAAAAATCTATATTCAATCACACATCAAAGCAAACTCGTGCGCCATACACGTTTGCTTGAAACATTTGTTTTTCAGTAAATGTCTGTATGATAACTAAATATTCAGTGTTCATGTTATCTGTATAATGACACTTATATTCATATTTTACAACCTTAGTGATAAAGAATTGTTTAAATTACATATCAACAAAACGGTCATGCAATTTGAAATATTCTAATTCGTGTGTCTGCGCTTATAAACGGAGAAGTTAGGCACAAATCATTCAAACTAGTGATAAGATAGCACCTGTTCCTGAAATTGAATTTTCCTGAGGAATATTTCCATAACAACCCATTATTATCTATTCTAACATTTCTATGTATTGATGTCGATACCTATTACCACAGATAAGTAATTATTATTAACGTAGGTGCAATTGAACAAGTATGTATTGTAAAATTATTGTTCAACTATTTTTTTGTACCACACAGTAAATGATTATCATGAGCGGAAAAGCAGGTAGGTGAGCTAGGGATAGGGATCCTCCCTAAATGGTTGGCAACTCACCTATCCTATCCTTTTTTTCTTGAAGGTTTTAATATTTATAATAGCGCAATACTACTGATTGTGTCCAATTCAAGTTACACAAAAAATACTATATACAATTTTTTTTATTCTTTTCTAAAGCTATTTTTAAAGCTACGCATGAATAAGGAATGATATACTTGCCTGCACTGTATACCATCAGTGCAGGCAAGTACCTTGACGGGGCACTAGTGGAGGTTGGTGGGATGGCTCATCATGAGCCAAGTTCCACAGGAATTTCCAGCGGGGGCCGCGTGAAAATCGAACTGAAATAGTTCATTGCTAGCAGTGGGATTAATTTTAACTAGTCCCTATTTTTAACAACCCCTCTCCCATCCAAAATTTGTATAGTAGAATTAGGATCTCTGTTAGGAAACGACTGAAAAGACATAATAATGGATAATTATAACATTTTATTTTCTACAATATTGTGCTCCAGGCGTACTGTCAACGATCCAGGACAAATAATTCGTTACTCTGGTGTTGACGGCTGGCTCCCCTTTAGATGCACAGGAGCGGCCCTGACTCACTACGCCAATGTCAAAGAGTAGGCCGGTCGAAGAGTCTGTGTATAGAAGAGGCCCTCCAGAATCGAGCTGTAACATCACACAAAAGACTTTTAGACAAATCGGTACAACAAACGGTGAGTTTCTCAAGAAAATTTCTAATCTTATGTAAAAATATTGTATAGCTTCTGATATAGGCTTTAGTTAAGTTAGTAATAACTTAATTATTGACTAAAGTCTGCCTCAGTGTACTTTTCCGATTCAGATTTTTTTATTCCGTTTCCCATTTCATACATCATACACTTTTGTTTTCAGACGTAGTGTGTTTTGGTCGGAAAGAGAAATATTTTTAAAATTCTTTAAGAATTAACATGGTACAGAGGCATAATATTTTAGTCTGCGTATGAAGGATTTTTTGTTATTTATTTTTATTGCGGGTTTAAGCTATTGAAGGTGATTTAGACCTATAGCACTGTGACCTATAGAGATCTAAAGAACTCGCCCTCTCAGACTCTTAGGAGCGATGGTTTTTACATACTCAGAATAGAGTTAGCATTATTGAGCAATATGGCAGCAGACTCAATAACGGTCGGAATTTAATCACCAATAGAAAAGGTCGTAACGATTCCAGTAACGTTGGTCATATTTTCACACTGAATATTCGTGGTCTCACACGTAATAATGATAGCGGAATGAAACAATAAAATAAAACCATTAAATAATACGAATACCTGGCAAGAGTCCTTCCCAGGAGTATATGTGCAGATTTGATCTTTACTGACTGAAGGTACTTTCTGGCGGCACTGACTCTCACTTATTACTGTCAAGTCTGCTTTCCGTAGCGCTCTAGATGTTGGTCCACCTATGAATAATGTTCCCCATCCTGGACACACAGAATCGTCTCATTAAATTTCTGTAGTATATATTATTTTACTTTTAATGTTCGATCAATCATTCGAGAAATAAATGTCATTTTGAACAGAAGTGCTCGCGTAATTATATATTATTGACATATATCACAATACGATAAGAATAGCGAAAGAAGAAAAGGAAGAAAGAGAGTGAGATCAATATGTTTTCAACATACATTACAAAAAAAACAAAACTTCCTACTGTACAAATCTTAGCATAATAATACGCCGTCATGACGCGCTGTAGATTCTACTTTATATGTATATTTCCTATTTATTGTATTTTATTATTATACGACGTACAAAAACCCCCTAGTTTATACTACATCTATACCTAATATACATATAAAGCTGAGTGTACATCATCTCGACCATTTCTGTTTAGGAATAGTTAAAGTTAAAAAATATGGTTTTCTGTTTTAATATATTGCACCTGATTGGTTCGCTTTACAACGGTTATTTCAATGTAATATATAGACATTATTCATGCAATATATATATACCAAGAACAGTAAGTGTGTCTCCAGTCAGATCGTAGTTGGTGAATTTGAATGGCAAACAGACAGGACCGACCAGAGGACCAAATTTGATGTCTTCTTTCACTGCCACAATTGCAATGTCGTTAACATAGCTGGACCTGAAAACAACCTTAATGCATTTCAATAAAGTTTTTCTTTAAATAGCCGATCACTTGCATGTACTTTTGCAAAATTAATTAATTATAAGTGGTAACCGATACCTATAAATAGCACTACGGACATCACGTTCTCATCGGTCATCCGAAATACTTCTCATTCATTTCAGAAGACTACGATATCACGCTTAAGTAATTTCGCTTAATACCTATAGTCAAAACAAATGAAGCTGTTTGCTGGCTGAAATTTGTGAGAATGATGTTTCCATAGTAGAATTGTTCTTTCTGCATGTATTTTATTATACATACATTGTTGACGCTTGTCACCCTTTAAAATAGATACCAACTATAAAATAGCCTAATAAATAAGTACGAAAATAAATAAAAAACACGTATATTGTGCCTGAATTGCTCTCTAACCACCATCATCGTGTTACGATTGATATCCATTACTAAAAATGTCTTTAACACCTTACACGAGGTTGGAATATTCTCGTATCTAAAGTCAACAGGGAAGTGCGTATCTACCGTATCAAAAAATAAGGGCCCCAAAGTGCGTAAGCAAAAATAAACCCGCCAGAATTATTTTTTTATTTCACAAATTTTTTTTTTTCCCGCATCAGCTATAAAAGTTAATTTAATAAAACAGTTTGTCGAAAAAAGGCAAGGAGTGTATATTTAATTTGAACTGTTTGTAAAGATTTTGGAAAAAATGACACATAGATAATTATGATGAATAAATAGTTCTTTTAATTTTATGCAATTTTTTTTTGCGTAGAAATCATTTCTCTTCGTATATTCCCTTTTTATACGGGGCCTCGCTACGCTTCTGGTCAACAATTTTGTTCTGGTACGAGAATTCTCGTACGATTGATGATTACTTAATCTAAAAAAGGAACTTACGGATCGTACTGCGGATGAATAAGCACATCTAATACTATATAACCTTTAGTAGCAGGCGAGTCACCTGGAATAAATTATTTACTTCTTTAATAAATTTTTATTTAATCATTGATTATCTTGACAGAAAAACAGGATGAAGATGAATGGAATGATAAAGGCAAGGCAATGATGAAATAAACAATATTTTAAGTGTAACTGCCTTGGTAGTCTAGCAGTTTAGGACACCGCTAATCCGATAGTCGCGGGGTCGATTCCTCGCCCGATCCAATCATTTGTTTTCATGAAAATGATTGTAAATGTTCACTCATCGGGTTTGTTTTGACAATTAACAATATTGTATTTATTTGATACTAGGTGTACCCGTGTTTGATATTGACGTGTTGTTATCAGTCAGTGTAATATAATGTGTAATGTTTTATTTATTGATTTAATGTATTTCTATACATCATTAAAAAAAATATTAGTATACTGTACTCCTTATCTATGTAAACATAAAGGTACGAAATTTTAGTACGCTGTTTTCGTATAAAGGGGTTTTTTTTTAGTGGATGATAATGGAATGATGCACTCGCCTGCGCTAACGGTTTACGCTGACGGGGCACCAGTGGAGGATGATAAGATGAGCATGAAGTCAGGTCAGTTAGCCCATCGTGATAAATTCACCGGGAATTTATCACGATGGTTTCCAGGAGAAACCGCGTGGAGGTCAACCTGACATGGTACATTGTTAGCAATGGAATCATCAGTCCACATTACTAACAATCCTTCCCCCCCACGTCGTAAAAAGGGGTACAAAGTTTTTGCTTCCCGTACTTATTAATATTATGACGCATAGTACTGAAAATTGGATATCAAATGAAAGGAAGTACTGGGAAAAGTCAAAATTCACAAAATATGAAATCAACTTACTAAGAAAAAAGTAGCGTCACAACCAAAGTAGTGTCTATGTATTGTTTATCAACTTACCAATATCGACATTGTGCTCTCCAACGACAACTGCAAAATCAGTTGGTCTATATTTCTCCACACAGTGGGCCGCTGTTAAGAGGTATCGCTTATCAATGATAACAGCACCACAAGTAATATCTGTCGTGTATCTGTCAACTAGCGCGGCCATCATAGGAAACTCGTTGATGTCCGTCTCTTCCCCACCTACGATTCGAGTCTAGATAGAAATGAAAAATTATATAGGTTTGATTTTATGGACTAGTAAGGTAAGGTAATAATTACGAGTCCCGGTGTCCCCAAAATGAACTCTAGGATGCAAAATTGTCCCAAAACTTTGCGAAAACTTGTGTAGTCGAACGGGCTAGTTGTGATGTTGATTATTGTCGATAATTAAAGTGATTCGATATTAAAAATCGTACCAAGACTTCCGATCTTACTATGTCATATTATCTTATCTGTAGTCTTACTTAAAAGCTTCACTGGCTATATTAAAGCTAATTTGTTCATCTGATAATACTTAACTTTTTCTGAATAAAGCTTTAGGAAATTGTGTTGTCTGTAAGAATGTGTGTGACTGTCTATTAATTAACATAAATAAACTAATGTCCCGTTTTAAGTCAAAGAATAAATGGTCACGTTATGTCTCACCTGTTTCTTATAACCACAGCGGCATGACCCTGTTTCACCTGATGATATTTCTTTAGTAGTAAGTTCACACAGGAATTTCCCACCTGGACTATCACGCGATGTTATTAATCCTAAAAATATGTATAATTAGCCATTACTGATACTTTGTTTGCGCTTTTTTATATAAAACGTAGCCATCGTGTCCCCGTAGTCCATCGTGATATCTTCACGCCAAACATCATCATGTTTAGTCGTGGAGAGGTAACAATCAGAAACATACACAGTTCACTTATTTTTAAATTTTCGTGTTTAGTACACATTGCACTATTATTTTTTATTTATTATACTAATATTATAAAGTAATAAAATCATTAATGATTTGTTTATTCGTTTGCATTCAGCAGACTCCAAAACTACAGGGCCGATTTCAAATATTTTTCTATTATTATCCCTGATGAAAATAGGCGACAAAATATTTTCACAAAACTTCGATATTGTATCCTAACATGTGAAAAAAATCCTTATAACGCGCACGCTAAGGAAAATACTGACAATAGAATAGGGGTGTACTATAGTTTCATAAAGGACATCAATATGTAACGTGTATGTTATTTTTTTTTATTTTTGATAAAAACTTCTCGATAGTAAGAGTCGAGTTGAGAGTTATTATAGTATTGGTTATTAATATATTACAGTTAATCGGGTCTTAACACGAATCATTTTATAATAAAGTAGCTGTACTCGCGTCTTCGTTCGTGTGAAATTTAACTTTATTTTTCTAAAATAAAAGTACCCTACGTTACTCCTTATTACATCAGCTATCTGCCAAAAAATATAGAATATAGATACGAAAAATTGTAAAAAATATTATTTTGGTGTATGTACATAACATACACCAAAATAATATTTTTTACAATTTTTGTCTGTCTATCGGTTTTGTTCCGGCTAATCTCTGAAATGGCTGGACCGATTTTGACGGGACTTTTTTTGGCAAGTAACTGATGTAATGAGTAACTTTGGCTACTTAGTTTTAGAAAAAATCCTTTATTTTAGAAAAAAAAAGTTATCTCACTCAATAGTTACTGAAATTTGCTTTAGCACGGCACGCTGGTGAACGGTTGCCGTTGACGGTATATATAGTATATAAGCACCATTTGCTACTCAACATCATGGGCCACCATTTTGTTTAGCATTTCGATTACATAATAAGGTTTTTATTCGAATTCACACGTCTAAGGCCACAGGTATTATGTTTGTCAATTTTAATTAATACCTAGATATTGAAATGCGGTACATACCAACACTTATTGTTTGGTTTATTGATTCAGCTGTTAAGAAGCCACGTCCACAGTAGTGATCAGCGCCTGTCAATGTGGGATCTCCACTCTTGGAGACCAGTAGTCGGTCCATAGAACATGATGAACTCTGATGGATTTAACAAAAATACATCTACAACACCAATACCAAACTAGAAGGAGAAGTAGAAATAATCTTTAATTAAATATACATATATTTTTTTCTATTCTTAATATTGTAAAGCTGAAGAGTTTGTTTGTTTGCACGCACTAATCAGGAACTACTATTTCGAATTGAAAAATTCTACTCCTATATATATATTCTACTACTTTTGGGTTGGATAGTCCATATGTATATATATATACATATAGTGATAGAAGGATGATAGAATTGTGTGTTGTATGTATTTTTAATGACACATAATAAAAATAAACAATGTCAAAAAAAATTTTAACATATAAAAACCCAATTCTTAGACCTACTGAGTATACATATCGACCAAGCCGTTTCGGAGGAATATAAACTCGAAACCTGTGAATTTAATAAATTAGAATTTTGGAGGACTTTGCTTCGCTTATTTTGGGTGACATGAGGGTGGGGGACTCTAGATGATGATTACGATATCGGTAGTTGTTTACCTTTTACATGAATAGCAACCCTCACATTGTCTTTGCTAAAAAAATACATTAATTGAAAAATGTTTACGTTAACAGAGGGAGGGGGTAAGAGCTTTGCTTACTTTTGCTGGCAAGGGAAAATGGGGGGGGGGGGGTAAATAATTGTAATAAATCTGCATACGTAATACTTGAACGGCCTCTATATCTAAATCTCCTTCAATAAATATCGTAGTTATTCTCGAATACTTTAATTAAATAGTAATTTAAATATAAGTAGGTAAATCTTGTATAACTTACCGCAGGTAAGTCTATTTCGGGACAATTCAACACACATTTGTAGCCGTCTTGACATTTCCCAATCCACCTACATTGTATTCCTGGTGGATAATTATTTGGGTATTCTCGACTGTATATATAATAGTTTTCATTAGGTTTTACCTGTTGAAAAATTAATATTAAAAAATGCAATTGAACAACGTACGATGTATCGAACGACGACGCACCAACATCGTAGTAGACCAAAGCGACAGTGGGTCGATTTAGTTCATTCAATCATTGTGCTGATTAGATATGGTCTGATCAAGCTCAGGATAGAGAGGTTTGGAGATGTGAGAAGGAGAGATTTTCTCTACAATGGGACACAAGTCTTACTTATTACTAGCTGTTCCCACGACTTCGTCCGCATGGAATTTAACTTTATTTTTCTAAAATAAAAGATTTTTTAAAATAAAAGTAGCCTAAGTTACTGCTTATTACATCAGCTACCTGCCAAAAAATGTCGAATTAGATATAAGCCACAGGAATGGTCATTATTGCATCAAACTAAGTTCTTTCTAGCAAAGAATCACAGTCTACTCTGACATAATAAAACTGAATATTAAAAATATATTCAGTGAAATAATTGCCGTCGAGCGATCTACAGTCGTGACTCATGTAAAAATCGTTCCAGCTATTTCAGAAATTACCCGGAACAAACAGACAGACAAAAATTGTAAAAAGCGTTATTTTAGTGTATGTTTATTATTTTATTATATATTATAGTAATAAACGGTTAATTCAATATTACAAACAGACACTCCAATTTTATTTATATATATAGATAAACGTGGAAATGAGTGTGTATAGATGGATGAATGCTTGTTACTCTGTCATCTAAAAACTACTCAACGAATATTAATGAATCTTTACAATACTATAGCTTATACATCAGAATGACACATAACATTTAAGCAGGTGAAACCGCAGGGACAGTTATATAAAAAAACGATGTCGATATCGTACTACCATTTAGGCCTGGGGAAAGAGGATTATTAGTAATTGTAATGTGATTGATTGCTAGTATTTTTCACTAAAATCACAAACGTGCCTACCAATAGTTATTCATGCACGGGATTTTTATTTAATACTAGCTGGACCCGCGACTTCGTCCGCGTGGAATTTAACTTTATTTTTCGAAAATAAAAGATTTTTTTTAATAAAAGTAGCCTAAGTAACTCCTTGTTACATCAGCTACCTGGCAAAAAAAGTCCCGTTAAAATCGGTCCAGCCATTTCCGAGATTAGCCGGAACAAACAGACCAACAGACAGACAGACAAAAATTTTAAAAAGTGGTTTATTGGTGTATGTACCGTATTTATATTCATATGCATGTAGCAAAAAATGGTTATTTCAATATTACAAACAGACACTCCAATTTTATTTATATTTATAGATTAGCACATATAGAAGTTTCCAAATGTAAATAAAGCGGCTTTATTTAAAAAAATAAATTCAGTTGAGTTTCTTGCCCAATTCTTCTTAATTGCGCCAGCGGCTGTCTTACATGAATGAATAATTTTTGATTTGATTTGATCTTTTTTATATAACTGAAATGGCAAACTGATAAACTAACCAAGATCATTAGACTGAGTGACCAGATTTCATTTAGTTCTTCACTGGAGCACCGCTAGTCTAGGTACACTTACAATGCAGGCAACATCCCATTGTCAGCCTAGGTGGTTTCATTGACGTAGTGGTCATTTAGCTGGTCGCGAAATCGTTAAAAACTTATTAATACAAATATTTGTTCCCGCAAATATTTGAATCGAATCCGCGGCCATCGGAAATAGAGCGGTATTACAGCGGTAATAGGGTTAGGTGATAGGTCTAAACCGCTAGACCAATGAGGGCGTCAAATAATAGTAGTTATAGATACTATCCTATTTTTCCGACGACTAGCACATCTGTTCTAAAAATATAACATTTTGCACGCTCAATAATGTACTGTATGAACACCAAAAAGATAACTTTATGGCTTAATATTGGATACTAACTACATGGAAAGTTCAGCGAATTGAAATCTGGCTCTAAAAAATATTATATATTAATTTATATTTCAAAATGCCTCACTCACCATGGAAAAAACACTAACAAACCAAACTAAGGCAACAGACTCGCCAAATGCCAAATTGGATTCCAATAACTTTATTATTATTTTTATTATTCTAATAACTTAAATAAAATCTAAATATCAAGTGTTGCGTACACAATACCTTCAATTATCTTCAATTGTTTTCATCTGAGTTAATAGCCTTAAAATGTAGATATATATATATTAAAAAGTTAAAGTCGTACTTACATCTTGTATAAAATCACAACCTGGGTCTTGTGCGTTCGAGTATACGAAAACAAGAAGCAAGAATAACAAAAACTTATTACACATTTCTGAAAAATGAGGCATAATTAATGAATTTGTGATGTTTTGTAGCCACCCATGAGGATGGTATCTGTAGTACTACTCAAATATATAGGCGACGGTTGCTATTTACCATCAGATAGGCTGTCTGCTAATTCATGAACATAATTATCCCTAGGTAAACTTGTAATAAGTCATGCGACAAGCAGCTTGCTATGAATGTGTATCTGCTTAAAGAGTTTATTAAGGCAGTAAAATTACTGGACGTTTGTCTTCCGAATTAGCAACGCATAAGCGCTACCGAGATCGTCACACGATACCCTGATGGGTAAAGGTATATTAAGGTTATGAATCTGTTAAGAATTTGTTAAGAATCGGCAACGCGCACACGTGACATCCGTGGTGTTTCAGGCATCCATAAGCCTGTAACCCTATAACCATCACATAGGCCGTATGCTTGTTTGTCACCATCGCAGTATAAAAATAAAAATAAAACTTATTGTAAGTGACTAGTGTATTCCTGAACAGCAGTTCATGAATGCAGTTGTCACATTCTATTAGGTGAGCCTTCAGTTGGTTCTCCTTTCTATAATCAAATATAAATACATTTTATATTAAAAATAATTATCAGAATGGTTACTCACCAGATAACAAGATCGCTTTATCAAAAACGTAATGAGCGAATGTGAGAAGCTATTTACGTAGTTCAACATGTATTAACATCATAATTACTTTATATACACCTGTGTATACATATAGAATCTTTGCTAAAGCCATAACAATATTTCACAATAACATAATACTGTTTTCACATTTTCATACAGATACATGTGACCATACGCCACGTCTAACGATTTAGCTTATTAGTCGTCATAAGGGGTTGTTCACACATCCTATGTGGTCTCTAATGTATTTTGGAAAGTTTACACTCTATCCTGGGGAGACAAAAACCATTGCTCCTAAGAATGTCCTTCAATTCTTGTCCCTGACGGGTCTAACCGAACACTGAAAAAGGGCGAGCACATTAGAACTATATAGGTTGCAATACAAGTCTAAGCACCTGAGAATTGCCTAAAACCCCTCAACAAAAAAAGGAATTGTTCAGTTATATCGGTTTTTAAAGTGTAGATGACAAACGAGTTTGCGTCATAGTTGGTCCGACGAGCATACTGAAAAATCTGCCCTAATTTTGTTACTCACGTGGCGACCTAAGATGTAATCCAGGGCGCTCCCCACCACTGCGCCGATAAGGTGTGATATCTGATGGTAAGCGCTAGCGGTCGCTTATATACATAAATAACTATATTCATAATCAGTAGAAGATGGCCACCCCAAATAATTGAATAAAGGCAAATTTTTGTCACCTAGATTTGAACTGACAACCTTAATGTACACAAAAATCTAGGTAATAAACCACTAGCATAAAGCAAGATGCTGGGCAGCTGAATTAGAAGAGATAGAGGAGTACATTTGTCAGACAACAGTAAACAAAGCTATCTCGATAGAATTGTGTTTGTTTGATTAATTTAATTTATATTGTCTAAACAATAATTAGGAAATATCTTCTGTTATATGATCTTAAAAACATATCCAAGGGTTTCCTTATCAGCATAATTTCAGTATTATTTGTTAATGTATAACCTCTACATAAATTATGTTTCAGATGTCAATACAAATTAAGACTTTATTAATATTAATTTAAAGTTCTTTTTAGGCATACATAACATACTTTTTTTATAGGTATCATTATGTTTTTAACCTACATTTTGAGATATTGTCAGGTGAATAGCAAACAAAGTATAGCATAGCTCATGAGAAACGCTACCGGATGATAAGTTAAAAAGTGTGGTATAACAAATAAAGAAATAATCATCATTTTCATGTATTATACAATAATCTAGGTAATTTTTCCATTTAGAATGGCAAGCCTATAAAAAAAATAACAACATATTCCTCTAATGGATACTTCTACTTCAGTTATTTCAGCCGCCAAACAGCTTGCTTCATAAGCTGTGTTTCAGTTGAAAGATGAGAAAAGGCAGTGAAATTACAAGATAAACATATATATATACAAGCGACCATCACCACTTACCGTCAGGTGATTGGTCATATTATTGCCCATTCCATATAAATTAAAAACATTAGACATTATATTAATACGAGACCTAGACCTCAGTGGTCTAGCGGTGTAACACACCGCCCTACCATGGTCATGGCCTCGATTCCTCGAAAAACGAACATTTGTATTCATGAGTATGATTGTTAGTTTTGTGAGTTTGGGTGGTTTCTATGATATACATCATATATATATTTAAGTATTTCTATCAATTATTACCTATAACACAAGCTCTGCTTAGCTTGGGACTAGATGGCGCTGTGTGAATTTTCTAGGGTTATTATTATTCTATGAATGAAATGATGTTTATTACATTACAACTTATTTCAGGTAACTTTTCAAATAAATACACTACAAACGATATCATTGTTTTATTTCAACTCGTCTCTCTAGAACATACTCTATAACATACATAATTATTGAATAACAACTTATTATTACAACCTATATAACCACGATAGCTCTGTGGCTGTGGACTAGAATTGGCGGTTCGAATATGAACACAATAATTATATTTTACATATGTATTTATAATTTCTGTTTTTATATTTGACGACCCAATAATATCTTATTTCGGAATAAATATTTTCATATATTAAATCAGCCATCATAAATTTCGTGACGCCGATTAGTCAGTAGTTTTACCCTCCAACCCTTTTAATATATATATAATAGAATAATTAACACGATGGAGTTTGTAATTGTAAATGTTTTTATATTTTGTCTACATTAATTAAATTCATACATGGGTATAATTCCATTGCCTAATCTGCATCCTACAACCGAAACAGCTTACAAAGATGCTTCAAACCTGAAATTTGAAGACTGAGGACTTTTTACAGTCTATCCCAATATAATATATTCTACTCATGTATCATGCACTAGTCCTACCAATAGGCCAATCTAATGACAAGAACATCTAATAAAATTGTTACAAAAGACATCTATAATGTGTAAATCTTACATGATCTTTACATATCTATACTAGTATTATAAAGAGGTATTGTTTGTACGTTTGGATATTCCGGGTAATCTCCGGTACTACAGATTCGATTATGAAAATTCGTTTGTTGAGGTAGGCTCTATAACATCACGCTACCATCAATATAAACGGAGCAATGGTGAAAAATGTTGCAGAAAACGGGAAAAATATCACGCAGGCGTTGCGTGCGATCGTTTAGTTATAATAAAATCGTGACAAGGTCACAACTGTATATTTGTCTGTTTATAATTTTATTTTTATTTATAATGCTTTATTGCAATAATGTTAAAAGTAGAAACATTGAAAAATATAATAATAGATTAATGAAAGATGAAGGTACAAAAAGTACATTTTGCCTGTTATGGTTTCATTAGAGGACGGAATTTCGCTTTGATTTACTTACAATTAAATAATCCCTAATTGAAATCGCTCTTTTCCATTGTTAATTTGATCAATATCAGTACAACTATGTCGTATCTACTTGACAATATTAGTCGAAGGCAGTGAATAATATAAAATTCATCTACTTCTAACTTTTGTAAATAATATCGATTGAACTCTATAATCTCTTTCTTCTGTCTTCTTTTTCTTGGAAGTAACCTCCAGGTCCCGGTACCAGTTTGACGCCAGACTTTGTCTCCTTTCTCTCTTCACGAGACGTGGATTGATCTGATCCATCTGAGACTATACCTTGGAGTCGACTCGTGTTAGTTTGGCTGAGTCTGGAAATACAAGATTTTATAAATAGTTTTAACAGGAGGTTTTAGTAAATAGGGCCGGGAATCAGTGATGTTACATACATATTTGGTGCAACGTATTGTCTACTTGTTTACGTCTTGAGTTAAATAATTATAATATTAATAAATCTAACATTCATTAGTAGTCTAGCGATTTAAGCAGCTTCACTTTACGAAAGTCACTGGCTCGATTCCTGTACAACATAAAAAAAATTCTAGAAGTTTTTATTACTCTGGGTTGCTTACAATAAGAATGTATTTAAGTATGTCTGTCAATTGTCACTAGACAAATACTATAGGTTCTAACCCACAAACTTAGCTTAGTTTGCAACTAGATGGCGCTGTGTAAGTTAATCTGTGGGACCTATAAAGTAGAATTAATCCTGTACGTGTGTTACACTAACCGGACCTCCTCAATATCAGCCACCTTGTCGATGAGGCTCTTGATGATGCCCTCCTTGTGCTCCAAGGCCAGCGAAGCTCGCTCCAGCTCCCGGCGGTACTCCGATTGTGCGAGGGCAGCGCGACGCTCCTGCTCTACTATACGACGCTCAAGTTCTTCTAATGATGTGTACGCGCGAGACTTTACTACCTATTAAGAAAGAAATGAAAATAGTCTTTATTTAAATAACTTTCAAGTAGGTGTTGGTGTGTCCCTTTAGGGTTTAGGCTTCAAATAATAAAGTCGAGAGACAGAATAGAAGTGTATATTTAATTGAAATATTCTGGTCTTTTATACAAAGTTACAGATGTTATGCGTACACGCATCGCTGCTGGTAACGACAGTGTGCTGGTCGCAGCGTTGCTAACAGTACTTTCGACACATGCCATCTTTAGTCCTTGTTCTTACTCGCACGGCACGTGTTTAAAACTTAATATTTATTTATACTCTTTATTGCACCAAATACAGAAAATAACTAAAATAGTAAATAACTGTTACAAAAGGCGATCTTATCACTAAACAATTTCTTCCAGACTCCCTTGTGTGATAGAGACAGTAAAGATAAGAAAACGGTAATAGTGGTAAAAATTCTAGAATAGTATTGTTTCATGCGACCGCTTATTAAAAGTGTAGATTATCCAATAAAAATGCATGTAAAATATGAGTGGTGGCGAGGATTTTGAGATTCTAACAAACTTCGTGCTCACCCATCTTCTCTAGACAACTGATAGAAATACTTAAATACTTTTTTGTGAATGGATACATAATATATTATATTTATTTATAACTCTAGTACATATATAAAATACCAGGTCAATGCAAACAATTATACTCAATAATACAAATGTTTGTATTGTGCGAGGAATCGAATGAATAGCGATCATCAGAAGCAAGACGGTGTAGCAAATCGCTACACCACAGAGGCCAACATATTATACATAAAATGACAGATATAATAAACAACAGACCTTTATTTCATGTTTGATCCTTTCCAGCGCATCAAGCGCTAACCGTAACGGTTCGTTAGCAGTACGAGATTTCCGCGCGCTGCGGCGAACTCGCGTCGCTCGTGCGGTCGCCGTTTTAACGCGCTGTCGAAATATTACAGCTGCTTTACGGTATAACCTAAGGAGAAGAAGATATAGACAAATTAATTTAAACACTTTTCATTTACAGCAGTAGTGCTATACATATAGTAACTAAAATTGGAATAAACCAGTTTGCGCAAGACAACACGTGTATCACACTTACACATTACTCGCTTGTAGGTAGCGTCAGAATGTACACGCTTTCTTGTTTTTGTCGTAATAAAATAATAAAGTTTATCATTTTACTAGCTGACCTGCGCGGTACTTCGTCGGCATAACGCTTATCAATATATATCGCCCAAATTACATAATAGCTTTTTAAATTATAGCCTATGTGTTATTCTGGTGTAAAGCTATGTTACTGTAAAGTTTCATCAAAATCCGTTCAGTAGTTTTTGTGTGAAAGAGTAAAAAACATCAATTCATACTCACAAACTTTCGCATTTTTAATATTAGTACGATTATATGTAAAGATAAAGATTTCTCAGGTAAGCAAACGACACTAATAATCCCTATACACTAATAATCAACGAATAATCCCTTTCCGAGTAAGCAGTTTCTTACTGCTTGTTTCCTACTGTTTATTATTCGTCAAGACTGATAAATAAATACTTTATTTAAGTTTCAATACGTCACCTAACATTTTTCAATGCCGCTCTTAATTCCTCTTTAACAGCTTCATGGTCCTGACAGATCTTGTTGTACTTATCTTCTAGAACCTTCAGTTGCTCTTGCAGCTTGGCAGTATGTTCTGTCTTACGCTCCGTTTCCATGCTGTACTGGTGTTTTAGTTCTTCTAGAAGTCTGAATGGTTTAAATTATTTTTTGAGAACTCTTTAAATTAAAACAATATTAAGTATATTAAGATGAACTATGTACTAATTCAACATAGGGAAGTAATGGGATTATCTTTGCGACTAAAAATCATAAAAAAAGACAATTATAAAGATTGATAATGATAAAAATGAAGAAAAAAATTTGCACTCTATGTATATTATGTATGTGTAGAAAAAAATATATAAATTAAAATAAGTAACACAAGCTTTGCATTGTTTTGCGAGAAGATGGCGCCTGATCTCCTGGGAAAAAGAATATACAGGTGTTTATTATTATTTCTTATGATTAAACTAGTTTCTTTTAGATGATAATAGCATGGTGCATCTGACTGCGTTAAACGGTTTACACTGAAGGGGCATCAGTGGATGATGATGATAAGAGAAACATGATATCAGGTCAGTTAGAATGAAAGGGGTTATCAGTCCAAATCACTAACAATCCCTTTCCCCCTCGATTGTGCTAGTTACCTCTTGCAGTGGTCGAGTCTCCTCTCGTGCAGGTCGGCCGGCACGGTGCGGGCGCGCTGCACTGCGAGCGTCGTATGCTACTAGTTACCTCTTGCAGTGGTCGAGTCTCCTCTCGTGCGGGGCGGGCGCGCTTGCGAGCGTCGTATGCTACTAGTTACCTCTTGCAGTGGTCGTATGCTACTAGTTACCTCTCGTGCAGGTCGGCCGGCACGGTGCGGAGCTGCACTGCGAGCGTCAGTCGCTGCACTGCGAGCGTCGTATTAGTTACCTCTTAGTCTCCTCTCGTGCGTGGCCGGCAAATTTATCACCTCTTGAGTGGTGGTTTCATGACGTGGGATGAATCCATCATGGTACATTGCGGGCGCGCTAACAAACCTCTTGGGGTCGTATCAGTGCGGGCGCGCCAAATCACTAACAATCCTCTCGTGCAGGTCGGCCGGCACTGCGGGCGCGCTGCACTGCGAGCGTCGTATGCTACTAGTTACCTCTTGCAGTGGTCGAGTCTCCTCTCGTGCAGGTCGGCCGGCACGGTGCGGGCGCGCTGCACTGCGAGCGTCGTATGCTACTAGTTACCTCTTGCAGTGGTCGAGTCTCCTCTCGTGCAGGTCGGCCGGCACGGTGCGGGCGCGCTGCACTGCGAGCGTCGTATGCTACTAGTTACCTCTTGCAGTGGTCGAGTCTCCTCTCGTGCAGGTCGGCCGGCACGGTGCGGGCGCGCTGCACTGCGAGCGTCGTATGCTACTAGTTACCTCTTGCAGTGGTCGAGTCTCCTCTCGTGCAGGTCGGCCGGCACGGTGCGGGCGCGCTGCACTGCGAGCGTCGTATGCTACTAGTTACCTCTTGCAGTGGTCGAGTCTCCTCTCGTGCAGGTCGGCCGGCACGGTGCGGGCGCGCTGCACTGCGAGCGCCGCCAGTCGTCCGTCGGCCGCTTCCAGTGCACCGCGCGCTGCGAAGTACTCGCGGTGTACCGTCTCGTAGTCCCGCATCATCGCTGCCACTGTGCACATTCACTTTTATTATTTCACATCTTACTAATATTATAAATGCGAAAGTTTATGACTATGTTACACTTTCACGCAAAAACCACTCAACGGATTGACGAAATTACAGTATAATAATAATATACCTTCTACGTCAGAATAATACAGGCTATAATTTAAAAAGATATTATGTAAATTGATGTCTCTTAGGGTCAGATAGTATAACATAAAGAAAAACAGGTTTACATTACACTATTTCAGCCTCCAAGCTGCTTTTTTATAACACGACATTGCCAAACAATCATACGACCCATCGTAAACGGTTACCATAGTATATTGTAATCTTTACTTGCTTTGTAATCTGTGTTTCAATTAAAGGTGATATATACGGGATAATACGCCAGGCACGGTGCAATTTACTCCTCCGAAATGAAACGTTTACAAAATTATCATCAGAATTAATTCAAAATTACGTTTCTGATAATTATGAGAATGTGAATCTAGGCAGACGACTTTCAGTCTCCCTCTTTCCAAGTCCTTCATTTCAATATAGTTATAACTCTTTCTATACACTTACTTTTATCTTCATAGAGTTCGTACACTTCTTTCAATTTGGATTCAGCACGTTCTGCGCGCTCCACCAACGTAGCTTTCTCTATATCCACGGTTTCCCTCTCGACAACTATTTTTTTATAGTTCTGTCTTGTTTGCACTAACTCCTCTTCTAACACGCTTACTTTTTCACTCAACGTTTTGTTTTCGATGACAATTTGTTTTGATTTCTTGTTAATATTCTCGAATTGTTTCTCATAATCCAGTATAAGGGTATCTTTCTCTTGTAAATTCTCTTGGTAAGCGTCGAAGAGAGGCGCTGTGTAGCAGTAGGTGATTATTAAATACACATGGAATAAAGAAAATAAAATTATTTTTATCGATTGATACTAGACTTCTATGGAAACCAATATAATGACAGGCTAGCAAAGTTACAAGGAAATGTTTTGCATAAATGTTAAATAAGAAAGAAAATTAACAAAAAATATTATAAAAAGACAAGTTTTATAGTATATGTCATGTATATGTTCTATTGTCTACTACGGTAGACAGAAATATTGGAATGCAAAATGCCTTCTAAATTCTGTCAGACACTCTAATATATCGACAATTACACGATCGCAACCTACATCCGAGAAAAAACAGACGAAATATTGCTGTCACGTTCTATATCATGCATGAAGTTACGATAATATTATCTCCGCCTCCTGTTTAAGCTTTGTGTACTCCCCGATCAATACCCTGTACCATACGAATGTAAATCTAAATTAAGACAGCTTGGAAATATAGTCACACTCCTAATGATACTTCCAGACTGAAGATCGTATCGTCAAATAAGAGGTGACGTCCAGCCGCTCCTTATGGAGAACTCTTTCCGCGGGTTTCCAATACCACTCTCAGCACCATATTTTCGTCTGAGAAAACTGTAAAGGCCAACTACGACCATTAGTATAGATATTTCCTCATTAAAAACTGGCACTTACCGAGCGCCTGCGCACTTAGCAATCCAGACAAATCTACCACTCGTCCGGAGGTTTGCTCATCTAGTCCAGTTTTGCTTGAATGCGCTTCATCAGGAGCAGCTTCTGTAAAGAAGTAAATATTCCTTAATAACTTGAGGCTCTTTCTGTGGCTTCCTTAATGTGCCTCTTATCCTGTAATTTACTTGCCTAATCTACACGTTACATCCGAGACAAGGCTCACAAAGCAAGCTGCTTCCATCTGAAATAGGTGCCACTATATTCACAATAAGTATTCACGCAGAAAACTTTTCACAGTCTACGCTTTTATAATTTAGGGTTTATGACTCTTCCACTGTGTTGGGTATTCAGATTCAGCCAAGAAACTTGGCTGGTGTTCTTTTCAGAGAAATGTTGGACAACTTTATATGATTACCATTTTGTGCAAATACAAATATTAGAAAATCGTAAGTATAATATTACATCCTTATTTGTAAGTTTAGGGATCCAACCAAACCCAAAGCCAAATATAATTCTGTGAATGTGAAATAATATACCATTTACAATTCATTATGAATACATACCTTTATAGTTAAGACTAGCGGTGATCAGAGAATCGAACCCGTCGGGTCTCTCGCCAGGCTTGTATATATCTTTACCATCAGCATTCAACACCTGCACGTTGGCCCGTAATTTCTCTTGATAACGCGACAGCTGAACATTTAATCTGGTAAGTAAATTTTTATGTAGTATTCTTCAATTGATTGACGAAGAGGGTAGCAAGAGAAGAGGCGATTGTTAGTAATGGGGACGATAGACCTCCATTGCTAGCAATGCATCATATCAGATTGATCTCTATGAGGTTGGACAGATTTTTGCATAATTTTTCTTTGAAGCTCCGCCCCTACTGGTTATAGCGTGATATTATACAGCCTATGATACTCACAGATAACATAGTTTGCTATTTGTAATACCGAGAACATTAAAATTCAAAAAGGGACAAGAGATGCAGTAGATTATAATTCATACCTATATAAAACGTCCTTCAACGCCTGCATATCCTTTTGCAGTCTGGTGTTCTGCTCCCGCGCCTGGTTTAGTATGATCTGCCGACTGCTGCAACTCATGCACACCTCTACCAGGGGTATAGCGGTTGTAGATGCTGCATTCTCTGAAAACATGTTCAATAATACGTATAATTTACTAGCTAGCCCAGCGAATTACGTACCAGCTTACGATTACTGACATCAGCACCCTCCTGGAGGAAGCAGGTTGGTACCTCGGGTCCATACCTTCACCTCTGCATTAACTCCGGGAGCAAGATACAGCATTAAGAGCCTCTTATAGGCTCCTGCCTATAAGGACCCCTAAATTTTAGGTATATTAGACCGCCGTGGTATACTACTGCCACTTATAAACCGAAGTGTAAGAAGTCTGAATCTAACCAACGATAAAGAATGTACATACATAATTTTCAGTGTAGAGACAGCTGCTAAAGAATATTAAGAGTTTCAAATTTACTTCCGAGGTAGACTTTATACATACTAGACTTTATACCTTGTCTTGCCTATTTCGGTCACCAAACAGCTTGCTTTGTAGGATGTTGTTTAGTTAAAAGTGTGAGATAAGGCTGTGAAATTACAGACAACCTATGAGTACCATGTTTGTCAAGTGATGAAGTGATGCTGTTCATGGATATAATTAACAACTACCACTTACAATCAGGTGGGTGGTCATTTTGTTTGCCATTCTAATGACAGAAAAAAGTTCAAATACCTCTATCAGGAACCTCATACTGTTTCACTCTATTCTCTAATTCTCTACTCTTCTCTTCTAATGTATTGTTTCGTTCTCTTTCCTCCTTTATAACTTGCTTGCACTCTTCTATATACTTCACCAGTGTCTCATACTGTGACTTCAATTGGTCATTCTCTTCTGCAAACAATCTATTGTATTCTAGCACAGTTTTCAGCTTTTCTTTCAATTTACTTATTTGGGTGTCTCTTTCTGATATCTGTAATATTAGAATTATTTATTAAAATATTGTCAAACATAAAAAAAATTTGACAATGAAATGAGAACTAAAATGCAAGATGATTTCTATCTCAACCCTAATAATAACAAAGAAAAAATGTTGATCAAACAGCTTCATAAAATTGTAATTGTTTGTTAAGGTTCAGTTACAGTCAAAACTTGCAGTAACCAATAACGCAAATGGTAATTATCTCTTATATACATTAACATAACTCACTCAGAACATCATATGAAACCTGTGATACTACTCAAGCATTGTCTTCTAAAGAATGTGTACTAAGGACTAGTCTTGCCCTATAATAATATTACTGCTATTTATTTCAGTTGTCAAATTGAAAACACAGATTACATACCAAGTTGCTTAGCAGCAGAAATAGATAGAACAGAGATACCAAAATTGAGTACACAATGAAAGAGTATAAGGGTAAGAGAAGTATAAGGTGAAAGAAAGAGAAAGAAAACACAAACCTGTAAAACATTCTCCTCACATCTATCCATTAATGATGTAATTAGACTCTCATATTTCTTACTGAGTTTTCTCTTCTGTTCTCTCAGCAGTGACCTGTTTTCTTTACTCATTCTGGGTGATGAAACAGCTATAGCTTGGATGTTTCGTTTCCTTGGAGGTTTTGCAGGTTTTTCGCCTAGAATGGATATATCATATTTTACAGTTAACACTTATACTTATCACATTTTATCCTTGATGGTCTAGTGCCTTAGTACATCTTTTAATTCCGATGATCATTGGTTTAATTCTTTCCACTAGATAAACATTTGTATTTCTGTGTATGATTGTTTGTATTGTTTGATGATGTGCTTGTTTAAATTATATATTGTATATATTTATTTATGTCAGCTATCTTATCTACCCATATAACACAAGCTTTGCTCAGTAGGGATTAGAGAGTTAAAAGTTAGAAAAAGGCTATAATAATTTGTAAAGCACATACTTAAGGTACAGTAATGTATTTCATTTGATGATAATAAAATTGTATCCCTCTAAAAAGCTTTTACATATATGAAAAAAAAAGCATAGAACAATTTAAATGTGGTTATATATTAAGTTTATTTGAATAAACATATTTAACATAAAGCATTACATTATAGTTCATAAACCATTAGTATATAATCCTATTACATCCTATATATTAAATTCCTGTTATATGTATTAATATTAAAGGCAAAAAAATAAATACCTATGACATCTCTTGGATCCTCGTACATTGGATTGTCATCATGGAAGACTTTAGGCTCCTCTTGCTCCAACCTGGATTCAGTCCTCTTCATGACTGCGCTGAGTATGTCTCGTCGCATACTGGCACGTCTCTCTGGCAAGTTTATGTCAAATAACCTTTGATTCTGGGTGAAATTTCCAGAAAAGGTCAGTTTTGTGGGAGTACATTGAATGTTCTTAGAAACTTGTACATCATGTTGGCACTACAAAAAAATTATATATATTATAAAGGGACAGTATAGATTTGTATTATATTAACTCTAATTTTGATCTAAGTTACACACTATATACTCCATAAGGAATCAGTTTGACTTTGATAAAACTTGTTTGCATAATGCAAATGGAAAATAATTATTAAAGATTTTTCATAGAAAAATAATTTATTTAAACCCATAATACTAACAAAATAATAATGGACTATAAATAATTATTCATTTGAACAGATGTCTATCATCTAGAATAAACTCCTCGATAATAACATTGATAATGTATAATTTATTAAATATTAGGTGAAGTAATTTATGAAAGATTATGTGGCAGTATGATATTAAGTGGAAAGCTAAAGCTATATACTCATACATTGAAAAACACTATGGGCATGAATTATCAAATGATTCCCATAGTATATAATACTCACACAATGCCATTCTGGAAGACTAACATGGTATGTCTTGCATCCTGTAATTTCTCTACCATATCTCACATTAAACCGAAATACATCTAACAAAAAAAGCTGAGACACAGACACTTTTTAAAGTCTACTTCGGTAACATCAAGGCTATGTCCAGACTTAACCATTTAAGAACCAGCATTATATACTATAGCATATATCACTCTAAAATTAACACCAAACCGAAACATCTTACAATCCAATTGGCGCCTAAAAAAGTTGAGGCAAAAATACCCATGCTAAGTGTACTTAGTATTCTCTACTAATTGTAATAAATAAATACTTAAGTTACGTTTGTCTTATAACAGTTTTTAATTAAAACACCTTTGAACCTCGTAAATCGTAGTGGCCACTCATAGCTGAGGGCTGCGAGTCATCATTCACAACCAAATTAATATAATGTCTTTTTGCACATTTTTTTTATTTACAAAACGCACAAATGGTATAAAAGTAACAAAGGAAAGTTCCGTGACTGCCATATTTTAGGTCAAAACAATGGGAAGAATGTAGAAACTAGGTCAGTAGTCGTTCAATAATAATAACGAAGAGTTCCTTAACAAAATTATTGATAAAACTTTTTCGTACAATTTTTAAGTAATACACAAAGGAATATGCATTTTCTTTTCTCCTGATAAAGTGTATTTAATAAAAGAAACTTTTATATTGCTATTATAGAAAATATTATGAAATTTAAATTGAAAAATTAAAATGGGTAAACATAATAATTCAAATGAGTAATGTTAACCAAAATTTGATTTGACAGTTACGTTGCCATAGTAACCAACTACAGCCAGTAATACCAGTTATGAAAATCTAGATGTGTGAAATAATACCTACATCATCGACATGTATTCAAAACTGATGAAAGCTTATTAAACAAAGAAAATTACAGCAAAAACTTTAGCTCAAGAAAAACTGTGGCCTAAAATGAGAGATAAATAAAAACCTAACATCAAAAGTCTCTACAGTTTTACAAGATAATGTAATAAAAGAATGGCACATTTTGTATCATTCTTTATTTATAACATAAAGTCTTATATACAAAATTTATTGCTTTCTACAAGTTTACTGTTTTATCTACATTTCAAACAATGTTTTTGCTAGACAACATCAATATCTAAGAATTGAAACTACACAAAGCTAATCACGCTGTTAAAGTAATAAACAGTATCCGAAATATTGTAGATCATGTAAAACTGTATTAACATTACACATTAAGCTAGACCTCTTTTATGTAATGTTGTTACGAACAATTCCCAACTGTAACAAATCCTTCCTTCCTTCTGTATACTTTTTGAAAGTTATAAATGCAAGCCAAGATGGGATCCTTATAGCAACTGTGAAATAGTTCCTCAGTAATTACAGAATTGTAGATTATCTGTTCCAAATGGGAATGGTTTGTATATATGGTTATAACAGCTTTACATAATTAATCATCGGAATTCAAGCTAGAAAAAAATAATTTGTTGCATTTGTTATTATGTAATTACAATTTTTATATACGTAAATACTGTATTGGCTCGTGATGTATATATTACGTAATCTTATTTAGAATTTAAATATTGCACTCGAAAAAGGCAAGCAGAATTTGTTTTCATACCATGGTAACATTATATTTTTCCCATGTGACCTTTTATCATTCATGTTATCATCAATCTCCCTCTTGTTTGATATTTTATCTATTTGCATATGTAGATGGCGGTACTAGTCCCAAAACATAGCACTCTGCAACTTATTTCAATTTATAACTAATGCCACAGAATTTGAATAGAGATGCTGTCATTTCTAATCGGTCGGATTATGTTATTGCGAGCATGCGCTTAAACAGCTGAGCGACGATAGCGGCATATTGCGGTTCCTTTCTGAACTAAACAGTCGCATCATGTCTGCCCGCTAGTTAGGTATATGACGCTCGGCTTATATAAATAACCTCCAAATACTTTGTTGTCGGCTTGTTCTCTTGATTTGAAATTCTTATTTAACATATTTAGTGATTGCTATTATCATTTCTTTATTATTAAAGTAATGAGAGTATAATTTAATAGTGAAAAACCTTTTGTGTGGGATATCGTACTTGCTGTATTGTCGTTCGTAGTGTATCGATTTCCATTTGAGATTTTACAATGAGTGTAACGTTTTGTTTACTTTTCATGAACAACATTATCTAAGATTATGTACATGATGTGTGATATTCTAGTGTGCTAGTGTAGTGCTGTGATATTGATTCAAGTATGTACGAAGGTACGCGCGAGACTTCGCGTTTTGGATGACAGAAACATGGAATTTGAAAATGATTTCAGCTTGAAGGAATGGGCAAAGCACAAACCTTTGTCCATTCTGCAGCTGGATCCCGCAGACCGTGCCGTCTTGAGAATAGCAGGTTGGTAATTCATCAAAACATATGCTACATAATCGAGCTAATGATAAAATTGCCTATAATAGGTAGGTATTTTTTAGTCCATATTACTGACTTACCTAGTTACATACATAATTTTTTTAATCATGCATGTTATCGCGTAATACGATAGCGATGCTTTTAACCTATATTCCCAGTACTGATAAATATTTGAGAAAACACTTTACTCAACGTATTATACCTAGATTTCACGCAGAGTTACCAGCATTATTTTTTCTCGTAATTACGGCTTCGTGTATATTTTCACTTTCGTTCGATAGTTCAGCGTAACGATTGTTTGAATTTTCGTACCCGCTCGTTCGTATTTTGCTCGAACGTTTTTTTTTCTTTTTACTGCAACCAAGGCTGGCATTACCGAGAGGCAGTGTAGTCGCTGAGTTCATTGGTGTTGTCTGTAATTTCCTTCCAGTTGTGTTGATAGGTAGGTACATAAATATTATCAATAAGCAAGCAAGAAAGGTCTATACGAGCTTTTCCATGAAACTTGCGCTAGTAGTATTATTACTATCATAGTCATAGTAGATAATTTATTTCTCTAGTAGAAACGCAATAATGGTACACACTTGTATCTAATAAGTAAAACTAGAGATAACCACTTAAGTGACTCATAAATGGGTTTACCTAAATTGTGTAAACATGGAATATGGACTCATAAAAACTTCTATTTATGCTTTACAAAATTATAATTTATGAATTCCTGCCTAATTAGGTATTTGTTAACGATAGATTTTTCTGCCGCTCTAATAATTTGACCAATTCCAACAACAGTATTCAGGAAGTCTGAAAACATTATTAGCAATGGGAGCTAATGTTTAATTGCCAGCACTCTGTCAGATCGGCTAATATGCGGTTTCTTCTAGAAACCATCGTTGTTAATTTCTGGTAAATACGACACGATAGAGTAACTGAGCTGACATCATTCTGATCCTATAGAATAAATGCGTGGTGAATAAAGTTTAGCTAAAATATCTGAGACAGAGGTACAACGTAGGCTTTGTACACTGTTGACTTTGTAAAGTCAGAGGTCTCAGTATATTTATTGACCACATCATCGTCAATAAATCTTATGAATTCTGTGTTATAAGACATATCGCAGAAGGAGGATTATTTGTAAAGATACGCAGAAGACCTTTGAGAAAGTCGTCTGAGATAGGATTCAGAAAAAGTTGATTCCGTGGGTACCTCAGTTTTACCTATTTCGGGCCCCAAGCACCTTGGTTTGTGAGCTGTATGAGAAAAAACAGTGATATCACCGCAAAAGAGGTATGACGTCTTAGTCTTCTAGAATAGCAACGCCTGAGTGGTCACTTGATAACGTGATGTCCGTAGCTCCTGTTCGTGTAAATAGACCACACTTACCATTTACCATCAGGCTGTCTGTGCAAATGTTTGCCATTCCAATTACATAAAAAACAGTAATTGTACGGAATCTTCTTGCAACTCATCCGATAATTGTTTTTATTACAAAATTGAATCAATCTATAATCTGTTTGAAATAGTTTCACGCCTCAGCATGCATGGCATGGATATTGCATGAGTGTCACAAAAACGGATAGTTTTTATCGTCTTATCGTGTCGTCGCACTCAATCGTATTTGTTTTAGAAGAGAAAGGGTTAGTGAGCGTTTCGTTTTCACGCAAAAACAAATGAAGCATAAATTGTATGATATCTGATCTTTTTAATGGATTATAATGGATTAGTGCATCTACCTTTTTTTTTTACTTGGAGAAAATCGCACATAGAAACCCCGGGGGAGGCAAGCGGGTACAGTAAGACTCCTACTCACTAAAATCACCAAGGTTTCTCGACGAAGTTTCTATTACCGGAGTTACGGGATCGCAACGCATCACGAATTTGCGTGTTATCATTGCGCAAAGGTCATGCTAATCTTCTCTGTATCATTCCAATTTTATGTACTGCCTAAGCAAGTACGGTGAATATACCTGTGTATGTGGTATACACTGACGTTGCACCAGTAGAGAATAGTGAGTATGAAGTTTGTCCAGGAGTTTACCACAAATATTTCTAGAGGGCAAAATCGTTTACAAAAAAACTCTTATTTTTAACTACTTAATAGTTATTAAATATATAGATAGATAAAATATGACAGATAAACTTACTAATATATAGCACAGGAACTACTTATTTATATGTCCTGGAAATATTAACTTGATTAGCTTTTAAAAATACTCTAAACAACACTGTTTTCAACCAACTTTTATGAAGTTGAGAGAAAGACGAGATGTTCAATTTACTATATTGCATTACTAGCATTGGCCGCGGTTTCACTCGCGTAAAATTTATAGCCTGTGTTATGTCTAATGTATAAGCTATATCCGTAAAGTTTTATCAAAATCCATTCAGTAGTTTTTGCTTAAAAGAGTAACAAACATCTATCCATACTCACAATCTTTCGCGTTTATAATATTAATATAATATTCTAGAAAAAATTAGACTTTTTTAAATAGCCTAATTAAGTCTGCATCGAATTTGATAATTTATTTTTATAGTAGATCCCACACAAGACAGATAGCTGACTGACCTCATAACAGAAATAAATGTAAGATAAGAACTGAACGAAGACGTTGTCCACTGATCATTCGATCGACATAATAATAATACAGTCGAACACTTTAAAGAACCCCTTCTTTAAAGTGGATGTGGTTGAACGTGAGAATGGCATAATTTACCCGTCTGCGTTAATGGTATCCACTGGCGAATCATTAGTGGAGAATGAAGGATGACCATGAAGTTCATCGTGGTAAGGTTCATCGAAGGTCATCGTGGGGAATTCGTCTAGAATTTACCGCGATGTTTTCTAAGAGGGGCCGTGTAAAGGGCTACCTACTTGGTACAATTGGTACTTGGTGCAATCTCCGTTTATCCTCATTCCATTGTCTTCCAATAGTGCCACGCCGCCAGCACAAAATTGTTACTGCAGACAAAGAATGATATGATTTTTTATGATACAAAGAAATCTGCAATTCGCTAAACATACTAGTTTCACAATAAAAGGTTAACTCTCAACCGCTATCAGACTTTTTTATTCGCTAAAGGTGCTTAATTTGCGGTTTTTTTTTCTTTTATCAACAGATATCCTCCCAATAACAGACATGCATTGCAGCTGCTCTATTTGTTTGTTTGTTTATATATATATTTAATGTCACAACCCGTTGCGACCTTGCAGAACCAAGCCAACATTGCCCCAATAAATGGCTACCTATTTCTACGTACTTCATTAGCGGTTGGCTACTTAGTTATTTTTTTCTAACAATATTATTGTTTCATTCAATTCACGCTCGACGAAGGTTGTAACAAAAAAGTTCATTAACATTGCGTTGCCAGTATCTTGTAATTTGTTTTTTTTTTAATTTGCAATAAGCAACGGACGCTTGCTTTCACTGTTGTCGTCCGTTTTGTTAGAATGTAGACAATACTAGACAATCAATGTTGATAAGGCCCGATGAGTGAAACTATCTCAATTGTACCTTTGTGGTCCCACGGTGGCATAAAGATATGACAATGGCATACGCACATATAAGTAATATAAGTATATGTATAAAATGTTGATTAACCTCACTTGTTTTTTTATCTGATGACGGATGTAGAACGTTATTTTTTTCCCCCTATATGTTGGAAACAGGCTTGTTTGTTCTTTGTTATGGTAATTAGTTAATCGTGAGATATTTCGAAGTTGATATATTTTTGTTCCGACAAGAAAAGCTTAAACTACTTACATAGTTTTAGATTATTTCTTCATTTTGGTTTTTAAGATAGTTAAAACATTATTTTTTAAACCTTTAGGTTGACTGAAAGAAATCCATACAACAATAACAAACAAAAAAAGGATTATTTTAATCTGTTTTCGAACTAAAAAGGCATGATGCTCTGCATCTATCTGCTAATGTTTCCTATCGTTGTATATAATACTAGCTATTATCCTCGATTTCATTTTCTTTTTTGAGCTAAAAGATATACTATGTTTTTCACGTGATACAGTTTATTTCATTAAGATTCCTTCAGCCGTTGAGCTCTGATAGGTAACAAACAGACGGACACACACGGATTTTTGTTATTAGTACGGATTTTAAAGACCTACTAATTGTAATCCAGACATATAGGATGTATTTTTATTTATTTATTATGGAATACTTGCAGCTATAATAATTTTGTACAATTGTTTTATATTACTTGTAAAAGACAATTACAACTACTCAAGTCACTCATTTGTACGAGACGTTAACATATAAATAAACAAACAAATAAACACATTTTTTCTGCAGTACTCGTTGTAATCATATAATCAACAACTTCGTGTTCCTGTCAAAGCAATTTTTCATGAAATCAACGAAATCAAATAAAGATTGAGTTTCCGCATGAATGATGCGTTAAATCGCTTACCCACGCTCTCGTTTACTACGATATTACGTCAGATATTACAAATCTTTGTACTATACAAATGTAGTTATAGTTGTAGTTGTTTACCAGAGGTAAAGTCGTCTGCGTGGATATCCAAGCCTCACCTATTTCAGTTTTTTTTCGGACTACTCTAATGCTGTGGGCCGTATTTGGCCTTTACAGCTTCACCGGACGAGCCTATTTCAGTCACCAAGCACCTTGCTTTGTAAGCTGTGTTTCCGTTGTAGGCTGCAGATTAGGATTAATTATAGTATAAGAGGTACCTCAGGATTGGTAACAGACGTTACCAGGAGTGGTATCGCGGGTGTGACATGATAGAGAGATATCCGGAATGCTGTTTATGTATTAGGTTATACGTGAATAGCATTACGGGCATCACGTCATCATGTTACACCTCCCATAGGCTACATTTACCACTTACCATACCAGCTGGGACATCAAATTGATTGCTATATTAGTGACAAATATTGATACAAAAAGGCATTATAAAAAGTACGCAACAAAGTGCAAATTAAAGATGCAACCAGACTATAAAATAACAGACACTTCGAAATTATACTTCCGTCTGTTGTGACACCTTCACTCCTGTACAATGTCATATTATGTAAGAAAAAATTATTGGGGGCTTTAGGCTATTGGCCTCTGCTATGACTATTTGTAGGCTAGGACGTTTTATTACAAAGGGCATAAAAGACAATATATTTTTCGGACTAATATTCCTTTTAATGAAATTTCGTTAACAAAATATCAACATAAATATAGGTGTGTATTTGTAATTTACAAACTACGTCCATTTAACTTATCTATAGACAGATAATATTGATACGAATCCAAGATTTCTAACGGTCGATAAGCTATGTACATAGTCGATCACCCTACATATGTTGTATTAGTTAGTACAACTGTAGTGAACGGATTTGATTATTTGTTTACATCACAACGTCCATGCTATCCCTCCTGAAGAGAATAGTGATTGATCAACAAGGAAAGACCACTGTACACAGTTTAAAAATATGTCAAAAGGATTTACAAAAACAATCAGATTACTCTTCATGGAAGGTTCGAATGGATGATAATATGGGCCTACGCTAACGGTATACGCTGGCGGAGCACCACTGAAGGATGATCAGCATGATGTCAGGACAATTAGTCCATTTGCAAACTTCTCACTAAGTCAAACTGAAACTTATAATTACTAGAACATAATGGGGCTATGAATTTCCATAATTAACAACACCTTTCCCCATTTTATTGTTGGTAATGATACAGATAGGAGGAGCACAGGTGGAAGTAACATTCCATATTTATCAATTAAAAAATTGGGATTTTCATTTGACTAGGATATTGAGACATAATTGTTGTAGATAGAGAAATATTTGTACCACAAAAATAATAACTTAGAGACATTACTTACTGAAGTAAATTGTTAAGACTTATCAATTCGTAAAAGCATTGTACTTGAGATTTTGCTTCTTTTTAAGTCGGTTCAAAAAGATAAAATACCTTCATATATTGACTTTTGTAACAATGTCTCCAATATATTATAAAGTTGTTACTACATATTCATGTAGTTTAAATGACATTAGTTCCATAAATTAAAAGACAGGTTCTCGTAATTGGCATAAATTCAAATAATAAAGTCGACGGTAAACTTGTTACGAATTGCTATTTATCACATCCGAGGCCCAATAAAATTAGTTAAAAAAAATCGTTATCGGTACAAAACACGTGAGTTGTACTATATTTGCGTATTTTCCAGTAACGCATCGGTGGTTTAGACATTAGAATATAAATTTGTTTATTCTGGGTTTTGAGCGTGATACTCTTTATTTATGTAAATGGAAAAGCAACTGACGGCTGACCAGGTGGCCAAATGTGGTAAAGTAAAGAGTGTTAACCGTCGCCTATATGCATGTACCACAGGTCAGGTATCATCTCATGTGACGCTCGTGGTACCACTTGCTATGACTTCATGTTCTGTATTTTGTAATTTCACTACCATACACCCATAAGACTACATACATAGTATATAATGTATGAAAAAAAATCATTCAAATGTATCGTAGTTATATTTCATTTCTTAGATCTAACCTGTATAGATATAGTAAAGTCTGTTATGCGAGAATCAAACCTGAGGCTAGACTACTGAGATCTTCACAAATAATATAATTTCATAGATACATCGCTGCAGTAGAGACTCAAGTAGAATTCTAGGGTAACATAACAGACGTGTTGTCAATTCGAGCTCTCCTAGCGTTCTATACAACGAGGACACTCATAATTATTGTGAGGTCAATGCACTTGCAAACATCTACATCCTCAAGTCATAAACTATAATTACGTTCTACGAGTACTAAATTGATACTAGTAAAAATTAATACACACGCGGCCCTAAAATCTGTGGCGACAGAGCGGTGATGACGAGTGTACAAAATCGCTTCCTAGATCGCTAAATCCTAATCATCATTATTATTATCGTTCCTGATGATTTGCCCAAACATGACATCTAGCAA